GGGGGGTCGATGTGTCGATCCAACGAGGGCTGTAACGTAAAATCCCTCAGGAACATGGCGGGATTGGTGAGGGTCTCCACATTTGTCACTTTGGGTTTTGGAGGGTTCCGGACACTTCGGCACTTGGGGGGCCACCGGGCACTGGGACAGTGTTCTTGAGTCGTGGAAAATTAAAAGATCGAGATTTTGAGGTTTGAGGAGCCTCGGGCGACTCACGGCGACTGCTCGAGAACTGGACTGAAGGGTTTTTTATTGTTTTTTTTCGGGAGCTTTGAGGTTGGAGGCTGCGTGTATGTCGGGTTTGTGGGGGCCGAAGGGGGGGGTCGGGATTCGCGGCGATTGGCGGGGGCCTGGCGGGAGTTTTTGAATGGCGAGGGGTGTCGTGGGACAGGGGTTTGGGGGTTTAGCATTTAAAGGAGTTCGACTCTTACGGTTAATTAATAGATTTTTGAAAACTGGAAAAAAGTTTCTAAACAACTCGGTTTTCTTTCGGAATTGTAATTTTTTTTTCTCAATTTAATTATTATAACATTCGTTTCTTTCAGTGAAAAAGTCTTACAAAACAATGGGTTCAGAGAAAAACATAAGAAAATCTTTTTCATTAATTAATTTTAAAAAATTCTTCTGATATTTTTTCCTAAAACCATTCATTATCAAGATAATTCGAAAATTCGTGAAACTTGAACGAGACTTTTGTTCTTCCTGTTTCACTTTCTCTGCATGTTTTCTTAAAACTATAAATTCAGAGAAATGTGGGATGAAAATGAATACCCAATCGCGATTTTTATTCAATAGATTGCTTTCATTTTGATTAATGATTGATACACGATCGATACAAAAATAGATGACAACGAGATTCAAAATTTCTCATAAAAAAACGTAAATAAATTTACAATTGGAGTTCATCCTCCTTCTGCTTCTCCACGGCCATCATCATGGCCCCCAGAAAATCATCGAAACTCGATGTCTCAATGTTGTCCATGAACAACGCGTGTGCCAGGAATGGAACTTTCCTCAGGGCCCGACCACTGAGGCCCACACTCTTGTAGATTAAATTACGGAGATTGACTGTCGTCTTGCCATTCGATGATATGCATTCGTAGATCGGATCTGGGACATCTCCAATGCAGTCGTATACCTCCCAGGGTTGAATCTCGAAAGACTCCAGAAAATTCGCCTGTGGAGAATTCGAAGAATGTTCAATATATCGCAACTCGACCCAATTTTTTTCCAAGACATTTACGAATTAAGAAAATCGTTGATTTTTCAATTTGTCTCGCGAATGTAGGGATTTAGACACAAATCAAAACCCAAACGATTTTTCAATTTGATTTTGACATTTTTCTCTCATTTCAGTAGTTTTTAAGGTTTTCATAAATAACAAAAATTCTTAGTTCATCGTAAAAAAAAAGAAATTACCTTAATTAATCGCAAATGCATCGTAACTGCTGCGATTTAAGCAAATTTCAAGTAATAATTCTTTTAGAATTTCATATTACATTATTATTATTATTATTATTATTATTATTATTATTATTAGATTTTATGTAATAATAATCCGATACATAATTTTTAGTGTCCAATCCTCAATTTCCGTCATTTATTCGATTCCTTCTATCAAAAGACAAGAATAGAAATCGAATTTATAAGTATTCTTTCATTATTCGAAAAAAAATGGATTTTAAAACATTGAGTATGTTTTAAAATCGAAGGCATTGGAAAGTTAATTTTATTAGTTCTATATTTTTTAGTTCTAGAAATTGAACAATCGCTTAAATTGTGATACTGTGATATTATCATTAGTTATTGTACATTATTATAAAAACAATTTATTATTGTGTAGTTGTAAAACTGTAACAGTAGCATCAAGGAAATAAAGTATGATGTTCTAGTATGAAATTAAATTAATCTCATTGTGAAGACGTAAAGGGAAATAAAATAAAATGGAATAAAATAGTGCAAACATGCCAATAAAATGAATAATTTATCTACCCTCATCAGCTCCTTCAAACACGACGAGTAAATTTGATAAATAGCCTTGGGCTCTGGGTGCCCAATAAACTGCTTGATATCAGCCCTGTCTACGAATGCCAAGTCTATCGCCTCTGTCACATTGCTGGTCGTCAGTATAAGAACATTCTTGTAACGTTTCATTTGGTCCAGCTGCGTCAGAAGTGCATTGACGACTCTTATGGCGTCACTGGGCTCAGTTCCACTGGTGCACGCCTTCCTGGCATGCGCCAGGGACTCGACCTCATCAATCAGGATGCAGACGAGTGCCTGGGGATCCTCCAGGAGCTGCTTCATCTCGTTAAACAACTTCATCACTAATTTACCGCTCTGAAAAAGACAAAAAAAGACTTCTAACATTTTTCCAACTAAAAAATGAATTTACATATTCAACATTTTCAGCTAATTTCTCATTTTTCCCGAGAATGAGCGCCTCTACGAGGAAAGGTCACAAGACATTTTTTGTGGGAATTTTAATTCTCTACAAAAAATGTTTTATGATATTTTTTCCTAGAATCAGTAGTTCTCGAGATAATAGAGAATTAGTTTGATGTACCTCAGAAAACCACTTTGAAAATAAACTGTGGCTGTTTATTTCGACTAGTTCTCCTCTACGAAAATATTTATTCAGTCGAATTGCAGCTTTGTGAGCCAGAGCTTTACATAGACTAGTTTTTCCAGTGCCTGGAGGTCCGTGGAGAAGGACAACTTTGTTCCAGGTGATGATGTTGGGGTTTATATTCCTTTCCGAGAAGAGCATCGTCGTTTCGATGAAATTCAACAGCTGAAAAACAAAACGACAGCTAAATTACACGTCAAACAGGCATGATAGGAATTTTTTTGAAGGATTAAAAATGTTTTTTGTACGTTTTCTTTGATGTTTGATGTGTAGCAAAGGTTTTCCCACAGTCCATTGAATTCTTTCGCTGGTAAAATCCAGTGGGAAGCGACTGGGAGTTCTTCAGAGTCTGTCTGCATTGTCTCAGTGGCTGCCTCCTCCAGGGCCAGCCTGTAGATAAAGTATCTCAAGGGCCAGCTCTCACTAATTGAGATTTTGTCCTTATTATCCTGTGCAGATATTATGAAAAATGAGTAAAAATTGAGAAAAATTGATCCGTTTCTTTCAACATCTGCAGATTTGCGCAAAAATTCTGCTATCAATCATTAATTTAAAGATATTCAACAGAAACTAAACTTCAATAATGAAAAAACAATTGATTCATCATTTCAGGGCTGATTTTNGTTTCGAAGAATTCCCGAAATTGTTGTGAGTTCACCGGGAATCCTATCGAGTCGTCGAGAATCCTACATTCAATATGTTCCCAAGAGTCAGTTGTGCTGCCGGAGTTGATCGACTCTCGCGATGTGGATGGAGATCGAGAAGCTCTAAATCTCTTCTTTTGGTGAAGAGCTCGTTTTCCCTCCGACTGGTGGGACTGAGTAGATATAGTGGATTCGGTGTCTGAGTGTCGTTCTGTATCCTCGTCGATTTTCTCGGCCACAGGAATCACCTCCTCAGGGGAAGAGGTGGGGAGTGACTCAGGGATCTTTTCTGCTGATGAACTTTGAGGTAGCAGAAAAGGGGGGGAATCGAAATTAGGATAGACTGACTTAGCCTTGTTGGAGCTGACGGGAGGGGGATCAATTATCACAGTGGGGGAAACAGTCGTTGTGGTTTTATTCCTTAACGCAGGGAAATCGGTGTGATCATGAGAGAGCTGAGGAGGTGTTGATGTGTTGGTTTTAATTCTATTAATTCTCACCGGACAATTTTTGGCAATATGCCCCTCTTCCTGACATTCAAAACACCCAGCGCTAACTAGAATAACAATGGTCCTGCCTTGTATGGTGGTTTCGAGACGTTTCGGTAGTTTGTTGACATCCTCTGGGGCGATATACGTTTGTCTCCTTTGACTCAGTAAATGGGCAATGCTTTTATTCCTAAATCCAGCTCTACAGGTTGTAATCGGGCCTGGGAGATTGATCCCCCTTTTATTCAGTTCTCCTTCTAGAAAACTGTCCTCAACTTGAGGAAATACGTGGCTAAAGAGAACTCGCCTATTCCTAGTGACATAAGGACGAATGTACACTTTTTGACCTGATACAACGATAAATTTCTTGGAGTCAATCAATGCATCCACAGTCCCCTGACTGTCAAGCCATACAATGATTCTACCCCTAATAATTTCATCCGTAGAAGACATTTTCGAAATAGGAACAACTTTCGTGAGGGCCATGATGTAGTCCTCGTGATTGCCAGGGGCTGTTTTATCCAAAATAATAGCCTGTTCGAAAACAAACTTGGCTGAGGACCTTGCCATAGTTACGTAAGAGGGTTTAGAACTGTCCTGAGACGGAACTGCACTGTTGGGAACTTCACTTTGGGAATTCATTGTTATTAGCGGGTCCGGTGGACCCACTAACTAAAATATGGTATAGAAAAATAACTATAATTGATGGTATTTATTTAATTCGCACTCGGATATGAAAAATGAGGAATACCTCCATTTGACTATATACCGCACAGAGCACTTGACAAATACGTCTGAACGCTACGGTGTCTCAAGCGAGAATCTCGTGAATATCTTTGGAAGCATTGGGTTTAGGAAAAAATGTCAAATCACACTTTTTATAGAAAATTAAATTTCGTATAAAAAATGTCCTCAGAAATTTCCTGCTGAACCCGCTCCTCTCCAAGATATTCACAAAAAACTGTCGTAAAAAATTGAGGTTTCATAATTTCGCTAGCAATTGCAAGTCAATTTGTTAATTATTACTACTAGTGTTAAATGGAGTTGAAAATATCATTTAAGAATTCTCTCTGGCCGTTGTCCAGGGGATTTATGTGGAGGAATTTAGGTTACCTTCCCATTACTTCTGAAGGAGCAACTGATGAAAGCAACGTGATCCCTCAAAAGTTCAATGGGTGAATCATCTGTTGAAATTGGAATGTCCACGTCCACTTGCTCCAGTTTCATCAGCTCTGAGTGAACCAATTCAGTTATTCTGTCATCCTGGAGAGTGCTGGAGCAACACAATCGACCATCAGCGATAAACCAAAATTATAGAGGCTATTTTGCAGATTATTTCGAGGGAATTTAGCTATTTTCAAGAATTACCTCGCGTTCTTTTGACATATCTCGACGTCGACAGCTCGATTCGGCATTCTCAGAGGCCCCAATGCACCAAAAATGCCGGAGACAGTGGGAAAAATTGGCGACACTGGCCTGCAGTCACTCCTCCTCTGGCTCGGAAACGAGGGGTAATTCTGTTTTTCCCAACTTGTTTGATATTTTTTATCTAATCGAGCCACTCCGACTCTATTGTTATTTACGAGGAACACATGTCAACGGTTTCGACTCGCTGGGGGCATTTAAAAATGGTGGGAGAGACAGGGAGGGACTTTACCGACAGCTTAAGGCGGCTTCGGGGAATTTTTCAAATTTGAAAAAATCGAAAATTCATTTTTCATCCTTTTCTCGACGATTCGGAGATAATTGCATCATTAATGAATTCATTAAATGATCAAACGTGATGAAAAACGTGTGGAGGCCGATAGTCTAGTGTAATTCCTCAGTTTTTTTGATCAATTTTTTGATTAATAAATAAAGAAGGAGAAGTAAGGCGTAATAAAACGCAAACGTTTAATAATGTCTAGGATAAAATTCTTCGTGAAAAATTTCTAATGATTTTTTTGGCTGCAAGCCATTGAGTGTGAAGATGATTTTAGAATTAATGAATGAAGTGAAGTGCAGCGTCAGGTGTAATAATTTGGAATTATCTCGATAAGGAGTAATTTTCGAAGAAAACGTTACGGGACTTTTTTATAGATTACAAAATGTCCCGCAAAATACTTCTTATGACATTTTCTCCTAAAATCCTTCAATCGGAAGATAATTGTCAAGTTAATAAACGAAGTGAAACGTAATAAAACGTAACTGTACCACCACACGTTCATTAATTTTGCAATTATCTCGATAATCAGTGGTTTTAGAAGAAAACATCAGAAAAGATTTTTTGTAGCTCATAAAATTTCCCACAAAAAATATTTCACAAAGTTTTCGGTTAAAATGAGTCAATCCCGAGATAATCGCGCAAATTAGATTTCGGATAATGAAAGGTGAGTGCATCACAACACTTTGATTAATTCTTCAATAATGAAAAAATGGCCAAGGACATTTTTATAGCTGACAAAATTTCCCACCGGAAATATGCAATGTTTTCTCCTAAAACCGCTCGTCATTATGATAATTACCCAATTGCGCAGGGTGTCACGTCCGCACAATAAATTTTTTCGGATCAATTTGAAGGGTTTTTTTCGCTGCGAAAAATCTCCTCATGGAGGTTCATTGCACCACTATTACGCACCATCCGACCACTCTACTAATTCATGCAATCTGCGCAATCTGTGCATTCTTTATTCTCTAGATTGACGGTCAACACTCTTTACAATGTTCACATTTTGAATTCAATAACATAATGGTCCTATGATTGAATTAATCTGAACGATAAATCACCGGTTGCGATTCATTCGTATATTATAAAAGGAACCGGGCGTCATTCGCTCAGTTTGCGCCTGGTAACAGCAGAGAGTACCGTGTTTCTTATATTTTTAATAACAGAAGATCAATTTTTATGGTTTAACGACTCAAGATAATTCAAGATGAAGATTTTTATATTCACGCTGTGTTTAGTTAGTGCGGTTTTTCACAGTGCGTCGGCATCAGAAAGGTAAAGTTAATCAATTTTTAATAAACAATAGAAAAAACATTTTTCACATTTTTCTCTCATTTTGTAATTTGATAACAAAAATTTAAATAAGAATTTAGAAATTAATTTCATCTACACAAATTTTGGAAATGATCAAAATCATTATAGAAACATCAATCATTTATATTTTAATCTTGAGAAAGTAAAAAAGTTCTTGCAAACTTCTCAATTTTCACATTTTCCGGAATTTCAACAATTTTAATTTTAGTTTTTGCTGGATATCTAAAGATCTATGGGAGTTACCGAAAATTCAGTTAAAACCATTTTCATAGCTTTCAATCTCCTCCACAAAAAAGATAATTACAAAAAACCCGTTACCTCCCATATATTCCGAGATATTCATCAAAAACCGTCCTCATAAATTCGTCAACCCCGAGCTAAAATCCCAAAACATTTCCCCTAATTCCCCATTATCTCCAAAACGGCTGAATCCCCGTTAAAATGTCTCAAAACATAATTTGTAGCTTATAAAATTTTCCACAAAGTACTTTATACGACCTTTCCCCCCAGACCCGCTCCTTCCCCCGCAAATCGCGCCCAAATCTCCCTCCACTGCCCTCCACAATAGATTTTAACTCTGAAAACCCTTCCAGCGACTGCAAGCTGAACCTCACAGCGGAGCACGGCACAATCACCTCCTTCAACAAGAACTGCACCTGGACCGTCAGCCTCCCCCCCACGAAGCTAATAAAGTTCTTCTTCTCCCGCATAACAATGCGCAATCCCCAGAACTCCTGCATGAACAGTCTCTCGATCAACGAGACGATCAACGCAAAGGAGTCAAGCCTCGGTCTCTTCTGCAACGACTCGACCCCGGCCCCCCTGACAACGACCTCCTCCTCGGCGCGCATCCACTTCCACTCCAACAACTCTATCCTCCAGAACTCCACAAACTCCCACTTCCAGCTAATCTGGATGTCCCTGGACAATCCAAACATGACCCTCCTGTGTTCAAAAGACCTGAAAGAGCCCTCGGGCGTCCTAATGTCCCCGAATTACCCCAATGGCAATCCCCTCCCCTTCAACTGCACCTACAAGATAATCCAATCGCCGGGTAAAATTATCCAATTGAGCCTGACCGATCTCCACATAACTAACGACAATAAGACCTGTTACAACCGCTTGAACATATACGACGGAGATGACGATAATTCAACGATGATTGCCTCAATTTGCGACTCCAAGTACTACGTGCCCAGTCGGGTGTTCAATTCGAGTACGAATTACATGACGATTAAAATAATCGCGGAGAGGCCACTGGAGAAGTACCAGGGCTTCCACGGGGTCTTCGACACCATTGACAACAGGTGCGGGGGATTGCTGAAGGAGAATGGAAGCATCCAGAACCCGGGCTTCGGGTCGGGGTACGAGCCCGACCTGAAGTGCAAGTGGAGGATTCAGGCGCCCAGGGGCAAAGTCGTGACGATGAAGTACGCGAGCTTCGACGTCGCCTGGCATGAGGCCTGCGGGGCCGACTACGTGGAGGTGGCCGAGGTCCATGCCAACGGGACCAGGAAGGTGCTCGGGAAACACTGCGGGAACAACGTCCCGGGGGCAATGGTCAGCAACAGCTCGGCGGTGGACGTCGAGTTTAGGAGCAAGGAGAAGGGCAGCTACAAGGGATTCAAGCTTGATTATTCCGTTGTTGATAAGAAGAACGAGATGTGAGGGGGAGAGGGGATTTGGGGACTGTATCTGGGGGAAGGATTGTATGGAATGGCTGAATAAAGAGATTTATTAAAGGAGGTGGTTTTTTGGGTGGTGGTGGTCGTTGTAGTCCCCTTGGTGGACGGCATTTTTAAGGGTATCCAAGTACTTTAGCTGTTTTTTCTCCAGTGAAATCCTTTTCCACTTTTGTAGTCGAACAGCAGAGCTTTCGCACGGAGAGAAATTTTCTAGACAAATTCTAGCGCGAGTACTGGAAAAAATCACATTCCACCGATTGTGAAACATTCTAGTGCTGTTAAGGTAAAATTTCTTGGTATTTCTGGTAAAATTCCTGGGGATTTCTGTGAAATTTTCACAGAAATACGGGGAAAAATTCACGTTTTCCCCAATAAAATTTCTAGTGCCGGCACTAGCACTAGAATTTTTCTAAAAAATTTCTCTCCGTGCATTTGAGACCCATTTGATCCCAAGTTTCCGGACTTTTAATTCAAAACCAGAGGCTTCGAACGATCATCTACGGCGCGTGCGCGGAAGCGTAACATCAGTAATTTTCAACAAACATATAATTGAACTAAATAGAAAACTTAAAAAAAAGAGTTTCCGTAAATTCAAAAGCGTCATTTGAATTCAGACGACTTCTACTTATGCAGAAACACGGAAAATTCAACCAAAAAATCATTATTTGGGGGCGAGAACGGCATTACCGACGTCGCTGGAAGCGTCCTGAGGGCAGCACCTTCTTCAACGCGAATAATAAAATCGGCGGGAGGGCAACCCCTCGCCCCTCAGCTTTCCATCAGTCTGTGCTCATGTTGCGCGATGTAATCATGAGTGTGTGAGGGGACTAAACCAACGGTCAAAACGGAAGATATTTGTTTAAATGCCGACGACTAATTGCCCAAATTGTTTTATTTCTGTGACATAAATGGACGGGGACGAGCGACGAGCCTCCAAGAGGCGTTCCCTCGAGGCTGGACGTGAAATAGTGAGTATTATCATCCCAATAACCCCGAAAGTTCACAAAACTTGGGATTCGTTTGAAACCGTTGAGACCTTTCGTCTTTTTACCCTCGGGATCAACAAAAAAAATTGAATTCTCTCGTGAAAAAATCGGGGGTAATTTCGGAGCCAACGGTTTTGGAACTGCCGGGGGCTCACGAATGCTCGGGGCTGTCGTTTTTTTTTTCTCCTCTGGTTGTGTTTATTTTCAATCGGTAGGGAATGACCTTCTAGGGTTAAGACACCAAAAATACATCAATTTGGGGGGAATATTAATTCCATTTTCCTCGTAGTTGGCTAGGTACAAGGCGTCACAAGGACGGATGGATAATCAGGGGACTGATCCGTCTGATGTTGAGGAACTGCTTGGACACAATGAAACTATTGACACGCAAAATTCAAGTGTAAGTTTTTCACTCTTGTTCAGGTTAAAATCCACTAAATTTCACGGTTTCACGGGCGATTTTCTTGAGGAACTGGTGATTAATAAATTGAGCAAGAAAATTGAATCGATGCTCCTGAAGGATGAGGGATAATCCTTGAAAATAATCTCGTAAAAATTCAAAGTTCTTGTTTGTTTTTTTTCTCTGGAAACGCTGAGTTTTTTGTTTATTGCATGGTTTCATTCATTTGATTTATTGTTTCGTTATCTTGGACCTTGGAAAATGTCTCTGGTGAGACACGGAACAATGAGAATAATAGATTCGCGAAAAATTTGTATAGTTGTATAGTTTGTTGACATTGAGAGACTTTTTTTGTACATCATACAATTCAGCACAAAAAATGCCTCGATTTGTTCTCGTAAACTTAATTTGACCCTGTGACTTATTTTGACCCTTGCGATTTTTATTCTGACCCTCATTGCCCTTATTCTGACCCTCATGACCCTAATTCTGAATCTCGTAACCCTTATGACCCTTAATATGACCCTCACGTCCCTTAAATTAATCCTCATAACCCTGACGAACCTTCCTGACCCTCAAAACCCTGACTTTGACCCTCACAACCCTTATTTTGACTCTTGCGACCCTTGTGATTGTTATTCTGCTCCTTGTGACTCTTATTCAGACCCTTGGGATCCTTAATATGGCCCTCATAACCCTCAATCTAACCCCTGTAACCCTTACTTTGACCCTTCTGGCCCTTAATTGCGGAGTCTAAGTTTCCAGTACCAAATTTTCATCACCAGAAGTCGATTTGAATTTTAATAACACAGAGAAAATAATGACTAATTTTCCGAAGAATATCTCCAAATTTTCTCCCCAACGTCTTAATTCCCCAGATAATTTCCCAAATACCAGTGCATCATTGAATCCTCTGAATTCCTCTAGATCCTCGAGGACACTTCCCTGCGAGACACAACGCAATCGAGCATGAGTATCTCCGAGGGCGAGGGCGAGGGAGATATCGAGAACATGGCAGGTCGAGTAGCAGAGCTGAAAGAGCTCCTGCAGGGAAAAGAAGCGATGATCGAGTCCCTCAGCGCGGAGATCGACCACATGAGGGGTGAGGCCTGCTCCCCTCACTCCTCCCAGAGTCAGAGCAGTTCGCAATACCGAGACCTTTTGACAACTTATCAACACAAGCTGCAGGACTTCGAGCAGGCGGTGGCCCAACGAGACAATTTAATAACAGAACTGACGTCGTCACTTGAGCAAGCTCTGGCTTCCAGGGACGCCCTGAAGGACCAGGTCCAGTTCCTGAATTCTCTGCCTATTCTGAACCCACCCCAGAAGGACCCTGAGGACCTCAGGACCCCTCAGGACTCCTCACACCTCCTCGAGGAGACGATCAAACAACTCAGTGCAAAACTTCAGACGTTGGAGGAGGGGAAAACCCAAGAAATTGAGTCCTACAAGTCCCAAGTCAACGAATTAAACCAGAGGATCCAATCCCTGGAGATGGAGAGCATCTCCAGCCTCGAGGAGCGTCAGAGGGTGAAGGAGCTTTACGACGCGCAGATTTCTAAAATCAAAAAGGACATGGAGAAGATCCTGGACAAATTCGCTGCTGAAACTAAACAGAATGCAGAGTCTCATCGCCAGGAGGTGATTAAAATTAGGGAAAGCCATGAGGGGGAGGTCCTAGCCCTCAGGAGGAGGTACGAGGACCAGTGCAGGGGGCTGCAGGATCGTTGTAATCTGGAGATGGTGGAGGTGGAGAAGAAGCATGCGAAGGAACTCAGTGTCTTTCAGAGCCAACTGGCTAGCTACAAGAAGACTATTGAGGGGATGAGGTCACAGATGGAGGGGCACATGGCCGAGGGGGACAAGAGTGATGTTCTGGGCTTGAAGAATCAGCTGGTGAATGCTCAGCACGAGAGGGCACTTCTTCTCGAGCAGATTAAACTGCATAAGGTTCAAGTGGAGGAGCTCACTGCCAAGTATGTGGCTGCCACCAGTGTTTTTGATTCTAAGGAGAGCATCGAGAAGAGTCTGGAGGAGGCCTTGACCAATGTCGCACAGCTGACGCAGGAGAACGAGAATTTAAAGTTGAGATACGACGACATGAGTGCAAAGTACTCGGCAGCCCAATCCCTGATCGAGAACAACCAGATTCACGAGAGATCCATGAGCTCGAGGATCTACGAGTTGGAAAGATCGCTGGGGCGTATCTCAGGCATCAACAACAGCCTCTTCAGCGAGTTCAACGAGACGACCTACCAGACATTCGATGACCTAGCCCTCCAGATCCAGCTGTCACGCCAGAAACTCGAGGAGAAGGAGGAGCTCGAGAGAAAGCTCACCAACAAGATCAAACACCTGGAGGAGACAGTTCTGAGGACTTCAAAGGAACTCGAGGACGTGAGCCTCCAGAAGAACAGCTACGAGAAGCAGCTGAAGGACTTGAGGAACAGCTTCGACAGGATGATGAGCTCAGACAATTCCTTGAACTCAACGAGAGTAAAACAACTGGAGAGCGACTTGGAGGAGCTGAAGGAGTCTCTCAGGAGGAAAGACGTGGCTTTGATGGAGAGGGATAAGAACCTGGGGATCGTGAGGGCTGAGGTGCAACAGCTCCAGGACGACTGCAGGCAGCTGATGGGGGGCCTGCAGGCAGCCTGGAGCCAGTGTGCAGAGCGGGAGCTCAAGCTGAATGAATCCCTGATGAACGAGTCCAAGTTGGAGTCCATCGCCATCAACTTGAGCTGCCTCAGGGAGGATCTAGTCGACAGTACATTGATCTCTGAAGACACACTGAATCGCACTAAACCTGAAGACATCACTTCCAGTCTCGTCGGTGGGATCAACTCAGCATTCAATCGATACGAGAACCTCTTCTCTGAGTGTGAGAAGCTCTCTGACGCCAATCATCAGTTGAAGAGGGATTTGGAGAGCGTGAAACTGTCTCTAGAGGACGTCAGGAGGGAGAAGGAAGGGCTCCTCGAGGAGGTGAAGAGCCTCAAGCAACAGCACCTGCAGGAGATCGAGGGCATGAGGCAGCAGCATGTCGAGGAGATCGACGTCCTGAAGAAGCTGTTTGGGGACAATGGGTTGGATAAATTTAAGGAGGAGGTTGAGAGGAGACATGCTCAGGAGATGGAGGAGCTGAGGACTTACTTCGAGGAGAAGGTCCTTCATGTTGAGAAGCAGTACTCAGAGGAGGTCTTCAGTCAGTCTAAGAAATTGAGTGATGATAGCTCTGAAGTGGACGACATGACCGATGATCTGTACTTTGGAGGCGGTGGAGATGCTGAGAAGATGAAGGATGCGGGGCTCTGCAGAGAGGTTGTCGAGCAGGGGAGCAAGGACAGCTGTGATAAAAGCGCGAGGGTTTCCACCAGTGAACAGGTAATTTAGGGGGTTTTCTCTTTTTCTTTCGTATGTTGTATTTAATGTTGGCGAATTGTTCGAATAATGGTGGGGTTCGGTGATTTTTCGAACAGCTCTTGTGGAATTTTTGATGCTCTGCATGCTTGATCGTTGCGTCATAATTCGATAGGACTAATACTTTCATTTGTGATTAACAAATTAATTCGTGTTGAATTACTCGTGGGCATGCAGCATTGTCAGACTGAGTTGGAGCCCGTGGAGAATGGAGAGTTGAGGGACCTGAGGGCGGCTTACAGTGCTCAGCTTGAGGAGCAGATTGCTCTCGCTAGGTGTGATATTGTCAACGCACTGCAGGAGCAGATTCAGGTAGTTGTGTCCTATTGTCCGTTTATTGTCTCTGGTATTTGTACTTGGCCAAAGGTCTTTAAAGTAATTCGATACTAATCTGTTCAGCTGAATTAACATTTTCTTCGTTGTTGATAACTCTTGTCAAGAGTCATTTGAAAGCTTCAAAATGAACCCCAAGTCATTAAACTTTAATCACTACGTCAGGAGATATCGAACATTAACAAAACCTTTTCATTCGTAATTATTGATTTCTTAACGAAATTAGTTTTCTTTGATTGTTCGCTAATGAACGGATGGATTTGAATCTTTTTCTTTCAAATGTAGGTATTGTTGAACCCCATCGATCGTCATTAATTAAAATTTCATTCTACGATTAGTTTTTTTAATTTTCGCATTTTTTCGAAAATCGATTGTCCCACGAAAATTAAAAAATGTTCTGAATTGAGTGAATGATGGCTTAAAAATTTGTTTGGATGTCCGTTTGACCGAGTTCGAAGATGAAGTTGGAAATCTGCCAAAATTAGTTAAAAAGAAATTTTATTCAATTTCAAATTCAAAAAATTCATCAAAAAAATTTATTCCAGGTCCTCCTAGCTGTTGAAGACGACACTGAGGAAAACTGGCCCCCAGAGCTCCTCCAACTTCGCAATAAATTTACAAACAACGCCAGGAAAGAGATGGAGAAGTTGAAGGAGTCCCACCAGCTCGAGATCTCGAAACTCAAAGTGGAGTATGCGAAGACCCTCGAGAATTACGAATCAGAGATCAAGAGCCTGACCCAGAGGAGAGTGAGTCACCAGTTCGATGGCCACCTCTCGATCCCAGATGACATCATCAAGCAGAGATACGAGAGTCTCCACAAGATCTGCCTCATCCTGAAGGGGCTCGTCGTGGATTTGATAAAATACACTGTGACGTGTGAAGAGGAACTCAACAACACGTTCATAACTGAAATAATTAAAAGAAGAATAATGTCAGAGGAGCAGAACTCCAGCACCGAGGAGGCTGAAAAGAACCAGACGATTTCAGACACCGAAATCCCTGAAATTCCCACGAAGAAGATCATCAAGAGGGTCCACTTTGCCCCTCAGTCCCGAGAGATCTCTTCGATAATTAATTCCGAGACAGATTCCCTTCTGGATCTCATTGAAGAGGAGGAGGACATCGGGGAGAAGCTCAGGGATGAGTTGGGAAAGTGTTTGGAGAGACTCAGGACTGAAAGTGCGGAGATTATCTCTGTCTCGTCGACTCCTGGGGAGAGCACTCTTGACGCTCTGTCGAAGCAAGTTCTCTGGACGACTAAAGTCAACGAGGAACTCAGTGCCAAGCTCATGGAGGCTGAGGGCATTGTTGAGGATTACCAGGTCGAGAGTCAACAGCTGAAGATGAAGATCATTGATCTGCAGCAGAAGATTTCAGTCATCGAGGGGGCAAAGGAGATCATCTCCGAGGGGTATGGCGAGCAGGATGAGGCTGGAGGGGAAGTTGTTGTTCAAGATTTTTCGCAATTGCTGGAGAAAGGTGGGGGAAGCCTTAAAAAAATGAATTTTTTCATTTTAACTTGAAATTATTGAATTTTAGTTTACTTTTTTGAGAGTATCTTGGAAAGGAAGAAGAATAGAGAAAAATGTCATAAGAAACTTTTTGTGGAAAATTAAATTTCCCACAAAAAATGTCTAGTCACTTGTTCTTCTAAACCCACTAATTTCGTAGATATTCTCAAAAAACCTCTCAACATTTTCAATTTTTTTTGTTATCTTCAATTAAAATTTTTCTAAACTGTTGGAATGATCATTGCAGCGCGTCTGGCAACTGTAAATGCAGCTGCAGATCCTGCCTATCATCTCCAGCTTATCGAGGAGCTCTGCAGATGCACAGAAAAAATTCTCGAGGACTCGAAACGCGAGAAAGAGGACCTCCAGCAGCAGGTAAATTGCTAAAGCCTCACTGAGACATGTTGAACTGAACGTTTTGCACTGCATGAACATTGAACACATTGATTTAACTGGGATGAGCTACTTTAGAGTGGTTTTTCATAGTCATTCCAACGTTCATATCCAAAAGTGCTTGATATTATCTTTTTTTGGGATTTTTGACGTATTGTAATTGCCAGCAGGTGTCATTAGATCCCCTTCCCTCCCAAAGCATACACAGGGTGAGACACAAGGTAAATTATTCCACCTAATTTAATTTTATTCAGGAAATCCTAGTCCTAATTTAATTTCCATTTCCAGTCTATTCCATCCTTTCATTTTATTCTCATCTATCTTTGGTTTTTCATTTGTTTATTTTTTAGAGACTAGGATTTTCTTTGATAATTTTTCATAAACAATGTTTTTTTTTGGCTTTTGCATGAAACTTTGCGGTTTTCAAAGGTCTAGAGCAACTTTTAAGAATTAAATTCTGCATTAAAACGTGATTATCTCAGTCGAAAAAGGTTCTACGAGGAAATGTCGTAAAATATTTTTTGTAGGAAATTTAATTCTCTACAAAAAAGTTTTTCTCGCATTTTCCCTCAAGTTCACGCGTTAAGGAGATAATTGCATAATTAGAGAAGAACTTCAATTGACTCTTCACGTTTTATCATTTAATGCAGAATTTTTCATTTCTCTGAGGGATTTTTTTTATCAATCATTTATTACTGATGCATTTAGATCGATGCAGCAGACAAACAACTCAGGAGTACTCGTAAATTTCTGGAGGAGCAAGCGAGTGAGAGGGAAATCGAGAGGGATGAGGCTGCGAAGCAAATAAAATCCCTTCACGAGCAGTTGAAGGAACGAGAACGTGATAAAGAACGAGATCTTCGTATTTCCTCTGAGGTAAATTCATCTCCATTGACTACTCACTCTAGTCTTCATTCTCAATCACTTTTGGCTCAGCAAAAATTGATAAATCTGTTTTTTTTTGGTCTAACTATTTTTATGGTGTTCACTCGAGGTTTGAACGGCTCAATTAATGCAATTTACATTGTAACACGCCTTCACTATTTAATTTTGATGAATTTAATTAACACTGGTGTTTTTTTCTGCACTTTTGTGGGCTTGGTTTTATCATACACATAAAACACGTTTAAATAAAGTCGCCTTCACCTACACCCGACTCATCGCTGGGTTCTTCGAAGGTTCATCTTGACTACAGAGCAACTGTGAGTGGCATTTTTTTTTATGTAACATGGATTTTATCATTTTTTTTTCAATCATGATTGGTTATTTTGCTGAAGGATTTTTTTTTCGACTGCACGTAAAAATTGTACAGGTGATTTTGCAAAATATTTTTGGAAGAAAAAGGTTTGAGGATGTTCACGTATTTTGACGATGTTTTCTCTACTTAAATGCTCTTCTACTTTTGTAGTCGAACATCGGAGCTTTCATTTGAGCTCCATGTGACCCCAAGTTTCCGAATATTCTAAAATTATTTCGTTATTTAAACTGCAAAATCTGAAAAAAAAAAAAAGAAAGTTGACTTTTGGAGGAAGATTGATAAAATAATTAAAAAATTGCAATTTTCGAGAATTACAAGCATTTTTTATATTATGAATAATTTATAAACAATCAATTTTCCTTCACAAAAATCATTTGTTTGGAATAGTAACAAATTTATTCATATTTAGAATTTTACCAGAAATCGATTTCATGCCTAAAACAAAAGTTAATAAGGTTTTCGGAAGTTTAAACAATTTCAATTATTTATTTATAAACAACGAATGCTTAAAAGATAATAATTCAGTGCAAAATGTTTAATTGACACTTTTAATGATTGAAAATAGTCAAATCAAAGGCAAAAGATACTTGGATATCCTCAAAGAAAAATGTCCTAACAGATTCGATTAGAATTTAATGTTTAACCGGAGAAATCTTGATATTTTCCTCTGAATTAACTGAATTTCGAGATATTCAAGCTTTAATTTCCTCATCTTCCCTCAATGATTATTAAATTATTTTTATATAAAACTCCTTCCCTCCAAGACTTACCCCTCTAAGTTTCCCCCTAAACTCCCTAATCCCCCTCCTCTCCAAAACCCTGCAGTATCTCAGCCCCCCCTCCACCACCCCACCTAATCCGTGATGTCCCCCCAGGTGGAGGCCCTGGAGCTCCAGATGCGTGAGATGACCTCCCAGATCTCCGACACCGAGCAAAAGAAATCGGAGACCGAGTCCGAGTTGAAGGCCGCAGTGGACAAGATTTGGGTGCTGCGCGACATAATAGTGGACCTGGAGCAGCAGATCCAATCAAAGCTCGACCAGGAGGAGGTTCTGCTCTCGCAGATAGCCCACCTGAAGGAAGTGATCTCCAGCCAGACCCACAGCCACCAACGACTCGTGGAGGAGCTCGACCAGTTGAAGTCGTGCGCAGAAAGCACTCACCTCCTCTCCCACATTTCCCACCTGCAGAGCGAGCTCCAGCGCCACCAACTGAGCAACGAGCAGTTCACCGTGAACTCCACAGCCCTGAGGCAGATGAAGTCAGAGCTCCGAGAGATGCAGAATCACCTGGACAAGCGAATAAAGGAGCTGGAAGCCCTCCACATGACAGGCTCAACCCTCAGCATCAGTCAGCCCTCTGAAGACGTCTCCATCCGAGACCAGATCGAGGCGTCGAGGTGTCCAACTCCCGAGGAAGACGCCAACTCCCCCCCAACCCTCCCCCTGGACCAGCTCCTGAAGCTGAAGGAGAAGCTCCTGAAGCACTCCAGAACCGAGGAAGTGGCCTTCAAGAAGATAAAGGACCTGGACATGCAGCTGTCAGCCCTGAAAATGCAGAACGAGGAGCTCCAGGAGGAGCGTGACATCCTCCAGCAGACGACGTCAGACCAACTCTTCCAGATCGAGCAGTTGCGGGGGCGACTGGAGCAGTACAAGCAGTCGGCGCCCTTCGCCCAGCGTCAGGCGACGTCTCGCCTGGAGCTGGAGCTGCACGAGGTGAACTCGAGAGTCCAGAGTCTCGAGCAGAGGCTCGCCGATAAGGACCTGGAGCTGAGGGAGATGAGGGGCCAGTTGGAGCGAGCCAATCTCCTCCTGAAGGAGAAGGAGGACGAGCTGAACAGTGTGGTCCATCGAGAGGACAACGAGATAATCGCCCTGAGGGAGCAGCTGGAGACCCTTGAGCACGAGAAGCAGATCCTGGAGTCGAAGATTTCTGTGCAGGAACGAGCCCAGCAGGAGTTGCCTCAATTAATCGACTCGATGCTTGCTGACAAGAACGAGGAGATCGACCACCTGAAGGAGCAGCTGTCGAAGAGAGAGAAGCAGCTGGAGGCTCTGAACTCCTTGAACGTCGAGGAGAATCGAGGCCCAATTGAGCCGAAAAACTCGGCTAGAACGCTGAGTGACATCCTGTCGATCCACTCAGAGTGCGAGGAGATGTCTGAGGCCATCAGGGACGCTCCATCGAGCAACTTCCAGGCGAATGTCTCCTCATTCAGGCGAGAGGTGAGTCACGAGCAGGAGCTGCAGAAGTCGGAGCTCCTGGTGCCCCCCCTGGAGCTGGGGCCCTCACTCAACACAACTCCAGTCCATCGTCGTCACCAGTCGACTAATATCGACTCCATGATGAGTGGGTTGGACCTGAAGTCCCCAACACTGGCTTCTGACGATGGAAGGTCCTTCAACTCTGCTTCGAAGGTGACGAAACCTTCCCCAGGCAATCAGAAGACGATCCAGGACCTCGAGGATAAGCTGAAGGAAATCTACGAAGAGTTAAAGTCCAAGTCATCGACTCTGAACAAACGAGAGATGGAGTTGAACGAGCTGAAGAAGAGTCTGGACGAGCTGAGGACGGAGTCGAAGGACTCCATCGAAACTTTGACGAGGGACAAGGACTTCTACAAGAGCCAGTACGAGCTATCCCAGGAGTCTGAGAAGAAAATCAGGCGAGATCTGGAGGAAGTGGAGAACTACTTGAAGGTGAGGTCCGAGGAGGTCGAGCTGTACCAGGAGAAGATCCAGTTGAACGAGAAAATGCTGTCCGAGTCCAAGGACGAGAACGCAAAATTGAGGAGGGAGATTATAAAGCTGGAGGAGGGCATCGCCAACTGCGAGCAGAAGCTCGCCGAGAAGATGGAGGAGCTGAACAATTTGACGCAGATAATCTTCGAGAAGGACATTACGATTGAAACAGTAAAGACCAGGAATATGGAGATTGAGGACGAGAACAAGCAGCTGTACGAGTACAAAACCAAGTTCGAGGTGGTGAGGAAGGACCTTCTGGACAATCAGAACGAGATGAAGAGGCTGAGCGACGGGTTGAGCAGTCGAGACCTCGTCATCCAGAGGCTGGAGGACATGGCGAGGAGATCGAGTGTCCCATCGCCGGAGGAGAACAAGGCCCAGGAGATCCACCACCTGAAGGACCTCGTCAAGGAGAAGGACAAGCTGATCCAGCAGATGACCGACGACAGCAAGAGCCTCCACCGTGAGCTGGAGACAGTCCACAGGAAGATGAAGGAGCCTGGGAATGTGGTGGAGCTGCGTAAGAAGCTGCAGCAGGAGAAGAGGTGCAATGCAGAGCTGACGAAGAAGGTGACGAAGCTCTCGAAGGAGCTGGAGGTCTTCAAAGAGGACTCTCGCCACCCTGAGGACCTCGAGGACATGGTGCAGAGGGAGTTGAACCTGTCTGCAGACCTCGACAAGAAGATCATGGACGCCATAGAGTCGGAGTCAGAGGACCTGTCCCACAGGAAAATAGAGCTTCACTCATGCAACTCACTGACGATAAAACCGGTGGAGCCAGACCTCGAGAAGATCATGGAGCAGTACCTGGACATAAAGGCAAAACTGAAGGCCCAAAGTAAAGTTAATAACGAGTTGACGCACCAGAAGAACGAGCTGGAGATCGAGAAGGAGATGCTGCAGTCCCAGATCGCAGAGTACGAGTCCAGGATCCTGCAGTTGAAGTCTGATTTCGAGAGGGAATGCAAGAGGAACAGTAATCTCTCCGAGGAGCTGTCATCGAAGAAGGCAGCCATGAGGAACCTGGAGGTCCAGGTGAAGAAGGAGAAGACAGCCCACCAGAACTCCCAGATGGAAGACTCCAACATGATCGAAATGCTGAGGATCAAGCTGACGTCGTCGCTGAACACCGAGCAGCAGTTGCGAGACAACAATTTGAGTCTCAGAGAGAAGAACAAAATGCTGATGTCTCAGTTGTCAGCGCTGAAGTTCCAGATAGAGTCGAGGGCCGAAGTGGCCCCCCTGGAGATCCCCTCGCCAGACCCAGAGGTCCCCGAGAGGCTCTCGGAGCTGGAGCGCGAGAACCAGGACCTGAGGTCGACCCTCCAGAGCCTGGAGTCAGAGAGAAATAAATACAAGAAGGACCTGGAGATCGCCATTGAGGAGAACGAGAAGCTGCTGAGCACTCTGGCAATAGTCGAGGGGGACAAGGATCACCTGGAGATAATTCAGAGACGCCTGAAGGAGACCATTAAGACGCGGGAGGAGGAGATCGAGTGGCTCCAGAGGAGGATCAAGGGGCTGACCGATGCCGAGGACAAGAGGCAGCAGCAGAGGTCCGACGACGAGCACGAGCTCAAGAGTCTTCGACAGGAGATTAAGAATGTTCGTGAGGTGATGCACGACTGGCAGATTGACACTGATCAGATGAGTCAACAGTTGAGGGCTTCATTGTCGGAGAGGGCGCAATTGACGCAAGTCGTCGTGGCACTGAGAAAGAGTGAGGAGGAGTTGAACAAGAAAGTTAATGAGGCGAGGGCTCAAGAGGAGAAGCTGCAGGAGGTGATTAACGAGCTCAGGGGCCAACTGTTGGCACAGGGTCTGGGGGAGGGGGATGGGGCGGGTGGGGAGTTTGCTCAGAGCATTAGCGAACTGCGGGGGAGGCTGGAGAGGTATGCACACGAGAAGAGCATTCTCCATGAGAAGTTGATGAAGGAGAGGGGGGAGAGGGAGAGGGCTGAGGCCAGGGTCAGGGAGCTGGAGGTCGTCGGCATACAGAGGAATCTCGAGGAGTCGGATCTGTCGAATAAGTTTCAGAAGCTCTATGGGAAGTACATCAGGGTCGACAGCAAGAGGAAGGCTCTGGCTTTCCAGAAGAGGTATCTGCTCTGCGTTATTGGGGGGTATCAGATGTCCGAGGAGAACACTCTCTCGGTTCTCGCTAAACTCACGAATTCCGAGAGGAATTTCGCGGACTTTGGGAGCCCGAGGGGGAGGAAGTTCAGGTCGGTTGCGCTCGCTGTTGTTTCGGTCGTCAGGATGAAGTGGCTGGTGGCCAGGTGGAGGCAGGGCGTCAGGAGAAATGCTGCGAGGGTGGTGGGCGAGGGGGAGAAGAGCTTCATGGGGATTCAGAGGGGTCTCGAGCACTCGCCCCCGGTCAGGGAGAAGAGGGCCAATGGGGGGGTCAATTATGAGCATTATTTGGAGAGAATTTCCCAGGTTCAGGAGACACTGGGGTTGGCGATGGGCGGGGGGCAGAAGAGGGAGGGGTGATCGGGAAAGCGGAGGGAAGTGCAGAACATTTTTTTTTTATGAATACTCATTTATTTGAGAGAAGTATTAATTTTTTCAAAGCCGTATTTTCCAGATCGAGGCATTCCCAGCGAGCCTGATTAAGGTTTGATTGTAACAGTCAGGTTGTTAAACTGAGGGAAAAATTGCGAAATGCGAAATTGAAAAAATAAATATTTCTGAAGTAAATGGATATTTGAAGGCAATAATTTTTTTTCTCAGTGTGAGGTTTGGGGGTGGTAGTAAAAGGTGAAACGTCTTGTTGATTGACTCTTTGTGATAAATTTTTAGGGTACAAATAATGTCCTGACTTTTATTAAAAATTTAATCGTTATCGAGGTAATTCCACTTTTCACGTGATTTTTTCTGCATCAATTGAAAAAACAAACAGTTGAGTTGTATCAGCTCTCATTAATTGAACAATTATCTCGATAACGAGTGGTTTTGGAGGAATGTCATGGGAATTACTCAATTTTATGTTAAAAAAATAGATTTGGCTTGCGTTTCACCAGTTTACTGCAGTATTAATGCCCCTCCCAGATAACAAGAGGACCAAATATTTTCTGAATGCTCTTTGTACAAAAAAAAATTACGAGTTAACGGTTAATTAAGATACTTTAATGTAATTTTTTTCATTTGATTTTGTCATTGATTATGTGTGTTATGTAGAAAATATTTTTAGGAACATGTGAGATGTATTTGTGAGATAGATCTTCCGTTTGCACAAGGATAATTGCACCAAAGTTTTTTTTCGATTTCTCTCTTTTAGATTTTCGACGGTCCTGAACCACTTGCCACATAATTTTTAGGAACAAAGAGAACAGAGTAGTTGATTAAGATTTTTTTTTCAGAAACCAGTGCCTTGTTAATGATAATTGTCCAGTATTTATTAGGTCGTGTTCCTTTTTTACAACTGTGAATAGAATGAAATGTTACCTTATTGAATAATAAAATTGAATTCATGAGAAGACGTTTGTATACTTTATTTCCACTATTTCGTTGATTTTTTAATGACGGAGTTGCACTATTGACAGTTTTCGTTGATTAATCATGATTTCTCTACGGTAGAAAGAGTGCCTGGGGCTTTTAGTCCAATCTAAGACAGTTATTTGTACGTTCTAGCGTCTAGGTTCAATCGGAAATCAACAAAGTCACTCTCACGTATACTCTTGAAAATAATTAACATTTTTTGATAGAGTATTTACATATTTACAGGTAGAAATAGTTCATCTGAGGAGTTTTCTAGAAAATATACGTATCTGCGAGGGGTTTGCAGGCGAGAGTAATTGATATTTAGGGGATTATTGATGGGAAATCTTCAGAAACTAACTTTATCCATTCTTTTTCATCCCAATATTCAATTATCTCGATTGGATTTGATACGAGATCATCCATACGATAATTAAACATTTGATGATCGATAAAAGAAGATATCCATTTTCTTAATTACAAAAATGCAATTATCTCAGGAATAACTAATTTTTAAAAATGAAAAAAAATTGTTTTGTATTTTTATTTTTCAACTCAACAAAAATCCCCAATGTATTTTTTTTCGAAATAGTTTTTTAAATATGATCTAAAATTCTTTTGTGGAAATTCACTCATTCTAATCGATACTTATAACTGATTTTTAAAAATATTTTTTCAAGTTGACCAATGGACTTGAAAATGTATCTTGCCCGTATTTTTCATAATTAAATAGTAAAAATCAGTGATAATATTTAAAAAACTATTAAAAAAATTCTTCGGGAATTTCTCAAAAGTTGATTTTTCGAATAGAAAAAATTCGAATCTCTAATGAGGAAAAAACACGCGGAAAATATTGTTCTTAAAGTTTTTTCCTCGACTAATTTCCTTAAAATTCTCAAAAAAGAACTCCACATAAATTTCCTCCCACCAACAAAATAATATCCGAAAAAATTCTAAAAATCCCGATGAAGAGGCATATTCCCTGGTCCCCATTAGCGCCCGGAGCAGGCATCCTTAAAATTGCTGGCATTGAACGGCGCAAAGTAGTCGTCATGCAGCTGCCTGATGATGGACTCGATCGAGCACAATTTGTACTCCTTCCTGTACCACTCGCCCTCGTCGTTCCTGTCCCCATAGCTGGCACTGTAATAGTTGGAGTTCTTGCAGAAGGGGATGGTCTGAGTGACGTCCCTGCCATTGACAAGGACCCTGAAGTAGAAATCGTTGGGATTGTGGCTCTCGCTCTTGGGATTGGCCCTGCAGATCTCGATGACGAGCCTCGAGGCATAATGGGGCAGCACAACGTGATCCGAAACGATCCCCAGGGCGATTGCCAGGTACTCCAGGGTCTTGTCGTGAGCCGAGAAGAGGACGACTTTGGGTTTGGACTCTGAGACGATCTGCATCATGTGGGAGACGATGGTCTTGAGGAGGCCGTAGGCTCGCAGGAGGCCGTGCTTCCGCCTGGTGAGGCTCTTCATGTTTATGCGGGACTCCCACTCGGTGTAGGCGAAGAGACCTGTCACGTGCTCGGTTTTGACGCAACTCCTCTGGGAATTGTCGAAGTCCACGCAGGGGAGACTCGCCCCGTGGCAGATGTAGGTGAGGAGGGCGTCCCTCAGGCTGTTGGGCTTGGGAGAGTCCTCAGGAATGTCGAAGACCACGTTGGCTGCCTGCTTTATCAGGTTTGTCACTGCCGGATGGGATTTCAAGCGGTCCGATGTTTCCTGGAATGAACATTTGACACATTTGACGAAACTACTTAATTATCTCCATGAATAATTCTGAAACAAAATCTGAAGACATTTTTTGCGATTTTCCTGATTCACAAAAAGTCTTTGAATTTTTCTAAAAATCGGTTTCGATGCAAATAAACAAAAATTGAATATTCACGGGGAAAAAAACATCAATTTTAAAAAATTGTTCTTCAAGAATATTCAATTATCTGTTAATTATGTTATCTGTTAATTATATTAACAGTAAGTGATTTTAAAACAAAACAAAAATGATTCTCTCACCTTACTGAACTGCTTCGAGTATTTCTCAGCAGCAGGACAGGCGCAATCGCTATTGCAAAATGTAAAACTCGAGACTTCCCTCATGCTGATTTTCCCGAGGTTCTGAAAGCCATTCTCCTCCAGAAAAGTGTACAGAAGGGCCACTGCACTCTGCACAGTCCTCCTGTACCTAGTGCTGTACACGACGACGTCTTTGGAGGTGATCGAGGAGTTCTGGAGCTTCAATTTATCGTAGTAGGCGTTTCTGAGGAGCATTCCGGTCTTCAGGAGCTGGCCGATCCCCAGAGTCGTGAGTTCCCCGATTTTGCAGTCTCTGGTGTTCGCCGGGAGCATTGGGAACCCGTGGAAAGGGCCCAGAAACTGGGCCCAGGCGTTTCGGGAGTACAGGGAAGCGTTCTCCAGAAAATTTTGGTAGCTCTGGTAGACTGTCTCCAGGCGGGGGTTCAGCGAGAAGTCGCCTGCACAATTCACTGTGCTGATGTTTCTGATATGTGATAAGGGACCTCTGTCACCGTGTCTGATGAGAATTATTACACCTTCCAGGGTCAAATTTGCGTCGATTTTACCTGGGGAAAATTGATTTCAGGGAAATTTTGAGGATGAATTAGACATCAATTTCTATAATTACTAAATCGATTGATTTATTCTATTTTGTTTCATTTTATTTTCATTTCCGTCTTCACAGTTAGATTAATTTAATTTTATCCATTCTTATTCTTATTATTATTTTTTTTTCATTAATTTACGAGTTACAACATTGAATGAAGCGGAATAATGTTAAAGATTAATCAAAATTTGATTTTTTTTATAGAATTTAATAATTTAAGAAATATTTGCAAAATAATAAATTCTAGAATAATTTTATCGGCGTAATTGTATTAATTGTGTAACATAATTACCTTCAGCTCCAATGTTAATATCATCCACCGAATTACAGAGCTTGAAGATTCGTTTATTCTTGACATCAGGCTTAAGGTGACGTGCAAACTCACGAATTGGAAGATCACTACTTTGTTTACTTTGCAATGAACTCTTCTCGTCTGTTCCTATGTACTTGTACATGCCTGGAGATACATGAAATGTGTAGAAATAATGAAATTATCCTTAAGTTGAACACCAATAATTACCCCTTGAAATTTTTTCATTCACATCAAGTCTCAAAAGAATAAATTCTAGAAACTAAAAAAATTCTAATTGCTGTCTTTAAACAATTAGAATTACTTCGAATTATTCTCAACAGCTGAAAAAAAAATTTCACTTCTCTTTAATTTTTCATTTAACATATGAGTTATTCCAACATTTGAAAATACTTTAAAAAATTATCTTTGAATAAAAAAAACAATTATCATTGAATGAATGAATCTCTTGATGAATAAAAAAATCCATTTGAATTTAATTCATTTCAATTTAATTGTCTTCCCCTAGCAATTCCAATTGAAAATTGAGTACAAATAATATTTATGAGTGAACAATAATTACCAGCAACAAGGAGAAATATCCATATGGTTAGTATAATATAGCAGTAAAATGCCCGGTGTTGATACGAGAGTCTGACCATCTCGACGAGCATTTTGTATTCATCAAACCACTGTGAAAAAAAATTTCACCTATTGTCATGAAAAATCCGAGAATTGATTTCACGTTCCGGCACAGGTGGGTACATCATCACTCGTGTCTGACGCACACCTGACCATTTCCACTGCCATAGGGTGGGCTTGATGCAGACGGAAACACTTATTGAACACCTCGACCCCGTGCACTTGGGGTGGAAAAATTGTTTGGCCTCTTTTTTTCAAGTGGAAAAAGCGTAGAAAATTTGGGGATGATGTTGCGGGTTATTTTCGTGCGTCGAGGGGACACGCAGGTTACCGAGGACATCGAGAGGGTAGTGAATGGCTTTTAATGCGCAAACGCCGGGGTTGGGGTGAAGGCACGGGACAGCGCCACAAGTTGATTGTTTTAATTATTTCAAATGGGAGATTTTATTCTTTTTTTATTATTCAGAAAGAATGGTTTTGTGGGTAAATATTGAAATGTAAAAAATCATCCAATTAATTAGATGAGTAATTATTACTGATGGGGACGGTTAATTCATTTTTTATTGCGATTTCATTGGCAATAAAAAAAGTTGACAAAAGTTTTCGTTTTTTAAACGACAATAACACCTTTAAAAAATTAAAATTTGACTATTTTATTCGATTGAAATTATAAAAATGAATTGATTTGATTTTTCAAGGGTGATAGATGTTTTTTAAATTGTTTTTTTAAATAAATTAAATTAAATTGATTAAATTATTTTTTTTTATTTTTGTTTTTTAAAAATTGTTTTTATTTTCGCATATTGATGATTTGTGGATTTTTTTTTCGACAGTGCAGCGAAATTTAATGAGTTATGAGTTCACTGAGAGTGAGACAAGTTATTTTTAGAAGCAGATATCGAAATACGGAGAGCCAGTATCCATTTTCCCGATGATCCGAGTCCCTCGATCACCCAGAAATACATGCCGTGCACGATCAATTACACTCGTGACATATTCCCGTATTCCCGAAAGAACTAAGGGAGTGTCGTAATACGAATCCTTCTGCGTCATACCTCCGATTAATTTCTTCTCATTGGGACCCAAGGGATCGTGATACTTGAGTTTCGATAATTTATTCAGGATATTTTTAGCATGAGGCGTTATTTATTGCGCCTTATCAATATTAGAAATAGATCTATATGTTATTCACTTCCAAAATAAATAAGAAATGCGTGAAATGACAAAAAATATTGAATTGTTCAATCAAAAAACGACATTTCGAATAATTATTCTCTCTTTAAATACTCCATTTTTAAACGAAAAATTCGACTGAAAATTTTTTTGTCGCTATTTTATTCATCTGAAATATCATAAACAAATTGAGTTAATTTTCCAAGCGTTAAAGGTCTTATCTGAGCATTATTATCAATTTTATACTCAACTTCGACTTGTGAATAATAAAAAAAAACATTTTCATTTATTGTCATTTCAATTTGTTAATAATAAAATAAAATTAAAATCGCATATTCAAATTTTTCCAAAGGGAATGCCCCCGAGTTATTCAATAAAAATTACATATTATGGACAAGCTGATTTGATTTTTTTCAAGTGGAAAATTTCATTCAAATATTATTTTCATTCGATACTATTTTATACTCAACTGGCACTCGTAAATGATTTAAAAAAATTAAAAAACGCATATTCAAATTCTTCAAATGGAAATTCTTCAAATGGCCCACCAGTGATTTAATAACTTCCCAAAAAATGAAAAAAATTAAAGCTCACGTAAAAAAGCCGAAGCAATAAAGCAGAAAATAAATAAATAAAAAAAACGAATAAATGAAAACTCAACGAATCTCTCCTTTATTCATCCTCTCAAAATTCTCGTGGTAACGGTGGAAAATATACAACCGAGGACGAGGCGACCAGGGGGTGGGTTTGTATACTCAATCCCTCATTTCTATGATAGTGCGGTGGTGCACTATCAGGCTCATATCACACACGTACAAATTTCTCACTGAGCGTAAAAACGCCTGCGCAATTCTGAAGTTATATCAGCCCCGCGCACTATATAAGCGAGTTAAACGCCACCCCAACCACTATTCACGTACGGAAAATCGGTGGATTTTCGTCTGACCGGGTACACACGATCGAGGAATTGGAAATTTGAGATTTTGAGTTTTAAATTGTAATTTTGAGGATTTTTTTTTTCAACGGGAAATCCTGGAGGTGGGACATGGCGAATTGTAAGGGAAGCTATTGTCTTTTACTGGTTGTTCTTGCACTTGTCGGCGATCAACTGCAGATACCTGTGGTGAGTGGTTTTTAATTGAATTTTTTCATCGCGATTTTTTAAATTTTTTCCTGTGGAGATTTTTCCGTCTTTTCATGAGGATACCACTAATATTGCTGATGATTTGAAATGGTGAAAAGAATTAACGACATGATTTCAAGTAGTGAAAACGATTTTCGTTTCTGTGGGAAATTATGAGAAAATTCAATTTTTGGAGAGAATTTTAATTTAGGGGCGATTGTGAGGAATTACTGATGGAAATTGAGTGACAAGTATCTTTGGAAGGTCATCAGTACCTATGAAGAATAAAGAAATTTTTTTTAGACCGTAAAAACGATTTTTTTGTAGAAATTGATAAAAATGATGAATTAAGAAAATTTAAAATTTCCAAAAGGATAGTTTTAGTTCATCTGTAATTATTATGAATGATTAGAATCTCAACAACATTCTTGATCTGAAGAAAAACTATTTTCTGATGATAACTGATATGAAAAATTCATTTTTTCAAATTAAAACGCTAATAAAAAATTTCTGTGGGAAATTGTGAGAAATGTCAATTTTCGTAGGGAAAGTTCAATTTAGGGGCGATTGTGAGGAATTATTGATGGGAATTGAGTGGCAAGCATCTTTAGAAGGTCATCAGTACTTCTGAAAAGTGAAGAATTTTTTTAGAACGTAAAAACATTTTTTTGGAGAAATTGACAAAAATGTTAATTTAAATAATTCGATTTTTCCAGAACAAAAATTTTAGTTCCTTTGTAATTACCATGATTGATTAGAATCTCAACAACATTTTTCATCTAAAAAAAAATGCTTCCGATTTTTCCAACAGTTTAAAACAATTTTCTAACGATAATTGTCAAGAAAAATGCGTTTTTTAAATTAAAACACTAATCACTTTCAGCAACTCGTTTAAAATCTTCGAAATTTTCCATAAAAAATCCCTACAAGCTCGTAATGCATCCCCCCTGCTTCCCAATAAGCCACCCCCAAGAAATCTCCATAAAATATATTTTAATTAAGACTCCCTCGGAGTTGAATAGAGCTTTTAATATTGACATGAAAAACTTTTTCCCCAGATAGAAACCTGTTGCCTGTCTTTCAGGCTCGCTTGCATTCCCCGAGTGGTCTCCAAGGTATCTTTTGATCCCTTCCCATGAGTAAAAAAATCCCTGCACATATATTCCCCAAAGCTTTGTCTATCCTATCGATCGTTTCTTTTATACGATAGAGTATTTCATGGCGATAAAGTCGGGTCTCAATACTTTACAACTTCGAGGAATTTAATTAATTCTTCACTCGGTTCGTTCAAGTGGATGTTGGACGTCTACTTTTCTCCTATCGAGATAAACCAAAATAATTTATCCCATCGGGAACATTCCGACACGCATTCCTCAATATATCCTTCAATTTTCCTTGAATGGAATGAAATCTCGGAAATGCGAGAATTTTTGTTTCATTTTTTTTCTCAATTTCTTGTCATTTGCACGAATTTTTCCATTAAAAAATTTCATTTCATTCATTTTTTAATTTATTCAGAAAAAAAATTAATAATATTGACTTTTCTATTAATAAAGTTATTAATAATAAAGTTTGTTATTTCATTATTATAAATTAATAATATTGATCAAATATTTAATTTTTTCTAAATAAAAAAAAATAAATAAAATGAAAATTTTCATTCATTTAGAAAAAAATAAAGCGGCTCGTCATATTGACACGAGTTTTCCATCTCAAATTTCCCTGCCTATAAAACAAAATATTCCCCCCGTTTAGTCCCAACATTTTTAATTTTTTAATTAGGAAATGTTTGAACGTCGAAACGAATCGATAACGAAAGATAAACATTAACATTGTCTCTCGATTTGAACGACATAAAGTGTCTATAACAGTAAATGTCCCTATCACTGAACAAAAGAGGTAGCCCTACAGCGCAGACAGTTGAAGCCTCTCACCGGGTACATTAGGTTGAGGAGCTGTACTTGCAGTACCTTGATAAACAGTGCCCATTGTTCCGGCGACAATCTCCCTTTATTACCGCCCCCCACACACACACATCAACACTAGAATTCCCATTTTATTTTCTCCAATTTCTTCATCCCTGTGACGTCTCCAGGCACCGCTCCATACCCAGTCGTAACTCGATGCCTTTAAGATCAGGGGTTTCCCAAGTATGTCGTCATTCTCGTTATCGTGGATCAGTAATTTCCTCCGAGAGGAATCAGCCTCGCGACTCCAAAATCTGAGACGCAGGCCATTAACGGTGACATTTGGAACGAAAATGCGAATACATTATCATTTCGGAAGATGGGAAATTAATTTGGAAGAAAATTAGCGACAGTTTATTGATATTCATGATATATGGAAAAAAATATATTTGAGTCAAGTATACAATATACTTGATTCAAGTATATTTTACACTCAATTCAAGTATATTTTTTTTTAATAAGAGATTTTTTGCACTAATTATTTGTTTTTGGACATATATAATCGATCTTCACTTTAAAATTCACAGTAGTCTCCCCTTAAAATAACAATGAAACTAAAAAACCCCTGAAAACGAAAAAGAATATATTGGATTTGACTCTGATCTCCAGTTACTAATGCTTAAACCCGTCTCATTTCCCTCCCCTCCCCTAATTGAAGAATCGATTATTACAAACACGCACATTACAAACACGTTGAAAAGTTAAATTTCCCGTTCCTTCCATTCCACTAATGCAATACAAACTGTCCGCAGTCTCATGCAGCAGTAAACTCAACAATTAAAAGCACCAACTGGTGGACAATGCACCAGAAAGTTTTCCATAGATTTTTGTTCGACTCCAGGGGAAAATTATTTTCGTCACTTGCGGGATATTTTCGATTCACAATGGTCATTGAGCCATTTATTTTCGTATTCGGTATTTATACTGTTGCGGAGGTAATTGTCTCGCGTCTGGATGCAGTCTGAGATTATTTGTTTGTGGGAATTTCAGTGAGTGAATTTTCCGGGATTTTCATTAATCATTGGAACAGGTGCTAGCCGCTTTTGGGAATTGGTACCCATGGAAATTGGTTCTGGAGGCATTACGGGGATTGGAGATCTGTGGGTCGTGCGGTTGAGTGGGAGGAATTATCTCGGTTGAGAATTTTCTCAGGGGATTAAGATTGGTTCGGACATTTTAGAGGATTTTTCCGTTGTTTGCTCGATTTCATTTCTCGTAAACTCAGTCAGATCATGTCATATTAGACTATTTTATTGCTATTCTACTTTATTTATTTTTATCTATTTATTTTTCCATTTTATTTTTATTTCTATTTTATACTATTTTTTATTTTATTTTCTTTCCAAGTGGTAAACCGGTATAAGTCAATTTTGACTACTGCCCAGTTTTCAATGGATATCTCGTAATCTAAGGGAAATAGCGAAATTGTTATCATTTCCTTTTTTGTAGAGCAAATTGAGAGCTACAAAAAAGGTTATGACAAAAATTTGGCTATTTCCCTTAGATTTTGAGATATTCATTGAAAACTGGGCAGTAGTCAAAATCGACTTATACCGGTTTACCACTTCACCACTGAATTAGATTAATTTAATTTTATCCATTCTTATTCTTATTGTATCAATTTTTTTCCTAAATTCATAAGTTACAAGACTGACTGAAGAGGAATTCTGTTAACGACCAACAAAAAATGTTTTTTTTGTGATCAAGTGATTGTAAATCTTATTCGGGTTAAAAAAATCTCCCATATATTCCAGAAATTTTAAAAAACGGGACGATCGGCTAGAAAATGGAGAAAACTTGTTATATTTTACTTATAATATTATATTTCTTTTATAATATTATAAAAATATCCCGAAACTATAATTGATGTTATCAATTTGTAATATTACAAAGAAATATAATTTTATAAATTGGCAACATCCGGGGGTTTCGCCATTTAAATTTTTTATAATTGAAGTGTTGCGCGGGACACTTTGTGCTTTCAATAATGCTACGTACTACTCTGCGCTGTTTTACAGGCCTCAATGGGCGTCTGCCCGACGCCTTAACTAAATAAATAAAAAATAGAAATATCGGTGGATCACAAGTGGACGGAAATTCAGTTGGAGCGATTCTCGTTACTTTTTCTTTCTTGAAAACCGTTTATATTCCCCTGGAATTCGCTGAGCAATTTCACAGACGGCGGAGTTTGGAATTCCTCGGCACATCCTCTGCATGTCCCGGAGGGTATCAACGTCCAACAATCATTTTTTTTAAGCCGAGGAGATAAAAATCCTCCACACGATAGGTATTCATAGGGGCGTCAGTCTATGAATACCTGGCGGCTTTTAACATCTATGAAACTCCAAATTTCATGGCCGAGCAAACTGAAATGACGCAGGAGTAAAAGCCTCTCCACCGGAACATGGGATAATACGTGGGAGCGGGGTTAAGCCCTTGGTATGTACCGACAGTTTGGGAGAGAATTAGGAAATGGAGTTGTATTTCCCATTGAACTTTTGAGTATTTCTCGAAGAATTCGATGAACGGATAATTAATTCAAACGAAATGTGTATTTTTATAATTTTTTTATAGAATATTTTCGTTCCTGCACTGTGAAAAAAAATTTCTAATATCTGAAACACATTTTCTTGAGAGAAGTAAATTATTTTCAATAGCTTAAATTTCAGAATGTGTGCACTTCCCGGAACTCGAATAAATTTTCATTCATCACTATCGTTCCGCGTTACGTCATGAATATTTTACATATTGCAGTATTGGAAGCGCATAACGAAAAAATCATGAAAACAATAAAGACTAGAATGACGATTCTTACACGCGATTGAAGTAAGTTCATTTGCGACAAAATTATACTTGAGTACAAGAATATTTTAAAGCATGAGGCCTTTCTCGGGTCATGTGAGTTGAGATGCCTGAGAGAATTAAGCAATTGCAGAAAATTTACTTGTCTCAAGGAAATATGTTTCAGATATCAGAGAATTTTGTCCTCAGTGTGATCTGCTGAGCCCACTCTCATTACCTACTTCCTAGAAAAATTAATATTCCAATTTTAATCTCTCGGATTTCCTTCGCTAGAGCTTTTTTCACTCGGGAAAAGCTTCATTCATGAAAAAACTCGTCGAGTGCGTCCTTCGACAGCTAATGGAGGGAATTAATGCTTCCCCATGGTCCCGTGAATCCGGAATTAAGAGAGCACGCACTGGATCCACTTGAATTTTTAACTCGCTCTAATTCCGGGGATAGAGTCGAAAAAAAATATCGGCAGATCCGAAGGGAACGGGAGATGTTCATGGCTGATGATCGTGTAGCGCGTGCATAGAGCATGACGCTGATTTAATGAAGTTGTTGGCCACCTGTGTATTGAGTTATGAGGTACATAGGTCACTGTAGGATTCTCCTGGAAATTCAATCGATGCATTCCACGCACGTTTTTCACTTCATTCAAGAGTATTTCCCGGAAAATCAGTACTTGAATTATTGAAAATTGAAATGAATGAACAAAAATAGTCCCACGCGATGGCCAGAGAAGTTCCCGTTTCCAAACCCTGCAAATAACTTCGTCCACCTCCACTAGTTTTTGAAATTTTCAAAAAAACCAAAATTTCATCTTGAAATAAAAAAACAGCTGTAACAGACGAAGGAATTTAAATAAATTGATCGTCATATTGTGTTTTCCGGCTAAAATTTCCTCCGCTATTCGATGAACCAACTCTCACCCCCGTCCGTCCCGTTTTGCCCCCACCTACTTAGTAAAGTTCGAAAATAACCCGATTTTTTAGATTTTTTTGAGCAAATTCAATTGTTGTCGTGTTGGTTAATAATTTCGTGAGATTCTCGGGACTATTTCAACAATATCAGACATTCCCGACGCATCCACAACCCCCAATATTTTCAAAAAACCAAAATTTGATCTTGAAATAAAAAAACAGCTGTAACAGACGGAGGAATTTAAATAAATTGATCGTCATATCGTGTTTTCCGGCTAAAATTTCCCCCGCTATTCGATGAACCAACTCTCATCCCCGTCCGGCCCGTTTTGCCCCCACCTACTTAGTAAAGTTCGAAAATAACCCGATTTTTTAGATTTTTTTGAGCAAATTCAATTGTTGTCGTGTTGGTTAATAATTTCGTGAGATTCTCGGGACTATTTCAACAATATCAGACATTCCCGACGGATCCACAACCCCCAATATTTTCAAAAAACCAAAATTTCATCTTGAAATAAAAAAAACAGCTGTAACAGACGAAGGAATTTAAATAAATTGATCGTCATATTGTGTTTTCCGGCTAAAATTTCCCCCGCTATTCGATGAACCAACTCTCATCCCCGTCCGGCCCGTTTTGCCCCCATCTACTTAGTAAAGTTCGAAAATAACCCGATTTTTTAGATTTTTTTGCGCAAATTCAATTGTTGTCGTGTTGGTTAATAATTTCGTGAGATTCTCGGGACTATTTCAACAATATCAGACATTCCCGATGCATCCGCGACCCTCAATATGAATGAATGAGTCCCTCCCGGAATTTCGTTTGAGGAAAAGTTTATTGAATGGACCTAAACCACCTTTGTTTCTCCCACTGTGGGATTCCAGGGCCTCGGTCCAGGGATATGTTCCATCCCCATTCAACCAGTGACAATCCCGGGGATTCTCAAGCATGTACATGTGTTTGTGGAGTTTATGTATTTGTACATACGAAAACTGGAAAAGCACACGAGAGATGAGAAATTCCAAGTGCAGGGGTGAATAATTGGTGCAGTTAATGTCATGAACATGTGATGCCCGTGTCATGATGCGATGAAAATCGTGGAATTAATAACAGGAATGAACAATTCAATTAATTCATGAATGAACGGAAATATTAATTAATTATTCTTCAACAATTTTTTACGATGAATTACGCGAAAAGAAAATTAAACGGACTCGTTGAAGTTTTTATGAGATTATGGAATAATTGTTCGTGATTAATTATTATTAATTACTTATTATTGATTATTTATTATTAATTAATCAGATATTTTTATCAATTAATTCCTTTGTAATTGATAATTTTGCTGAACAAATAGACTAAAAAAAATACTGTGAATGGATTTAAAATAGAAAAAAATCGTGGAATTAATAACAGAAATGAACAATTGAATTAATTCATGAATGAACGGAAATATTAATTAATTATTCTTCAACAATTTTTTACGATGAATTACGTGAAAAGAAAATTAAATAGACTAGTTGAAGTTTTTATTAGATCACTGAATAACAGTTCGTGATTAATTGTTATTAATTATTCATTATTAACTAATCAGATATTTTTATCAAGTAATTCGTTCGCAATTTATTCGTTTAATAATTTGCCTGAATAAATAGAATCGAAGGAATACTCCGAATGAATTCGAAATTAAAAAAAAATCCTTCTCTGATGTTCTTCTTTAATTTTTGATTAATTATTGAACGATGAGATGGAACTGAAGTGAAAGACCTGCGTAATCTTTTACCTTTTACCACTGTAAAAACGATTAGATATCCCCTGCGGTGACGACTGAACATCTGTGGGTGTGAGCGAGAATTAATTGCCTTTCCCCCGCTCCCCCACGAAATGAATAAAATAAAAAAACCGTGTTTAGGACGAACCGCTTTATCTGACCTTTCACGTGTGCCAGGAATATACCGCTGTATTACAGCGATTTGTGAAATTGAGTTTTGGTTCGGGGGCTTAAGTATCGAGTGCATCTGACAATTGAAAACAATTCGTCGGATATTCACGTCTGACAGGTGCATGGTTATTCCACTAGTTGAGTAGAATAAACTCGGGGCTTTTCGAATTCTGGAAAATTGAGAATATATCGATGACATTTCGATTGATTGAAATCACAAGTCACAGTAAATCACGGAACAAACGATATTTTTTAATTAAAAATGGATTTTTACCCGGAAATGGAGATTAATTTTTTGCCTTTTTCTCTTTTTTTTTGCTTTTTCCGAACGGAAGCATTATAATCGTTCAAATTTAATGCGAATGAATACCTAGAATTCTATCTTTCATTTTCAAATGTAGGTATTGTTGAGCCCTATCAATCGCTCTTAATTAAAATTGAATTCATCGATTCGTTTTTTTAATTTTCGATTTTTTTCGAAAATCGGTTGTCCCACGATAACTAAAAAAATATTCTGAATTGATTGAATGGTGGCTTCAAAAATTTGTTTGGATGTCCTTTTGACAGTTCAAAGATGAAGGCGATAGCAATAATCGTTATTTTGATTAATTTGAAAATTCGCAAAAATTTTGAATTCTTTGAAAATCAGAATTCCGGGGATATCTTTGAATATCATGCTTCAAATGAATTCAATCATAGCTTAAAATGTTTGTTCAATGCCATTAAGTCGAAGTTAAAAGATGATTACGATAGCTATATCGGTCGATTTGATTTTCATGATAATTGTTGAAAATTTCGAATTTTTCATGAATTTCCCTGAAAGTGAGTTTCTTCAAATGCGATGTTTCAAATTCATTCAAGTATGTGTAAATAAAAATTTTCTATTAACATTTTATCGAAGGGCTGAGGGGAGAGATAGAACCGTAAAAAAGACAATCGGTTGTACAGAAGAAGGGAATAATAAGAATAATGACAAAATTAGTTGAAAAGAAATCTTATTCAATTAAATAAACTGAAATAAACAATGAATTGTACATGACAGAAGGAAGTGATGTGCAAAATAACCGTTCGGAAACATATTGCTAATTTATTACCAAAAATAACTGTATTATATGCAATAAAAGAGCGATTTCCCTTTTGTTTTCAAAGGTGACATGTCAAGAGGACGACGTATCAACCCGCTGCCTCCCCCGTAAAACCTTCTACGCATTCCTCCGTCTACCGGAAGTGAGTTCCAACCTCGCTGCCTATTCCCGCACCGCCCGCATAATCCAGGACGCGAGAAACGATTTTATTCACTTGAAGACTCTGAGCACCCCCGGACGCGAAGACAGTGACGACGCGAGGATTTGTCTTCCGGCGATAGTCTACTACGAGATATTCAGTGATCCGACGATGCGAGCGCACCTGAATGCCATCGAGCGCGCCCAGAAGATGGTCGAGGACCCGGAGCGAGTGGATGAGACCGGGTTTTTCGATTCTGAGAAGAGGAGTCTCGCTACGCTCGCTAAGAACGGAGATCTCCCGGCTTCCATTCAGGAGAGGGTGCAGGAGAGACAGGAGGACGGGGAGAAACGGAGTGAGGCGAGGTAATTAGATATGACGAGGCGGTTTAATTAAGGGGATTGGTCTAGTCGGAGAAGATGAGCTACAGGAATGATTGACATTATTTTCTCTGCAAAAAGTAGAAGTGACGCATTCGAATGACACAAAACAGTTCATTTGAAATTTTCTTAATCATAAAGTCGTAGATTTATTTGCAGACATCGGGGGAATCATAAATTTTAATTAAAGTTAAATTTTGAATGAGTTAATTGTCAATTGTGCTAATATTACTCGTCAATTTTTTAATTATTCAATTAATCATCAGTTGAACAGTTGAATTCCGAATTATTTTATCAATCAATAATTGTCATCCGAATCGCCTTAACACATTTAGGAAACCAATTCGTTGAGTTCACCCAAAGCACTTCCCTATCAAAACAAAAGCCTCTAATGTCATCCCGTCACCCCTGATATTTCCCGGCCGCCCGAAAAACTCGATTGCCAATCCTTCTAAAAACGGCCGATCCGAAAGGAGCACTTACCCCTCCACTAACTCACTTACTCCCACAACGGGGTTCCCTCCCTCTCAGCCGCAGCCCGTCAAACATCCCCACACGGAGAGAAATTTTCTAGAAAAATTCTAGTACGAGTACTGGAAAAAATCACAACCGGCTGTGAAAAATTCTAGCGCTGTTAAGGTAAAATGTCTTGGTATTTCTGGTAAAATTTCTGGGGATTTCTGTGAAATTTTCACAGTAATACGGGGAAAAATGCACGTTTTCCCCAATAAAATTTCTAGTGCCGGCATTGGAATTCTTTCCTGGAAGTGGTAAAACGATACAAAAATATCTCGGAATCTAAGGGAGACAGCAAAATTTTTGTTAGAATCTTTTTTGTAGAGCCGACTGAGAGCTACAACAAATGTAATTACGAAAATTCCGCTATCCCCCGTAGATTCGAAAATATTCCTCAAAAACTCAACTGGGAGATAAGTCGACTTAAACCGGTTTACCACTTCGCTACTGAATTTTTACGGATGCCATCGGCAGCGAGAGAAATATTCCGTAAAAATTACGGAACAATTCACGTGATCCGCAACGGGGAATCTAAATTTTTCCGGATGCCATCTGCACTGAGAGAAATATTCCGTAAAAATTACGGAACAATTCACGTGATCCGCAACGGGGAATCTAAATTTTTCCGGATGCCATCTGCACTGAGAGAAATATTCCGTAAAAATTACGGAACAATTCACGTGATCCGCAACGGGGAATCTAAATTTTTCCGGATGCCATCTGCACTGAGAGAAATATTCCGTAAAAATTACGGAACAATTCACGTAATTCACAGCGGGGAATCTGAATTTTTCCGGAATTTTTCCGGATGCCATCCGCACCGAGAGAAATATTCCGTAAAAATTACGGAACAATTCACGTAATCCGCAACGGGGAATCTGAATTTTTCCGGAAGCCATCTGCACCGAGAGAAATATTCCGTAAAAATTACGGAATAATTCACGTAATCCACAGCGGGGAATCTGAATTTTTCCGGAATTTTTCCGGATGCCATCTGCACCGAGAGAAATATTCCGTAAAAATTACGGAACAATTCACGTAATCCGCAACGGGGAATCTGAATTTTTCCGGATGCCATCTGCACTGAGAGAAATATTCCGTAAAAATTACGGAATAATTCACGTAATCCACAGCGGGGAATCTGAATTTTTCCGGAATTTTTCCGGATGCCATCTGCACCGAGAGAAATATTCCGTAAAAATTACGGAACAATTCACGTAATCCGCAATCGTTTTCCGCAATTTTTGTAGGAATGGAAGAGCAGAAATCTGAAACGTTCAGTGAATTTCCAAGTTCATCACCGAACAAAGTACGAAATAGTCACGTCATTTCTCCCGAAGAAGTCAAATTTTACAGAAACTTGCCGACTTATTGTGTCTCCAAAATAAAAAATTCTTGAACGTTCAACAATTTTTATAAAGCTAGTGAGTTATTTCTACGTTCCGTTCCGTAAAATTTCTCAATCGTTGGGGAAAAATTGCGAAACGACTTGTCCCCCCAGCGGTGAGTCATCCCACGGCTGGTTAATTTTTACGGAACAAATTATAGAATTTACGTGGCGATTCGTACAATTTCAGTTCCAACTCACACTTTTTACTGAATTTCACTTCGCCCGCTCATTACGTTTCGAAACGTAATTTTCACATGTTTTTCTGGTAATTTTTACCGAATGTTTCTCTCCGCGTGAAAGCGCCCCGTAAGACCGGTAAATATTCCGCAATTTATCGGTAAATTATCAGCTGTGGTGCAAGCACTAGAATTTTTCTAAAAAATGTCTCTCCGAGCAACTAAAAACCCCACGTAAAATAATTTCGCCCCCAGTCTGACGCCTGAGGAGCTCCTGAAGCTGTACGTCGGCGAGTCCTCCGGGGAGAAGCCGACGGAGATGGGCTACCCCCTCCCCCGGAGTTCCCTGGACACCGAGCCGGAGGACTTCTTCACCGGCAAGCGGAACATCGCGGCCCTCGCCCGAGAGTACGCCCTCCCCGGACGCCGAAATATCGCGTCGATGGCGCGCGAATTCGGTCTCCCCAGTGGCAAGAGGAATGTCGGCGCCCTCGCCCGCGACAGAGAGCTCCCCTCGGGGAAGAGGAGCCCCCCCTACACCCTCGGGAGGTTCTTCGTAATCCCCGTAACCACCGGAAAGAGAAACGTGGGCTCTTTGGCCAGAGACTCTGCGCTTCCTCCTTATGGCAAACGGGGAATCGCTAGTTTAGCCAAAAACGGAGATTTCCCTTTTCCAAAGAGGAACGTGGGGACGTTGGCCAGGGACTGGAGCCTCCCGCAGTCCAGGCATGGAAGGTCGCTCGACGAGGAGGAGATGAAGGACGCGGTGGTCAATCGGAGGGTCGGGGAGGACGAGGGGAGCAATGGCTCCAGTCCCTTTGAGGCGCAACTCAATGATGTCAAGGCGAGGGGAAAGAGACAGGCGGATTACACTGATGAATATCCACTTCCTGTTATGCAGAATACTAATGTACTGGATTATGAGGATATCATTGAGGCCATTGCTAATGGATTCCCACAGGCGGCTAAGAGATTTATGGGTGAGTTCAGGATTTTTGAATTATTTGGGTAAAATGGGATTGGGGGAGTTCAGGGGGAAGGTGGACAGGTTTCCGGGGAATTTTTAGATCTTCGGGGGAAATTAGTTGATGGGGAGACTATTTTCGTGGGCAATTTAGGTCTTTTTAGTTGACCTATTGAATTTTTTTTTTTATTTAGCAGAGAACTTTGAATAATTGGTATTATCTCAAGAATGAAGGGGTGTAGGAGAAAATGTGAGATCTTTTATGTGGAGGACATTTCTTATGAAAAAATATTCTATTAAAATATTCAATTAAAGATTTAAGGAGCGAATGGAATATTTTGGGAAATTTTTTACTACTCATTATCTTAGAAATCGAGAAGTTTAGGAGAAATGTCGAGAGATTTGGTCCTAAATTTCACCAAAGTCATGTTTATATTTTTTATTATTTAGCACAGAACTTTGAATAATTATTTTTATCTCAGGAGTGGAGGGATGTAGGAGAAAATTTCCTACAGAAAAAAATATTCTAGTATTTGTTCCTGAAATCACTCATTATTGAGGTAATTTATAATTAGTTTGAATGAACGAATGGAATATTTTGAAAAAAATTGTATTATTAATTATCTCAGGAATGAAGGGGTGTAGGAGAAAATGTGAGATCTTTTATGTGGAGGACATTTCTTATGAAAAAATATTCTATTAAAATATTCAATTAAAGGTTTAAGGAGCGAATGGAATATTTTGGGAAATTTTTTACTACTCATTATCTTAGAAATCGAGAAGTTTAGGAGAAATGTCGAGAGATTTGGTCCTAAATTTCACCAAAGTCATGTTTATATTTTTTATTATTTAGCACAGAACTTTGAATAATTGTTTTTATCTCAGGAGTGGAGGGGTGTAGGAGAAAATTTCCTACAGAAAAAAATATTCTAGTATTTCCTCCTGAAATCACTCATTATTGAGGTAATTTCAATTAAAGTTTTAATGAACGAATGGAATATTTTGGAAAATTTTTTACTACTAATTATCGCAGAAATCTAGAAGTCTAGAAGAAATGTCGAGAGATTTGGTCCTAAATTTCACCAAACCCATAGGATAGAAAAAAAAATTTCATGTAACGATGATTGCCTCAGGAATCAATTGAAGTAGAGAAAATTCCGCTCATTACCCAGACAGTTTTACCCACTATCCATTAATAATGGAGATGTCAACACACTTTGCCACTTCCCCACTGAATTCTCCCACCCCATTCTCTTTAATCAATAAAAAATACGTTTTTTCTCGCACAAAATGCTTTTTCTATTGATTAATCTGACTTTAACGTGATTATTAACTTGGGAAAATTCACGGTGATGATTGATTGAAGGTAATGGGTAAAGTACGATAGAAAAAAAATGTAAAAACCAATGTTAGGAGCAGGTGCCTCATTGGACGATTGGCAGGATGATGATGATACAGTGCCAGTGGGTTATCACGGGCCTTATCAACCAAGTAAGAGACATATCGGGGCTCTGGCACGCCTCGGTTGGCTACCATCCTTCAGGGCAGCACGATTCTCGCGCTCCCCGAGATATCTGGTCGGCAGGTCAGACCAGTAGGCTTGTCCAATCATCAAAAAAATCGAAATGATAAATCAGATAACGATTATTCTCTCCCGAGAGTCTATCAGTCTCATTCTTAACTAAATAAATTCGTGTGATGTTTTATCGATGTCTTCAACCTATCCCACTTCCAGTAGAAGCGAATAAAGTTCACTGAATTGGTTATCATTTTCAATAAGAGCCTATTTGTCCGCCGGATCACAGTTGACTGCGAGATTATCTACATGGTAGATCGGTGTTTGGTGTTTAGATTTTTGTGGTAGATCTTTGGGTAGATTGATGTTGTTAATCTGTGTCTCGAGTTTTTTTTTATCTTTTAAAAAGATCCAAGAGATTTTTTTAAAATTTCAGTGAATTGAATTCTAATTTTATTTTCAATTGTTTCTTTGAGAATTTCAATTTTTTCAGTGGATTTTTTGTTTTTTATTTTTAGGTGACTATTAATTCAGTGGTGAAGTGGTCAAACAGTTCAAGTCAATTCAATTTTAGCGCCAGTTCTCGATGAATATCTCAAATTCTAAAGGAGTTGGCTAAATTTTTCTAAAAATCTTTTTTGTAGAGAAAACTGAAGACTGTCGAAAAAGATATTACAAAAATTTCGCTATCTTTCTTAAATTCCGAGTGGGAGCTAAGTCGACATAAATCGATCGCCAGCTTCACTACTGAATTTTTTTTTTTTAATTTAAGAAGATGTAAGAGAGGATTTTTAAAAAATTTAAATCAATTGAATTCTAATTTTATTTTCAATTTTTTCTTTGAGAAAATCCATTGTTGAAATAATTCCAATTTTTCAGTGGATTTTTTCTTTTTTCTTTTTGCATAAACCACTTCACTACTGAATTTATTTGAACACATGAAAAATAAATATAAATTAATTGGATCTTTTTAAAACATTCTCAAAAGGTAAGTGTATGAAGGTCGTTCCGGGTCCTCTGATCACTGCAAAATTTCTTATTATCTCTGCCCGTCTGTAGGCAGTCGTCTCACTGCCAATTATGTGAACCAGAGCTGCATGGATAAACCCTCCTTTGACTAATCGTGAATATTAATTGAAGAAACGAGATAACTAGATTAGCTCCTGGTGTCCCTGAGTCGAAGACTGAAAAATCAGTTGTTATCTCCGACATTCAATTATTTCGACATAGTTGATGGAAATCATTGTTTAATTCATAGTTGATGGAGTCATTCGTACGGATGATTGTGAGGAATTAATTCAGTAGTGAAGAGGTCAAATTATTGTAACGCAATTTTGATTATTTATTAATCCAGAATTTTTTTCAAGGAAAATTGCAATTCCTAAATGACGAAATACTGTGAGAAAAATGAAAATTTCTTCTCAAAACATTTAATGATTTCATTATTCCGTTGAGGAGTGGTTTTTCGAGAAAATTTCAGAATTAAATTGAGAAATAAAAATCTTCATCAAGAGATGAAATTGTTAATTATCTCGGGGAGTAGTTTTACGAGGAAATATCAGCCCTTTTTGTAGTTCAGGTAATTCCCGAACATGATATTTTATGACATTCTCCCCTAGACCCCATTACCGAAATAATTAGCGAATTTTACCTCTTCACTACTGCATTATCCCATTGTTTCGTTAAATTATGAGGAATTTATTATCTCAATCTGGGAATTATCTTGCAGGGAGGATTCCGCAGATGGGACCACGTCCGACGACACCTCCGACTCGTCGACTCGGTCGTTAAGTGCACAGAGAAGAGGCTCAGGGACCCGCTACGAGCAATCACTCAAGGGTGATTGTCGACATGGCTTCAGGCGATATCTACTGATACCAACGAATGACAATTATATCGATCAAAAATTACGTTACTCCATCGATTTTTAATCGCACTTAATTAACAACTAAACCTCGAAAAAAATCTATACAAAAAAAAATTGATTAATGAATTTTAATTGATCGATCGCAGATCAGAATAAAATAATAATTTCTCGCAACTCATGTTACATTGAATTGTTGACAACCTGAGTTGAAACTAATCCACGTAATTAAATTTTTAATCAAAATCTTCATTCAACAGTCTAATTGTAAATTACACCTAGTCAGAAATTCATTAGAGTACCGAGTGTAAATAAAAATCAAACTTCAGGGGCACGAGAAAATTTATGAAAACACGAAATTAGCCGGATGAATTATTCATTATTTCTTCTTTCCTCCCTTTTTCATCTCGAGTTTATGTCTCTCACCTTTTTAATTAGAAAAATGTCAGAGCTATTACGGCGGGTTCTTGTGATTAAATGAGCGCAGGAGAGAGTTATGGATTCTATAATACTCGTTACTAACATTTTTACTCAATTCCGTAGAGCAGTCAGAGAATTTATTAATCGTAAAAAATATTTGAAAAATTTATTTAGAGAATTTAGGAGTGGAGTGAAAACGTAATCGATTCAACATCACTAATTACTGAGATAATTCGCAATTTATAATTGGTAAATAATTATTCAGGGGGAAATATGAAGAGATTTTGTTTTAAGCTGAGGAAATTCTCCATAAAATGTCTTTTGAGTTTTCATTTTTAATATTTATAATTTTTTTTATTCTTTAGTTTCATAAATTAATAAAATATGCGATGTCAATGAAATACTTTTTCTTAAATTCCACTTCACTCCTGAAACTCAAATAAAATAAAAATCACCGACGAGTTATCACGGGAACGTGAGACGCTTCATTCGTTGATAAATAAGTAATGAGAATATTTTTAACAAGTACTAAAAATTCATTTCACTTAAAACCTCGGACTTTTTAAAGTTTTGTCTTCACATCAGTAATCGTAGTGTCTAGTAGCCGACTAAAAACGTAAAAAAGTTAAATGTGTATAAAATAACTGTAGAGGAATAGATTCGAGTGGGATCACAATTTTCGGTGGTTGAATTGTGATCCGGGGAATTATAAATCTGTCATCAAGTGGAGGAGAAAAATCAGGGGGTGATATCATTGGCATCTGTTTTGATCCGTGTCCTTAACAAAATGATGTTGACAGAAATGTCAGGAGATATTTTCTCAGACCTGATCTCGCCCCTGATATTCTCCCTTCAATCCCACTTGATAACAAATTTTCACTCAGGATCCGCTTTGGTGACTCATAATGCGCGCATGAGTTAGTTTAGGTGCTTTAGGATACACGTAATGATATTGATATTTGCTGTGAATGACATATAAACTCTCTGTGTCTCAAGGGTATTTTCATTGCTTATTCATTTCATTAAACCAAAAAAAATAGAAAATAATGTGATTTATCTGATGACAATAAACGGCTAAAATTATTCAGTTCTGCTCTCATTATTTATCATCTCTTATCTCTTCCATTTTACTGATTAAATCTTGTACCATCGAAGCGATAAGTCCGCGCTGCGAAATTAATTTCACTCGGATTGTCAGTCTTAATAAGAGTTGTTTGTGAATAGATTAAACTCATCCACTGATTTTGTCAAAGAGAAAGATACACAACATGGTTTAATTAGAAAATGTTGGATGTATTTTTATAAACATCCGAGATAATGGCGAAAAACGAAAATGCCAAAAAAAATTAATTTAATTTATTTTGTATAGGGTGTAGGGAAGGGAAAAATGCCATTCTGAGCCGTCCATCTGCCTGTAAGGAACCCAAATTTCCTCAGGAATCGAATGGAATAGGTTTTAAGGCTCTATCTCTCATAGTTTCCGAGATAATCGCGAAAAACGAAATTGCCAAAAAAAATTAATTTAATTCATCTTGTATAGGGTGTAGGAAGTGGAAAAACGCAATTCTGAGCCGTCCATCTGCCTATACGGAACCCAAATTTCCTCAGGAATCGAATGGAATAGGTTTTAAGGCTCTATCTCTCATAGTTTCCGAGATAATCGCGAAAAACGAAAGTGCCAAAAAAAATTAATTTAATTCATCTTGTATAGGGTGTAGGAAGTGGAAAAACGCAATTCTGAGCCGTCCATCTGCCTATACGGAACCCAAATTTCCTCAGGAATCGAATGGAATAGGTTTTAAGGCTCTATCTCTCATAGTTTCCGAGATAATCGCGAAAAACGAAAGTGCCAAAAAAAATTAATTTAATTCATCTTGTATAGGGTGTAGGAAGTGGAAAAACGCAATTCTGAGCCGTCCATCTGCCTATACGGAACCCAAATTTCCTCAGGAATCGAATGGAATAGGTTTTAAGGCTCTATCTCTCATAGTTTCCGAGATAATCGCGAAAAACGAAAGTGCCAAAAAAAATTAATTTAATTCATCTTGTATAGGGTGTAGGAAGTGGAAAAACGCAATTCTGAGCCGTCCATCTGCCTATACGGAACCCAAATTTCCTCAGGAATCGAATGGAATAGGTTTTAAGGCTCTATCTCTCATAGTTTCCGAGATAATCGCGAAAAACGAAAGTGCCAAAAAAAATTAATTTAATTCATCTTGTATAGGGTGTAGGAAGTGGAAAAACGCAATTCTGAGCCGTCCATCTGCCTATACGGAACCCAAATTTCCTCAGGAATCGAATGGAATAGGTTTTAAGGCTCTATCTCTCATAGTTTCCGAGATAATCGCGAAAAACGAAAGTGCCAAAAAAAATTAATTTAATTCATCTTGTATAGGGTGTAGGAAGTGGAAAAACGCAATTCTGAGCCGTCCATCTGCCTATACGGAACCCAAATTTCCTCAGGAATCGAATGGAATAGGTTTTAAGGCTCTATCTCTCATAGTTTCCGAGATAATCGCGAAAAACGAAAGTGCCAAAAAAAATTAATTTAATTCATCTTGTATAGGGTGTAGGAAGTGGAAAAACGCAATTCTGAGCCGTCCATCTGCCTATACGGAACCCAAATTTCCTCAGGAATCGAATGGAATAGGTTTTAAGGCTCTATCTCTCATAGTTTCCGAGATAATCGCGAAAAACGAAAGTGCCAAAAAAAATTAATTTAATTCATCTTGTATAGGGTGTAGGAAGTGGAAAAACGCAATTCTGAGCCGTCCATCTGCCTATACGGAACCCAAATTTCCTCAGGAATCGAATGGAATAGGTTTTAAGGCTCTATCTCTCATAGTTTCCGAGATAATCGCGAAAAACGAAAGTGCCAAAAAAAATTAATTTAATTCATCTTGTATAGGGTGTAGGAAGTGGAAAAACGCAATTCTGAGCCGTCCATCTGCCTATACGGAACCCAAATTTCCTCAGGAATCGAATGGAATAGGTTTTAAGGCTCTATCTCTCATAGTTTCCGAGATAATCGCGAAAAACGAAAGTGCAAAAAAAAAAAATTTAATTCATCTTGTGTAGGGTGTAGGAAGTAGAAAAATTGCGTTTTTCTACTTCCTACTTTCTACTTCCTAGGTGTAGGAAGTACAAAAATATTTCGATTATGAAATTGAGTGATTCTTACATTTCATATTGCGTGACTGTAGGAGAACGACTGCCTTCCATGGATTAATCGCCCTGTATTTTCCTGTACCTGCGATGAGCGCACCCCAGATGTCACTCTCCTCCATTTCCCACCGCCATCTTTGCCCCGACAGTTCTCCCAAAACCTCCAAAAACCCGATCATGCAGCTAATAATCCCCCAAAAGCCTCAAAACTGAAAGTAAAAAAATAAATCCACCGTAAAATCTCAAAATTTCCTCAAGCCTCGAGTGCATCCCCGGCGTTTCGCCCCTCCACACACCTGTCCTGTCTCCCAGTGCCTCGATACCTATCTAGGTGTTCCTTTCATCGCGCCTGAACACTCCGACAAAGCCCAGAGTAATCGCAACCCTGAGGAGCAAAGTGAGAGAAACAATTCCAAAACCAAAGTGACTGGAGACCCTGGGGCGTAGTGTTGGGAATTTATAATTGCTCGTACGTGTCTCGTGGATCCTCGATATGAATATCATAGTGACACGTTGGTGGACGACACTCGAGTGGTTGTGATGATAAAAATAGCTGTCAGGATCGAAAGGAGCAGCAGATGCCCCAGTGAAGGATTCAGCTGTTGAAGATTTTTTTCTATTTATGATTCACGATTTTTTGTGGTGATTAGGAGTGAATATGTGGCTCAGAGTGCTGACGAGCTGAGACAATCGATGGACGCGGCCATGTTCTCTGGTAGCAGAAATTTTCCCCATTAGTATTTATTATTTTTTTACGTTTTTTTACTGCTAGAGCGACCAGAAGTGCATTTTTGGGGGTTTTGCATTGTGAAAACGGGGGCTTGGTGAGGTGGTAAACAGCATAATGCCGGTATGCAACGTGAAGACGAAATGTCTGCCAGCAACATTTGCCTGGAGCCTTCTACTCATCACTACGACACTTTATTTCTATTATCCGTGAGTTTTTGTGGTATTTTTCGGGGGTTTGGCGGCGAAGGTGGTTGAGAGGTGATTTTGGGGAGGAAGGAGAGAAGATTAAATAGTAGCTACCACTGTAGCAGTGGATTTTTAGTTGTTTTGCAGAGACTTGATTTTTTGAGTGAATGCATTTGATAATCACTTTTGTGATTATGGGCGATGGCAGGAGCTAGAGAATTTTTCACGAAGACTTTTGTGAATTTTAGTTGCATTTGTAGACAGGGTTTTACTGACAATTTGGTTACGTTTTGTTGAATATTTTTCTAGTGGATATTGTGGTATTTAGAGATATTCACCTAGAATTTCCTTTGGATTTGTTTTTTTGGGGGAAGAAGAAGTGAATTATTATTTGATTCGCAAAGACTTGATTTGCATTTTATTTTTGGAGTAAATTTCATTTGACAATCACTTTTATAATTAGATTGGCGATGGGAGAAGCTAGAGGATTTTTCACTAAGACTTTTGTGAATTTTAGTTCGATTTATAGTCAAGGTTTTACTGACAATTTAGTTACATTTTGTTGAATGTTTTTCTAGTGGATATTGTGATATTTAAATGAAGAAGAAGAAGAAGTGAATTTTTGTACGTGGCAAAGACTTGATTTGGATTTGATTTTTTGAGTGAATTCGAAATTTTTAATTTTTTTCTTTGTCACCTTTTATTTTTCATTTGAAAAATAAACAAGGTATTTACAAAAAATTAGTCAGCTTCTTAAAATTCGTAGGCATTCGTCAAACCTTGATAGAAAAACGAATGAATTTATCTCCTTTCACCCACCAGTCATCCATTTACGACATTTACGAGGCATTCCTAATGTCCTTGGGATGTTTCCAGGTGCCAATACTACATATTCCAGTATCCATGGGTCCCAGCACTCCAGGGAGTCATTACCTTCCTCGTACTCACCAATTTTGGGCTCGCCACGTTTATGGATCCTGGTGTCATACCAAAAGGTACGAGGTATTTTTGGAAATTACCATCGTAGTGGGGTGACAGTCACTCCAGTGGCTAGCCAGCAAAATTTCCGGTTGAGAAGTCTCCACGGTTGCCCATAGTACCCCCTTAATTCATACCCTTCAACACTTCTAAATCCCTTCAATGTTCTGAGAAATTTATAGAGAAAAAAAGGTTCAGCAGGATTAAGTAGAGTAGAATCTCTCATGCATTCAGGATCGATTATATATCTAAAAATGAGTAATTAGTGCAAAAAAAATCATTGTTTATTGTTAAAATCATTTAAAATAGTTCAGGGCCTTTCATTTTTGAGTTTCAGAGGTTTTTTTTTCAAAGTTTTTCGCAAAATGTGTACAGGCAACAATCACGAATTAGCTTCTTGAAATTCGCCTCCCACACAGCTAATTTCCTTTTGTTTAATATAAAATTTACGTCATTCGTGTAAAATAGACAGAAAAATTATCCTTAAAATATTTTAAATATATTCTCGATTCTCTCAGAAACATTTTTCCAGCTATTTCACATGAATGGTCTAATTTTTTATTTAAAAAATAACGAAATTCGCTGTTTAGGAATTTAATTCCAATAAACTAATTCGTAATTATTATCGCACACATGTTTTCAAAATTCTTTCAACACTTTAAGCGTCTGCGGGGCAAACGACCAATAAACAATTAATTTTTCTGCACTATCTGTTTATTTTTAGATATTTATAATCGATCTTCATGTGAGAGAAAACTCATTCCAATTAAATTTTGTCGGAAATTTCCTCAACTTTCCAATAAAATAACTTTTCTGTCTAGAAATATCATTGAGATGCAGCTAAAAATGTGGAGATTGAATCGATTTTTATTACTTTTTCTTTCTTGAATTATTTTAGCACCTCCAGATGAAGACAGAGAAGATGAGTTTCGTGCTCCGCTCTTCAAGAACGTCGAAATCAATGGGATAACTGTTCGCATGAAGTGGTGTGTCACGTGCAAATTCTACAGGCCACCCAGATGCTCACACTGCAGCGCCTGTGACCATTGCATCGAGGTAAATAAAAAATCTGTTTAAAAAATATAATTCCTTCAGTTGTAAATCCCTTAATGACTTCATTAATTTTTTTCCTTTGGTGTACATCTCCGCATTTTATAACTCTCCATTTTGTTTTTTCACTCCACAGACAAACTAAGAAGATAATCTCCAAAAACTATTGAAATTCCTTTCTTAAAAATCCAAAAAATTGTCTTTCTCTCTCAAGATAATTTATTTTCCCAGCTGAAAAACGATGGAAAAATACATTTGCCTTAAAAAAAATCAACTGCTTGAATTTATTAAAAGAAATTATCTTCTCGTTTTAATTGCTTCATTAGCGATTCCTTGATGACTTCACTCATTTTAATCCTCACTTTGTTATACATTCATTCAATTTATGACTCGTCATTTCATTTTTATCCTCTACAGACCTTTGATCATCATTGCCCATGGGTCAACAACTGCGTGGGGAGGAGAAACTACAGATACTTTTTCTATTTCCTATTATCACTGAGCTGCCACATGCTCAGTATTTTTGGATTGTGTCTGTACTTCGTGCTACAGCACAAACAGAAACTGGGGGAGGTCGACACTACAGTGGCGTATCCTTCAAAATTATTCACAAGATAATTATTTCATTAATTTTTCAAAGAAACGATTGAAGAAGATTAATCAAGCTGATTTTTTCAGCTGAATAATTGTCGAATTATCGCTGTAAGGAGTGGATTTAGGAAAAATTGTCAGAGAACATTTTTTGTAGAAAATTTCATACGGTTCAAAAAAGGTTCTATGACTTTTCGTCGTACAATCGTTTATTTGGGAGATAGAGGGAAAATTGGAAGAGGTTTTTGAAGGATTATCATTCCTTAATTATGATCGAAACGACAGGATGGTGCTGATGGGAGTGGTTACCCTGCTGTTCTTCCCCATTTGTGGATTAACAGGTTTTCACGTGGTGCTTATATTTAGAGGTAGAACGACGAATGAACAGGTCACGGGTAAATTCAATGGCGGGTACAATCCATTCTCACGTGGGTGCGTTCGTAATTGCTGCTACACACACTTTGGACCACGATATCCTAGGTAATCAGTATTTTATTACCTCACTACCGATTTTTCACCTCTTAAACAGTGAGTTAATGTTAAAAAATGAATTTTTATAGTCAATTTTTGAAAATAAATCAGTTTTTCTTATGAACATCTCTAAATCTCATGGATATATTTAAAAAACTGATTTGTTTTGACGTAAAATTATGATTTTTTCGTCCCACAAGGAAATTAAATTGATTATTATTAGAAATTAATTATTAAATTAAATTTAATTATTTAATTTTGCTTTTTAAAGTTTAATGAAGCCTGAAAAGTACTTGGGAAAGCGTCGTGGAGCGTGTGCATCAGAGATGTCCCCAACAGACAGCGAGAACCAGGTAAAAACCTACATGGATAGCAGCAATGGTGTTAGAAATGCCAGTTCAAATGCTTACAATAAGGTAAGACGCTAGCCAAACTCAGACAAAAGTTAAATTAACTACTTTTTCTGTCTCTTTATTTTTCAATTTTTTTTTACTTTCTCACAAACTAACGATTTACAAAACTGGACATCAACGATACCAACGTGTTGAAAATAATTCCAGAAGAATTGCACAGGCAATTATCGTAGAGTAGGATGCTTTGTGTGCTCGACTGGCTGATGATGTTTAACAAGTAGTTGATATTTTTTCCCGTTCATAAGCACCAAAATGAAAAGATAATCCTAAAAAATAGTTGAATTTGTTTTAAAAAAATGGAAAAGTTATCTTCTCATTTCATTTCATTTTTTTCATAATTTTTTTTTACTTTATTTTTGGTTTTGTATGCAGATCACAACGACATCAAGCGACGATAGTACCTCCCTGAGTTGAAATATCCTAGATGAACCCCATTAACCAAATTGAATGAATGAAAAGCCCTCATTATCCCTCGCATAGATCACTGGTTAACAAAAAGTAAAAGAAATATTCTCATGCAGTTTTTCCCTTTGAACATTCCCGACGGCGATGAGAGATTGGGGAGTGATTAACTGGGGTTCTTTTGACAGTTGTCGCCCAGGAGGGACGGCTCGGACACTGACATGGAGCCAACGGCCTCGCAGTCGGCCGATTGCGAGCCGACTCCACCACTACAGAGACACGGATCAAAGAGCAATTTCTTCCTGCCACCGGTTGAGACCACTGACTCACCGAGACATCCATTACCACAGAATCATCATCCTATTCATTATCCCAGGGGTAGTCCACATCCAAGGCCGAGGTAATATTTCGCATTTTTTATTTGGAAAAAATTGATGGAGAATTCTTCGAATATCTTACGAAGGATGAGGTTGAGAGAAAAATCTCAAAAGATAATTTTTGGAAAGAATTTTATGGGCTACAAAAAAGGTCTTTGATGTTTTTTGATAAATCCAGTAGTTTTGGAGATTTTTGCAAAAAACAAACACGTGATTTTTCATTATTTCTGTGAATCTAATTTTCTTGATTGTTTAAGTATGTAATAATATTTTTTTAATAATATATTTTTGGCAGAGAATTTCATAAGCTAAAAAAAACTCGTGACATTTTTTGAAATACAAAATTAATGGAATTTGTAAACATTTGGGAAATAATTTCGTTAATTTAAATGATTTCGATAATTAATAATTTGATATTATAGGGGCATGAATGGTTCCCGAAGCCATACCCCCGACGTTCTCTCACCCGAGGGGGCAGGAGGATCGTGTGGACTTCAGAGAGGTCAGGGACAGGTTGGAGGTGGTGCTAGTCCAACGATGCAGCAACGGATAAAAGCTATAGGTGTACCAACACCACTTGCCATTTCCAGTAATATTCGCAGGTAAATAATTATAATCTTGCGATTCGATATTACCATGTCACTGGTTTTCAGCGTCGTTGAGAGGAAGGTCGAGGAGCAATTATCGATATGCACATCATTCTTTTTAGAGATACATATTTTTTTTAGTTCATTATCGGTGGCATGATTGGTAAATATACACCTGGAATTATTTTTCATCACTTCTTTCAGTTTAGTGGAATTTCACTGGTTTCTCCTTGAATTTTTGGGGCAAAATGGACTTGTCAGGGATGATTTTTGTGGAAAATTTGATTCTCCACAAAAATTTGTCGAGGGATTTCTCTCTAGAATGACTCATTATGGAGATAAATCCATTTTTCTTCAATTCCAAACTAAAAAATCGTCTTTGAGTACTCAAAGTCCTTTGAATTCCCTCAAACAAATTCACAGAATTATTGAAAATGAACAGAAAAATTCCATTGAACTAAAAAAAATGTCATTTTCATTTCATCAAGCGAAAAAAATCCATAATAACTACAATCATCGTCATAATTCACCTAAAAATATACCTAATGTACAAGCAGAGAGTGTGAAGTTCATAGCGACGTCACTAGTCTGCACGTAAAGATGAAATATATTTTTTTTATCATGAAAAAAGATGAATAAAATAAAAACAGAGTGGTATATCGATAAGTTTGTGTCCCACTGCAGGGGGTGGTAACTGACAAGGAGCTGCTCTCTGCCAACATGTTGCAACCAACTGCAGGTAAACACGAACTTCATCCTACGAAGGACCGTACCGTAGTGTTTTTTAAATAAAAATTCTGCTTTGTTGCATAAAATTTGAGAAAAAAAAATGTGAAAATTGAAGAGAAAAATCACTGTTACAGATATTTTATTCTAGGTTTTGCCAGTTTATTTTTGTTTCAGTTTATTTTCGTTGATTTACTTCGATAATTAGATGGCTAATGTTGGTTTTAATGAAAATGTTTTTTATAGGAATGACTATTTATTCAGTGAAATTAAGCGCGCTGGCTATCCTGTATATGTTGACGCCAATTTCTTTAGCCGTATTATGAACATTGTATGGCTATGAATTTTTGAAATGCTCAATTTATCGCATTTTTTTTTGTATATTTTGGTTGGTGTTTGTAGGTGAATTTATTCGTAGAGAATTTATTTGGGTTATTGTTATTTAAGTGCAACAAGTGCTTTTGTTCTTGGAGTTTTTGGGTCTGACAACAGTTCAATCAGTTTTGACGTTCAATTAATTTTATTATTGATTGAGGGGGGATTTTCTGCATTTTTTGGGATAACATTTTTTTTTAGGTGAAGAAAAAAATTGATGTTGAAGCAGGAATCGTGCGTTTATTGAGATTGATTCACTTTTTGCACATTTTGTGATTTCATATAAAATCAGCAAGATTAATTAGTATTTTTTCTGCATTTATTCATAAATTAAAAATTTTTTTGGATGAAAAAAAATGAGGAATCATAAGTGCATTCCGAATGGTAAAATTAAATGAGTCAATAACAATTTTTTACTGAATATCTTGGGATTAATAAGAGACAGATAAACTCATGCACAAAAATATTCACTATTTTATTACCAGTTCAGAACAATTTACGTCACTTACTAAATTTATCAATCGGTAATTATTTTACAAAATTCTATCACTATTTATTCAGTTCTCAATTTTCATCCCTCACTCATTATTTCCAGAAAACAATCCACCCTACCAATTAAAAATCACTGTTTTATCAAAAAAAGTTACACATTAAAAAATCATTCTACCCCTTATTTCCGCAACTTCGAATTTATCTCAATAACATATTCGCTACAAAGTCATCAGTACCATTTTCCGTTTCAAACGTTCTCTGAAGAATCTTCCCCGAACTTCCCGCCCACAGGAAACCAAAATATACAAAAAAAAAAAATTGCTGAATGTCTGCAGGTCTTCCTTCGCCAGCTGATAAACTGGTCCCTCTGTTTGCAGGTCAAACCCGGGCACCCCGACGCAGGTACGTCGGCCGGACTACATAGGCGTGACGGAGACCCCGACCTACTACGACGTGCAGCACCACAACAACCTGCCAGTGGGTCCAAACGGCTCAGGTGTGCCGGGCTACAGTCCCCAGCGTCGTTTTCTCTCCGAAAGTGAATTGATCCGCAGCAATGATCACCACTACGCTCGCACCAACAACACTGTTGACAACATTCGCGAGCTAGCAGGTTCACCACAACGAGGTGTCTACATGTGGAAGGATCACTCGCCCTCGGCATATCCGAGTGTCCAGGTGCCCCATCCCACTCTCACCTCGATGCAGAGACCACCACCGTACGAGTACTACTGCTCCAATCCCACCAGTCCCACTCAGCAGCCCTACAATCCTCCCAGGGCGGCTTATCATCCAGCCACACGGGGTGGAGTACCGGTTTTTCCCCCTCACCAGTCGCCACAGGTCAAACGCAAGACCATGGCAACACCCACCACACCGACCTCCAACGACGCCAGGCGCAGGCCCATGTCCTTCGTCAGGGCTCTCGAAATGACTGACTCCATGGAGAGGGTGGCTGTACCTGGCGGGGACAGCAGGAGCAACCAGAGACCGACTACTCCCACGCCCGACAGGGGCAGTGTCTACGATATGAACTATGAGATTTCGGTATAGCGGTCTAGGAGGTGGAGATATCCAGGCGGCGAGGTGGCTGTGTGAGAGGGCTTGGGACGTTTTTTGCTATTTTTGGCTCTTCCAGTTTTTTCGGGCTCTTGAGGGCCAGATGATGACCGGGTGGGGATTCGGGGGAGGTGAGAGGCGAATTATTTTTTTGATTTTTACTTTTTTTGACGTTTGGGTCTCGGGATCTAAGGGAGACAGAAAATTTAAGGGAATTTTGATATCAATGGTTAAATTTTTTTTTTCTATGATATCTCTGTAAATTTCTCAATATTCAAGCGAAAAAGAGAGTTTTTCAGAGAAAGTTTGAGAAGAGAATGATGAGGTGAAAAAAATTTCTTCTAAAAAATTTTGATATCTCAATTAGGTCCTGAAATATAATGGTAAGAAGAATTAAATCAATCAAGAATGCATCTTTACTGTACCATCTCAATATTTACCTCAACGTACCGACAAAATTACAAATTGAAAATTGATAAAATCAGAATCATAATGATTCCAATGATTGGCTAATTCTTCTTTTATTTTGTAATTTATGTCTCGTGATCTAAGGGAGACGGAAAATTTAAGAGAATTTTGATATCAACGGTTAAAATTTTTTTTTTCTGTTCATGACATCTTCATAAATATCTCAATATTCAAGCGACAAAGAGAGTTTTTCAGAGAAACTTTGAGAAGAAAATGATGGGGTGAAAAAAAAGTTTCTTCTCAAAAATTCGACATCTCGATTAGATCCTGAGATATAATAAAAACAGAAATTAAGCCAATCAATCATGCATCTTGGCTCTCCCACCTCAATATTTACCTCAACATCCCGACAAAATTATAAATTGAAAACTGATAAAATCATAACACAGGGACCTCTTTTTATCGCCCAGATTAATGACTATTGACAATTGTTGAGTATTGTCACGTCTGTAGTTAGCAATATTTTTAAATTTAGTTAATCGTTATAACGAGAACAACACATGCTACTGTGGCAGCCGAACAATTAATTAAAACCACTGTATGGTATTACGATGGTTATTAAGTTGATGAGAATGATGAAAAATGTCCAAATACCTTAATAGTAGACGATGAGAATGAGAGATATGTATCTACTAGCATCACCCGTTTTTTAGTACACGTTAAGGTCAGTTTAGATTTTTATATAGGGTCACGTGACTTGAGAGTACACGCTGCTTACATCGACGTATCTTTATTTTTTTTTCTGCAAAATTATTGTTTTTTGTGGTAACACGTCATTAACAAGAATTTTCGTTTCTCATTTTTCTATTTTTTTAATTATTTCTGTAATGAGTGCTTTTAGAGAAAAAAGTCATAAGATCTTTTTTGTAGAGGTAAAGATTTCCTACAAAAAATATTTTATGACATTTTCCCCTGGAACCACTCATTAGCGAGATAATTACACCTTTAATGAGATGCGAAAAATCAGCTGTTCTATTACGTTTTACCACTTCATTCCCAAATTAATCCGTTGCTTTATTTTTTTTTCTCGATATTATCTGAATATTCATAAAAATGAAACAACTGAAGTAATTTCACAATTCCATATTTAATCCCGTTGAATTATTGTTTCCGTTAATTACATTTTGTTCATTTTTACGAGATGAAACAATTTTTTTTTATTTATTATTTTTCTTATTTCAAAACACGCGAAAATGATGACTATGTGGGTGAATATTTAATCAAAGAGGAGGAACAAAACGAGTGGGAGAATTAAAAAACATTTGTGCGAGTGTGCGCGTGCGTGGGAAGGGGGGGAGAGAATATTGTCCATTTGAAAAAAAAACATAAGCAAATGTAAAAGAGTTACTTAATCAACTCGAGTCATTGTCAAGGCTAGGATTAACGGGGAAACGAATTTTTTGTGTATAAATAATTGTCAAATGTGTAGCAAACAAAATTTCTAATACATATTTAACGATATTGAAGCGTCAAATTGAGGTGGTGAAGGGTGAAATTATTATTTCTCATTGAATGTGTACAATTTAAAAAATATCTACAATTTTTCAGTCATGTTTGTGTTGTGAATAGACGTCGCGATGGGTTTGAAGAAGGTGATTGTTGTCGTCACATTTCTGAGATTATTTTTTTGTTATTCCACAGGTGCAATTGCACCCAATCGAATTTGAGAGAAATATTCAGCAAAAAGGATGTTTAAATGGTTTCAATTCACTACTTAATTATCGACTCCGAAAAGAACAATTTCAGAAAGAGAAATTGAGGAAAAGATGAGAAAAAATTAATTTCCCGTGCAATCCCCTTCTTCAGCCCCAATCAGTCAATGAAAACTATTATTTTTTTATCTACTGATGAGTGTGAAGAGTATGAGTGTAAGGTAAGTGCGTCTGTTAATCTAAAAATGCGAGATGAAACACTCCAATTATGTGAAAGTATAAAAAATGAAACAAAATACAGTGAATTTTTTCCCCTGTGAATGAACTTTTGTTAATAAAGTGACTAGATAACGTGAGAACAGTGAATGGAATGTAATATACGAATTCTACGGTTACAAGTCCACAAAGAGTTGAGTAATGCATAATTTTTCCTTTCCCTGAGTACTCTGGATTCATTGTAAAAAGGGAGCTCACAAAAATTGTACCAAATTTGTGTTCTGTATCACAAAAATAATGTCAATAAGGTAAAGAAATCATTAAACCCATTTTGAAAATAATGTTTTTGAGTTTACAATCATTTTATAGATTTATAATAACAATGTCGAGATTTCGCATGCGCGAAAAATGCGAAGCTCGACCAATTGTGAAAAAATGACGACGCGCGATATTCATTTTTATTCGTGGGAATCGAGCGGAGGGGGCAGACTTGTCCAAGCCTGTTCAAAACACCAAACACCAACTGTCTTTTAAGTTCCCTTTGTGCGTTCAAAGTAACTTCACGTCTTTTCACGTCTCTCTGTTTAAAAAGTTCGCGACAAACGACATTTATTCGGAAGGAAGAATCCGCGGCTTGAGGGGAATAATTAGTGAGTGGGGAGATGAAAAGGATCGAGGATTCTCACGTAATTGTAATTGATTCGGACAGCGACGACGAGTGCTCCTGGCGAGGAAGCAAACCCAACGGCTCGCGATCAGCTGATAGACCTGGAGAAACAGTGTGAGTTGATTTTTCTTCTTTTCTTAGGTTTTTTAGACATATTTTTTATGAAGCTTGGGGGAAACTTGAAGGACTTGTTGACGGAGTTTGGGGAATTGTCGTTGTAGTCGATTTTTCAACGTTTTTTCGGTTTTGCGTTTCAGAGTTGTCAGAAGTCAAAGAGGAAACAGAGTCGTGAGAATTTTGGACGGGGGGATTTTCGAGGTCGAGGATTCTGGTGAGTCTTTTGGATTTGTTTTCGCCCTCTCAATTTACGGTTTTTCATGATCTTTTTTAGCAAAAAAAATCAAGATTGATTTATATTTTTTAAAGTTCTTTTTGTGGAGTTTTTCTTCGAATGTTTTTCAAGGGCGAAAGAGTTTGTACATTACTTAAAAACATTTGTAAACCCCTAGATTCGCTTACGACAAATCTTCTGCTGTCGAATCTTTCGCTAGTCTGAGCTACACCCCTAGATTCGCTTACGACACCCGAATAATTTTCATTCAATTCCAGGCCCCGCGTCCCTCCTCAAACCGATGAGACCAGCAACGAGGAGCCAGTCCTCCTTCAGGGCTCCCCCGAATCCCCCCCAGGGTCTCCCCGAGCCCCCGAATGACTCCCTGAGCTCAGCAGACACCTCGACCCTCGGGATGTCAATGGACACGAAGGACCCAGAGACGTCCTCAGGAGTATCCTCCAGCTCCTGCTCCATCTCCCCCACTTCCTGGAGCAGAGGGCTGACCTACAGCTCTCGAGCCCCCACCCCAGAGCCTTCAGAGTTCCCCAGGAGACTTTCAAGAGCCTCACGAGCCCCAAAGCCATCAGGCCACGATTACCCAGACTCTGCGAATTCCCCCACGAGATACAGAACGAGATCATCAACTCGAACCTCAGCCCCTGGAGTCCTCACCCCCAAGAAGCCCCTGAACACCTCCAGCAGCACGACCCCTTCTCAGAAAAGGCCAAAGCCATGTTTAATCGTCTCCAGCTCCAGTGACGAGGAGAACAACCCCGAGAGGTCCTCAACCCATCGAAAAAGAAGAAGATTGATTGGTCCGACTGAGGACCCAGAGTTGCAGGACAATTCTGGTGAAGTCCCAGGTTCTCCAGACCCTCCAGGGATGCTGAATGACCCTGGACTCATCACCTCCATCAATTCCCCCTCAAAACCGTTCGTGATACCCTCAGGAGCTGTAGAAGCTTCAAAATCCTTCCAAAACGTTCTTAAATACTTGGAGAAGATCGAGGAGAGCTCAAAGCCTCAGGCTTCAAATTCCCTCGACCCAGAACCATCACGAGCTTCAGGTGCTGCTGGGAACGACGAGCCCCCAGAGTTCACAGACCTCGAGGACCTGGACGAGGACCTTCCTCTCGATACTGAACCCATGGAGGTGCTCCCAAGAACTTCAACACCATCAACGTCAATGCCAAAGCGTTCAACGTCAGACGAATTCGAAGCTCTCGAGATGTACGAGCCTGACGAGGACGTCGACGTGGGCTGGAAGACGGACGAGGACTTCTCTGACGGAGAGGTCCCAGCTCAGGTGAAGTACACTAAACCCAAGAAGAATGTGACAGCTCGTCCCGCCCCCAGGGCGAGGTCACCAGTTCCCTGGAGCTTCCAGAATAACTACTCCCCCCCTGTGAACATCAGGAACAGTTCTTTTCCTCAGAGCACCAGGAATTGTCCTCCCCCTCAGAATATCGAGAGCAATTTTCCCCCATTCCCTCAACCCTTCGTGGTTTACCCCTCGTCCCCTCCAAAGAGAGGGAGAAAAAACCAGAAGAAGAGCAATCGTTCTGGTCGTCGAGGAAGCTGGCGCTTCAGGAAGTTCAATAATAATCAATTGGCTTGGAAGTCCCCTCGGGGCCCTGAGGCCGACCCCTTGAACCCCCGAAGTGTCTTCGAGGCCCTTCAGAGGGCTTCAGGGCCCATCAACCTGCAGGACGTCAAGAGTCCCTACAATCAGCCTGACTGGAGCCTCTCCAACGACAATCAGAACCCCCCAGCCTTCGTCGACATGACCCAGGGCAACGATGACCCTCCAGGCCTCTTCAACAACCCCTTGACCCCTCGAGTGACGAGGATCGACAATCAGAGACCCCTCGCCATCAGGGAAGACCCGGAAGACCCTGACAGCTCTGACTCTGAGAACAGCGAGGCAGGGGCCCTCGTCCCTTACAAGACAAAACCAGAGTTCGATGAGGAGACAATGTTAAACTACCTCAGGTGCTACTTTCCCAAGTCGAAGGACAAGACGAGGTACGGTGAGAAGACCCAGCAAGAGGGTGTGCAGACTGTCGAAGCAATTCTGGAAATTTATAATCAGCTTCAGAAGAAGCCAGACGAGGAGGAGGGGACGTCGACTCCTAGGCGGATGCGAGTGGAACTCATGGAGCACCAGAGGAAGGCCCTCACCTGGATGCGTTGGAGGGAGACCTGCAAGCCAGCTGGGGGAATCCTGGCGGACGACATGGGCCTGGGGAAAACGATCACCACAATAGCCCTGATCATGAGGTCCCTGGAGGACGAGTGGAATCAGCCTGAGGGGATCGACGATCGTAATAACCCCGGGGGAACCCTGATTGTCTGCCCAGCTAATCTGATCCAGCAGTGGAAGCAGGAGATCCAGACCAGTGGCCACATCCCGGACGTCAACGTCTACCACAAGGAGAAGGAGAACAACATCCTGAGGCTGCGTGTCAACCAGATCGTCATCACGAGCTACGACACGTTGGCTAATAATCACAAGACCCACCAGCAGATCCTCTACAAGATTCACTGGAAGAGGGTCGTTCTGGACGAGGCCCACGTCATCAGGAACCCGAGGACCCTGAGGTCAGAGTGCGTAGCACTGCTGAAGACCCAGAAGCGCTGGGCCCTCACTGGAACTCCCATCCACAACCTCGTGAGGGACATTTTCCCAATCATGAGGTTCCTGCAGATGAGGCCCTTCGACAACTCCAAGCACTTCAACAGGTGGATTGCTAATAACGACGCAGCTGGCACAGCCAGGCTCCACTGCGTCATGGAGGCTGTAATGCTGAGGAGAATGAAGGAGGCTCTCGTTGCTGCTGGGCTGATGCCACAGTTGCCTATGAAGACCAAACGAGATGTGCCCATTGTGCTGGTGCCTGAGGAGAGGCTCGTCTACGACAGGGTGATGACGTACTCCAGGACTCTGTTCATTCAGTTCCTCCATCAGAGGACGGAGAAGGAGAGGAGAATGGCTCTGGGGCCTCACTACAGGCGAAACAATAACATCGCTTCGGTGGAGTTGACTGAGGCCCAGAAGAGGTTCTTGGAGCGTCGGGGGAATGTCTCTCGCCATCACATCTTGACGCTGATCCTCAGGCTGAGGCAGATCTGCTGTCATCCTTGCTTGATCAAGAGTATGCTGGAGCAGGAGGACTTTGAGGAGGCTGGGGTCGACAATCTTCCTGCTGGGGATCTGGAGGAGGCTAACAGGGAACTGATGAATGACCTCGTTGAGTTCGATGGGGGAGAGGAGATTGGGGTCGATGGGAGGGTTGTTGATCGCAGGATTTTGACTCTGGAGAATCCGGTTTTTAAGGGGGAGAATGTCTCCTCCAAGATGACTGCTGTTTTGGAGAGGGTGAGGGAGATTATTAATAATGGGGAGAAGGTCATCATTGTTTCTGATTGGGTGGGCTATCTCAATATCATTGGAGATCATCTGGACAATATTCCTGGGGCTTCCTATGAGTCGTACACTGGGGCCACTTCCTATGCTGAGAGGGACAGGATTGTTCACATGTTCAATAATACCGATGAGATCATGATTCTGCTGCTGTCGCTGAGGGCGGGGGGACAGGGCCTCAATCTTAAAGGGGCCAATCATGTGGTGCTTGTGGATGTTCACTGGAATCCTCAGTTGGAGGTGCAGGCTCAGGACAGGGTCTACAGGATTGGACAGACCAGGAATGTCTTCATTCATAAGTTCATCTGTCCGGATACCATTGAGGAGAGGATTCTTGATCTGCAGAATGACAAGCTTAAGATTGCTGAGGCTGTTCTTGCTGGGAGCAAGTATGAGGTCAGGAGGCTTGAGCTTGCTGAGATGTGCAGGCTGTTCAATGTTGGGGTGTGAGGGACCAACAAGGAGAACTTATCTATTCTTTAAATTTAATATTATAATTGTTCTTTTCAGAGAATGGCTGAGAGATTTATGGTTAGGATGTTTGGAGGTCATTTTGAAGTCTAAAACACTTTAAATGTTTTCGTTTCCTTGAAAATTGAGCAAAGGAGAATTTCGAAATCTGAAAAAACGTTGATTTTTTTTTTCGATGAGAATTGAATCGGAAATCGGACAATAATTCAATTCAGGCATTTTCCAAGTCTAAAAAAAACACTTCAAAATATTCTGTTGTCAGATAAAAATTAAAAAATGGATAGAAATTATTTTCTCGGATGAAATTCTGTAAGATGATCAATTTTATTTCAATCCATTATTATTTTTTTCTCAGTCTTCGTGGTTAGTCTAAACAACGTGAAATGTCTTGGTATTTATAAGTCCAAGTTTGAAGTATTGTTACATTGCCTCTAATTTTAGTGATCTCTACGTGTGCTGTGACATATGCCATAGAATAATGATCGTGAGAGACTTGAGGAAGGCGAAGTGTCGAAGGGACCTGATTACTAGTTGAGATTAAGAAAATATTCCATATTTTTACGTTCTTTGTATTTGTTGGGATACATATGTAATGAATGTATTCTTGTTCTCACTGATTAATAAATATTTGTATTGGTTGATACATGTGCGCAGTGGAATTCCCCGAGAAATTATTTTTCTTACGATTGTAAAAATTATTTCCGTAGGGGCGGATGAGGCAGAGTCAAAGTCAGGGATGAAACTGTCCCACTTTACCCCATCCTCCCATATTACCACTATTGATAGTTTTTAAATCACTGGTATCGGATAAATTTTGTACTCAGTTTTAAATTTTCAGCTTCATTGCAAGTTAATATTGTTTTTCGTGAAGAAAATTGAATGGAAATAATCCGAAATGAGATGTCTTTCGGTTTTATTAATGAAAATGGCAAATATTTTGTGCATATTTAAATTTTCTAAATTTTTTAATTTATTTGGAGTTAAATCAAGTTAAAATTAAGTTCTGATCATCATTGCAAATTAAAATTTTTTTGGAGACAATTGAGTAAAAACAATTCTTTCGGTTTAATGAAAATGACAAATAGTTTGTTCACATTTCAATTTTTAAAAACATTTTAAACATTTCAAGATGAATAAAATTAAAATAACTTTCTCATTCTGATAAATAGAGTTCAAATAAAGTTTTGATCGTCCTTGCAATCTCATTTTTTATGGACAAAATTGAATGGAAACAATTCGAAATGAGATGTCTTTCGGTTAAAAAAAAATATTAACTTAATAAAAATGGCAAATAATTTGTCGATATTTAATTTTTTTCATTCATGTAGAGATAAATGAACAAAATATCTAAAAAAATTCTAAATTATTCAAATTATTGGCCATTCTCATTCAGAATCCTCAAGAAATCTCATTCCGAATCATTTCGCCCAATTCCCTCCGCAAAAATGCTGTCTTCCAGAAGAGCGAGCAAGACTTTCTTCCTAAACAGAATAAGAGAATAACACTGCCGGCCGGCGGTTCCTACATTTGTTTGTGTTTTGAACAGCCCCACCACTCTTTCCCCCTCTCCTCCCTCCGACTCGCGCGATTGGCCGTTCGCGTTCGCGACCTTCAGTTCGCGCGAGTCGCAGGGGGAAGGAGACCTGCGTGTGCCTGTTCAAAACACAACTGCCGGTTGTTCGGTTCGGTCAGCGTCTTCCGCTCGACATTATGACGCTTCATGTCCGCGTTTAAAAAGTTTTCGCGATATTTATCAGAGATAATACTCGGTGTGATAGTGAGGGAGAACGAAACTGTGAAGATGGAGGCGATTGAGGTGATGGATCCACTCGTCGCGGTTGCCTCGCACAACGGGGAGGGACATTCCTGGCGAGGAATCCGTCACGAGGGCACCCAGTCGTCTGACCAAGCCGAGGGGACTACGTACGTCTTTTTTTATAACAATTTTATCGCGAATGTCGAGGGATTTTGAATGCAGTAGCGAAGTGGTCAAAGGGTTTACGTCAATTTAGTCTTCAGTTGAGTTTTCCAGAAATATTTCCGAATCTACGGGAGATGACGAAATTTTCATAATGACCTTTTTTGTAGAGCGAATTGAGTGCTACTAAAAAGGTTCTGCGAAGAATTTTGCTATTTCCCTTAGATTTGGAGATATTCATTGAAAAGTGGTCAATAGTCAAAATTTACGATTGACTTGTACTGTTTTACCACTTCGATACTGAATTAAGCGTGAAAAGGGAACGTGGAGAGGCCGAGGGGCATTATCTAACCGTTTCTTGGATTCTGTGTTGCAGAATTTCGAAGAGTGACGACGAACAAAGAAGTCGCGACGAGGGGATGGACGGGGCAGAGGATTGTTGTCAACCGCTCAATGGTGAGTCACCTTCATGCAGTTTTTTCGTTAATTCTTGCGGTTGAGGAAGAATTCCCTGTAAATAACCAGCGACTCTAGTGACTTTATTTGTTTGATAATGAGTTTTTCCCCCTTCGTGAGCTTTATTTTATTTTATTCCGGGATTTATTTTAGTTATTGTCTTGCATCAGATACATCGTGCACGAATTTTCTTTGTTCGCAACTGTAAAAACAGTTTTTTATCGTTAGAATGAGATCTAATATCTCGTTTGGAAGTTTTACTGTCCCAATTAGGAAATTTTATCAATAATTCACGTCCCCCTGACGTAGAACGTGTTTCAGCACTCAAAATCATTCTCAGAATGAAAACAACTGGGAAATGGCTCTTGCATTGCATATAGTATAGTTATTTATGCTTACGAACATTCGGAAAAAAATGCATTTTCGACCTTTTTGGATCATACCGGGTCGATATAACACGAAAAATCCAAAAATTAAATTTGAACGTTTGGGTAAACTGCGCAGTAGATGGACGTTTGTTTTTTAGAAATTGAAGAAAAAAGATCGAAAAAAAACGCCATTCAGGGGTTAAGAATCATTATTTACTCATTTTGTGGTATTGTTGTTCTCTAAAAAGAATTGAGAATTAAAAAAAAAAGCTATCGTAATTATCTTCGAACTCGTTCAAAAAGACATCGAAACAAATTTACTAAGCCACCGTTCAATCAATTCAGAGCATTTTTTTAGTTATCGTAGGACAACCGATTTTCGAAAAAATTCGAAAATTAAAAAATTAATCGAAGAATTAAATTATAATTACCGGCGATTGATAGGGCTCAAAAATACCTACCTAAAAAAAATGCGTTTCCGGAAAAAATCAAAAACTTAAATTTAAACGATTCCAAATCTTGTCCATTCGTCAGCAAAAAATAAAATAAACACAGACGAGATCCAGATTTTGCATGAATTACATACGTGTTTTGTGGTATTCTTGTTCTCTAAAAAGAATTGAGAATAAAAAAAGAATGCAAGGAGGAGAGCCCGGACATGGACAGTGACGTCTTCCCGCAAATCCCCCTCGATAATTCGGACTTCGAGGACGCCAGTGACTCCACTAGTCCCCAGGAGGCCGAGCTCGAAGTAAAGCCCGAAACAGTGAGTTACCCCGCGAACCCCAGCCCTGAAATAACTAGCCAAACCGTTGATTCGCCCGAGATCTGCAGAGGGGAGGCACTCGTCAAGTTCGAGGCTGACTTGTCGCTCCCTGAGGGGACGATCACCCAAGTGAAAGATGCGATAAAGCTCGAACTGGTGGAGCACTTGGACAACCCGCGAGTCCAGGACATGGACTCGATGAAGTCCCTCTGCGAGGAAATGTCGATTTACGCTGAGAGCACAGACCACAGCCTCAGCTTCAAGTCCCTGAACACCTCGGGGCACCTCCAGGGCCTCGAGGAGTTAATAATCACCGAGGGCAGCAGATTTTCAGTCGAAATGAGGGAAGAGAATCGAGGAGACTCTTCAGACGAGGGCGAAGTCCCCTCAGGAGAAGAGAGTGAGGAATTTGTCGAGGGGAACGATTCCACCTTCAAACCCCCAGAGACCAAAGATCTCACTGAAATTCTCTCGGTGTTCGATGCCACCAGTTTTTTCAGCGAGGATAATGACGAGTTTTTGAGTTGTGGGGACGAGAGGGGAGGAATGACGCTGGAGAATTCTGGAGGAGAAACTTCCCAAGAATCGAAGGCTGATGAAGACATTTCTGGATGGCTTGATGAGGCAATTGCACAGGCTCTGAGCGATGCAGGGGAGAGTGGAAGCCCTGGAGGGGAGTCTGGAGCTACTCTTGAGGACTTGGAGGCCTCAGAAGTCGATGGAACTCTTGGGGTTAATGCTTCTTCATCAAATGATTCAGAAGAGGATAGGAGGGGGAGTCCATCCACTTTCGTTGACGACGACCCCTTCATGGAGATCTCTATTCAGACTCTGGATTTCGACGAGGAGTTCTCGGAGGAGAGTGAGGATGAGTCGACCTCCAGGGGGTCTCACTCCAGTCAAAATCTAGATGATGTTGGGGTTGATGGGGATGTGGAGCCCATGGAAATCGCGAGCAGGGAAAGCTCCGTCGGGGATCAACTCCTATCAGTCGAGAATCTCCAGGAAAATATTGAAAATATTCCTGAAAATATCTCGACTGATAGTGATGGAATCGCTAAAGATGATGGGATTGAATTCCTCGAGGGGGATAATTGCAGAGAGAAATTCCCCGAAAAGATGGAAACGTTGATTAAAGAAATTGAAGAAATGTCAGAAAAGATGAATAAAAATTATGAAAGTCATGAGCCCATCGAGGAAATTAGTGCCACAGCCTCTGGAGCTGAAGTACCTGGAGAGAACTCGACTACTGGAGCACAAAATCCAGAAGATGAAAGTGAGTTCGATGACACCCTCTCTTTATCGACCACGATAACCGACGAGTGTCTTGATGATGTCATTGAGCTCGACGACATCATTGAGGACCTCGAGAGGGCGACTCCACTCGCTGAATCGACGGGGATAAACGTCTCCGTCGAGATTAACGAGGGACTGAAGAGGAAATTGGAGGAATTTGGGGACGACGTTGGGGTTGAGCGAGCAGCCAAGGTACAGAGGTCTGAGGAGGCTCTGGGGGATAACACTCCTGCCACTGACGTTCACGCAGTCGAGAGGGCGAACGTCACTGGAGAAGGTGAAGCATTTTTTAATTCGTCTTCTACTGATTTAGTTGGGTCGTTGGTAATTCCAGACAATTGAAAATTCGTTTTTTGTTCCAGAAGAACTCCCCAGGGTTCAACATGCGATGGGCCAGTCAACGAATGCATCGATTTCTCGTGAGAGATCCCTCTGCAGAGAAGAGACGTCAACTTTAAAAAATTCAGAAGGGGAAGGAACTCAAAGTGATTCAGATTCTGATATCGACGCGAGTCCCTGGCCTCGAAGACTGAGAAACGCAGCACGAAAGTACCTGAGTGACTCATCAGAAGAGGCTGGTGAATCCCCTGCATCTCCTGCAAACCCAAACCTCCCAGAAGATTCTCCAGAAAATCCTCAAGACGACAAGCTCAAGCCAAAGAAGAAATACCGAAAGCGTTTCTTCCTGAAAAAACCAAAAACAGTTACTCCGGCATCATCTCCAACTCCAGAGTCTCCAAACCGAGAGAGAAAGACACCAAGAGCCCCAAAGAAAACCCCTCGAGGTTTCATGAAGGTCCTGAAGCCTCGAAGAATTAATTTAGACGACATTTTAGACCCCCAGAAGAGAAAAAATTCGTCCCCCAGGGGCTGCAATTCCAGTGATGATGAGAACTCCCCCCGCGTCGTGAAGAAGCCCCCAGACTTGAGAAAAAAGAGAAAATTGTTTCATCTGAGTGATTCAATCGAGGACCTGTCAGAGTTCCTGGAGGAATCGCCTGAGAGGCGCTTGGAGAGGCCAGAGGTGATGAAGTCTCGAGTTATCAGTGTGGAGTACTACAAGAACCAGGAGACACTCGTCCCCAGTCGTGGGGTCAATAATGATTCTGAGACTCTTTTAACCCAGGGGAAGGACTCAGGGGACTTAAACTCTTCTTCTGGGGGTCAAGACCCTTCAATCACTTCAAAAAACGATTCAGAAGACTCTGAGGACATTCAGAAGACCCTGGGGGACTTATCAAAGGGTGATGGATCAAATCCGGTGGAAGAGGAATCATCGGAAGCTTCGACAGCTGCTGGAGAAAATTCTCAAGAAGAGAGTGGAGTAGACCTGGAGGAAGTGGACTCGACGATTACCCCATCTAAATCTGGAGAATCCCCTGAGGATGGTGATGATCCAGTGGAGCTTCTTGCAACTCAAGTCTCTCACTGGAGGCCTTCAGTTACCTCTCAAGGTTCCACTAAATTCCCTGGTGGAGTTGTTAATGTGGGAGTCAACCTGAGTTCATCTCAGGACGTGAATAAATATTCAGAGTCTCCGAAAATCGTTCAAGACGTCTCTGCAATCCAGAAATTCTCTTTAGAGACATCTCCACAACAAGAAGATGCAGTGGAACCCTTCTCCAATCGCCCTCAAACCCCATCATCCCCGGAGCCTCCGACTCACTCAGACGAAGAGGAAATACTTGAAGTGATCTTACTACAGAGAAAAGAGAGAGAAAAATCGTCTTCAACGCCAGACCTAGTGTATCTGTCAGGTGACGAGGAATCATCACCAGCTGTGACTTCAGAGTTAACTCGACCCCTAAAATTATCCTCACCGAACCTCCCAGCCCTCTCCAAAGATAAAAAGCCAGAAGAAGTTGGTCCAGAGCTAGAAATATTGGAGGAAGTGAGAGCTGGACTTTTAACAGACGTAGAAATGTCAGAAGGGCATTCACTCACTCAACCCCCTCAGCCCCTAGAATCATCCTCATCGAACCTCCCCAACCCCTCAAAGGACAAAACCCCACAAGAAGTTAATCCAGACCTACAAATATTGGAGGAAGTGAGGCCTAAACCCTCATCAAAGGCCGAAATGTCAGAAGGACCTCCCCTCACTCATCCTCCTGCACCTTCCGAGCCCCCTCAATCTCTGAAATCACCCTCAGTTGACCAAACCCCTGAACAACTCGATTCAGACCTGCAAATACTGAAGATAATTAAACCTGGACCCCCCCCAGGAGATCCCCCCCTTCCCTCCCAACTAAAATCCCTCCCGCCTCTCCCCCTGAAATCACCTCCCCCAGACCTCCCAACCTCCCCCGACACTCAAAACCCTGAAGACCCAGACCTTACGATCCTGAAAGTGATTGAACACCCTGGACCCCCTCCACCCCCAGTCTACACCCTCTCAGACGACGACTCCCCCCCGAAACCCCAGGAGAACCCCTCGCAACCCCCAACCCCCCGACACATTTCCCAACTCCAAAAACGTTCCCTCCCCCCGAGGAGACCTTCAGAGCCCTCCTCCCCAAGTCCAGGATCTTCCACCCAGTTGGAGCCTTACGTAGAGTACCCAACAGACGATCCTAAGGGTTGGAACACAGACGACGACGACCTGAGTGAATCAGAAGAAAATAGTGGCGTCTCTGGCGAAGGCACAGAAGCTTCCTCAATCGAAAATCGGTCTGAATCCCCCTCGCGCGACGAAGCAGACGACGAGGATCCCGACGTTCACGAAGACTCTGCCCAGTCGAAGGACTCAGACTACGGCAGCATCGACGTCAGCCAAAAGGTGGGGCTCCCCAAGAGCTTCACCGAATTGAAGCTCAAGAAGCCCCCGCCAAAAACCGAGAAGCCCAAGGTCAAGGCTGAAAAGAAGCCTGCGTACCTGGAGGACCTCCCCAGGTCGATAGACCCCGCCCTGGCCTCTAAGAAAACCATCAAAACAATCAAGAAGATTTACTCTCAACTGCAGAGCAAGCCCACCCCCGAGATGAGGATAAAAACCCCGAAGAACCTGAGGGTGACCCTGTTCCCTCACCAGGAGCAGGCGCTCTCCTGGATGCTGTGGAGGGAGTCCTGCGAGCCAGCTGGGGGTCTCCTCGCCGACGACATGGGCCTCGGGAAGACGATGATCACCATCGCACTGATCATGAAGTCCCTCGAGCTAGAAAAGAAGCGAAGGAAGCGGAACACCGAGAGGAGGAAGAACCTTGGGGGAACCCTGGTGGTCTGTCCCGCGAATCTGATTCGCCAGTGGTACGAGGAGATAAAGCTCAAGGGATCGATCCCAAACGTCGAGAAGTACCACGGAACCAAGGAGAGGAACATCGAGATCCTTCGCCAGGCGTCCGTCGTCATCACGAGTTACGACACCCTAGCGAAGAACAAAACGCAGGACCAGATTCTCTTCAAGGTTCAGTGGAAGCGGGTGGTCTTGGACGAGGCGCACGTCGTGAGGAATCCGTTGAGCCTGAGGTCTCCACTGGTGGCGGACCTGAAGACCGAGAAGCGATGGGCGCTGACGGGGACCCCCATCCACAACGAGGTGAAGGACATCTTCCCGGTCCTGAGGTTCCTGAAGGTGGAGCCCTTCGACAATCTGGGGCACTTCAGCAAGTGGATGGGGAGCAACGATGACGATGGCGCAGCTCGGCTCTACTACATCATGAAGTGCGTGATGTTGAGGAGAACGAAGAAGGCTCTGGTGGCTGATGACCTTATGCCAGGACTCCCTGCGAAGAGCGATCACGTGGTTGACGTTGTCCTGGAGGCGGAGGAGAGGCTTGTATACGACAGGGTGATGATATACTCGAGAACTTTGTTCGTTCAACTTCTGCATCAGAGGAGTGAGAAGGAGAGGAAGGAGGCGATGGGAAAGGACTACAGGATGAATTTGAATTATTCTTCTGTGAAGCTGACACCGAGTCAGGTGAAGCTCTTGAGGAGGCGGGGGAACGTGGGGAGTCATCACATCCTGGCGTTGATCGTGAGGCTGAGGCAGAGCTGCTGTCATCCAGCTTTGATTAAGGATATGCTGGACGCTGAGGACTTGGAGGGGGTGGGGGCGGAGAGCGTCGGGAAGAAGGCGTTGAAGGAGGTTAATAAGGAGGTTCTGCAGGAGCTGGAGGAGTTCGGAGGGGACGATGGGAGCATTGGGGTGGATAGGAGGGTCGTGGAGGATCGCAGCTTCTGGAGGAAGGAGAATCCGGTGTTTGGGGAGGAGAGAGTCTCCTCGAAGATGAAGGCTGTGTTGGAGGAGGTCAAGAGGGTTGTCGGGAGGGGGGAGAAGGTGGTGGTGGTGTCAGACTGGGTGAGGTATTTGAAAATCATTGGGAAGCAGCTGGAGGATCCTGAGAAGATGCCTGAGACCAGGGGGAGGGTCGCCTACTACACTGGGGGGACCGATTTCAAAACCAGGGATGGAATCGTCAGGAGGTTTAATGAGGGGAGAAGGGGGAAGAATGAGGAGGAGATCATGGTTTTGTTGTTGTCGCTGAAGGCTGGGGGACAGGGGCTCAATCTCATGGGGGCGAATCATGTGATGATTGTGGATGTCCATTGGAATCCACAGCTAGAGGTCCAGGCGGAGGACAGGGTCTACAGGATTGGGCAGACCAGGAATGTGGTTATACACAGGTTCATCTGCCAGGATACTATTGAGGAGAGGATTGTCGAGCTGCAGAAGAGGAAGCTTGCGCTTGCTGAGGCTGTCCTCGCTGGCAGCAGGCAGGGGCAGATCAGGAGCCTACAGCTGAGGGAGATGTGCTCGCTGTTTGGGTTGTGATAAGGCAAGAAGTTTTTTATTTTTTAGTTTAAGAGCGGTGTTTGGATAAATGGGAAATGTTCTTTTTAAATGAGAGTGAGGACGAAGATGTTTTGAGAATATTCGGCGGAAAGTATTCTAGTGTTTATGGAAAATCAGGGGATTTTTGCATTTGAAGACTCTATTTCGGTTGAGTTAGAGGAATAAGTGAAGAAGAGTTTTCGAGGGCGATTTTCAGTCATTGGGAGTAAATTTCTTGAAAGATTGATTTTTCTTTCTTGAATTTATTTGTCGAAAACGTAAGTGTTTGGTATATTTTCTCAGAATTTTATGTGCAAAATGCAATAGTTGAAAGAGTTTTTAGTCTTAAAAGCCTCTTAAAGATTGGCAATTTTCTTTTATGAATTAAACAACGAACGAGAATAAGATTTGAAACGTGAAGAAATTTACGTATCTATGAATTTAACTAGGATTGGAAGGATTACACACGTTGATCGCGAATTAAAAGTATCCGATTCTTCCTTGAGAAGAACTTGAACACTATCTCCTTTCTTAATTCATAAGAAAGATGAGATTTAGTTGTCAAAGTGTGAGTTCATTCATTTTGAGAATCTAGTTATTTAGAATTTGGTTCATTAAACGATATTAATGCTATTCTTTTTAGTTTTTCACGTTTATTCATGTTTATCCGTAAAAATGTACAATATCTCAATATTTAGTCATTAGGAGACGTGAGAAAGCTTCATCAAAAGATTAAGAAAACTTAAGGATTATTCACATTAATAATTAAACTGCTCAATTCGACAGATGAGAATTAATCTTTGAGTAAAAAAATCGTTAATTTAATAGTTATTAGGATTTATTGTGAAACAATGTAAAATATCTTATCATTGTCATTTATTAGAGTATGTACAGACTATTCGTTACGTTGTCTCAGAGTTTATGTGGTTGTCTCTGTGTGTGCTGTGCCATACGCCGTAGAAAAAGTAGATCGATAGACCTGGTGAATACAAACGAGAGCGTAAACGTTTATTTTTGATAAAATAGGATTATTTAATAATGAGAGAAATAACGAAAAAACAATTAGATTAATCGTAACTTGAGTTGGGACTTACCCACTACCATCCACAAGGCGAATCGTATCCAGGTCATGATGTCCAGCATCACCATTAGGTAGATGTTGATGATGATGCTCAAGGCAGGGAGAAAGGGCACCAGTGGGACCTGATTATTAATTAAGAGTGAAACGATAACTTTAGTCTGGGGCCTTTAAAAATTTCAATATGTGGGGGTTTCTGACTAATTATTGGCATAGTTTTGTACCTACAATACTTTTGTGCATTCAAAAGACATCAGAAAATTTTTTCCAATTTTTAAAAAATTTTATTACTCCCAAAACCTTATTTTTTCAATTTTGTGAGTTTTCGACAAAATTTTGCGGCTCAGCAGCGGGCAATTGTTTTGGATTTTCAGTGTGCATTTCCGACGGAAATTTTCCGCTCTTTCAATTGAGCATAGTGCCAACTAGCTCACATAATCAGAAATGCTTTAAAATCGCCAAAAAATTAGAAAATTGGGCGTGTTGCCCCCTTCCCCGACCTCGATTGAAGATTTTTTTCTTTCCTTACCCAAAGTGACTACTTTTACGCAACACATCAAAAAATTAGACTGGAACTCGGATCCGTTCTATCCAAAAATATTTTTTTTTTCAAATTTCGTTTTAAAAAAATTTCCAATTTCTCATTTTTTAATTTTTCATTCCAAAATTTTTTATTCATGGTACATAAATGGTCGATAAATAATGAATTCTTAAATGAAAAAGTAAAAAAATGAAAAATTTGGAAAAATTAAAAAAAAAATTTGGAAAAAAATGTTTTTGATAGAACGAATCCGAGTCCTAGTCTAATTTTTCAATATGTTTTCTAAAAATAGTCACTTTGGGTAAAGAAATGAAAAAATCTCCAATCGAAGTGGGGGAAGGGGCTACCGGGCACAATTTTCTACTTTTTTGGCGATTTTAAAGCATTTTCGATGATGTGAGGTAATTGGCACACTTCTATTTTCTCTCAGTGTACCAATAATTGGTGAAAACACTCATATACAAGTCGTACTTACTGAGAAATTGAGTTTCTTCTCGGATTTCGGTTGAAGATGAATAAGTAGAACTGTTAATGCTAGACATGTGACGGTGATTGCGAGGAGAATTATCGGCCAGACTGTTCCTTTCATTATTTCTCCTGAGAACGTCCGGATTATTCCGGTTATGCAGAAGCACAGGACCACTGAAAGAAGGAATAGAGTCTTTTATTCTCAGACGAGACTGAATTTAAGGGTTTGCTAGGTTTTTCTGCTAATTACCGTAGACGAAGACTAGCCAACTGACGATTTGACTCGTCAATTTCGTGGACATGTGGAGTTTATTCATGTTTATCAACTGTTTCGCTATGTAGTCGAATGTCCTTGGTTCTCTGTCGTCTCGTTTCTGATAAGCTTCACTCTCTTCATACCTGAAAAAACGAGGGGCATTGAGAAAATGTTGAAACGACAGGATTTTGATGAATTGCGGAATTCAGTATTTTTACCTTAGAACTAAAACAGAAGCGGCAACTATTGAATAAGCCAGAAGAGTACCAATGCTCATCATATTCACGAGTTGTCCAAGCTCGAATATTGCTGCGAGAACACCTGAAAACGATTTTTAATTTTGTAAAATAAATTTCAAAAACGTCGAATGTCTACTGTTTACTCATTGCATTTTTCCAGTATGAAGAGGTGCATTAGATGTCCAGTTTCCTTTAATTTACAATCGATAATCCACAGTCCAATCCAATTAATCATTGAATAGGGCATTTTTCATTTTTTATTGCAATTTTTTAATATGAAGAGATGCATTAGATATCCAATTTCCTTTCATTGAGAATCAATAATCCACAGGCCAATTCAATTAATCATTGAATAGTGCAACAAAGTGTCGGAGAACAGGAGATAAATGAAAAAAAATAGAATCTTATTCTGTAAATATCTCAAAAAGAATTTCAAAACTAGAGAAAATCCTGAAAACGATTCTCAATTATTAAAAAGAATTGCAATGATGATCAATCCTCCTAATTGTTCAATTATCTCTTCCTTTTTAAATATGAAAAAATTAGTTTTTCAATATGAAAGCAAATTTTTCTAAATAAATTTCAAAACCATTGAATGTCTATCGTTTACTGGTTGCATTTTTCGAATATGGGAATGAGTCGACTGGAGAAATACGGTATTGAAAAAATAAATACTCATCTCAAGTAAATGAGTATTTTGCAAAAATAATTTTTTTCTCCGTGTGCGGCCCCTCATCCCTTCCCTCAGCCCCCAAAACTCACCAGTTAACAATCCAGCCGACAAAGTCCCCATCATCGGCGTGTGGAATCTGGAATTAACCGATCCCATCCACTTGAAGATCAAGCCATCATTAGCCATGGCGTAGATGACCCTTGGCAATGGGAATATAGCCCCGAGGAGGCTGGAGCAGAGTCCGCTGATGGCTCCAACGGAGACTATCCACTTCGCCCAGCTCCAGCCGATGTTGTCGAACATGTGGGGGAAGGGGGCGTCCCGGTTCTGCTCGTAGTAAGGGAGAACTGTCGTCAGAACTGTTGAAACACCAAAATACGCCAGGAAGACGACCGTTAATGAGGCCACGATGGCTATGGGGATCGACTTCTTGGGGTCCTTGGCCTCCTCTCCAGCTGTCGCCACGCAGTCGAACCCTATGAAACCGTAGAAACAGGTCGCAGCCCCCGTCAGGATGCCGGAGATACCGAACGGCGCAAATCCACCTCTTCCATTGGGGCAATCGTCTTTCGGGCCGTTCGTGCATGGAGTCTCGAGCTTCCAGTTTTTTGCGGTAGCTGTAACCAGCGGAGAATAAGGGGTTTGGGGGTGGGAACAACTCTAGAACTTCAAAAAAATTTTTTTTTTCATTTTTAAACCCTAGTCTGGCCACCAAGCGCGACCCTGCGACTTTGATCACCTGCGCGGGGATTCCCCGCTGGGTTTTAGGCTGTTGCGTTGCCGAATTCGAGCATTCCTCTGCGTCACGCAAAACCGAATGGAAATTTCGAGAAAAAAATTGACAGAAAAAGATCTAAATCACATTTGAAAGCTTGAAAAAATACCTTGAAAATGAAAAAAAAATTGAATCTCACTCTGCAGATCTCGAATTATTGAAGATTGAAAACAATTCATTCTTCCGAAATTCGCGAATAACGCAAAAAATTGTTATCGCTCATTATCGTTTGTTAATTAATTACCGTTGAAGCTTCCGGTGATAATTACGAACAATACCACTCCCAAATTCAGAAAAGTGAAGATGTTATTAGCCAGGGAAGATTCTTTAGCTCCGAATGCCACAGCCACTGGAAAAAAAACAACAAGTCAAATATGTTAAATATTAATATTGTGTTAAATATTGTTGTTCCACTTCATTGGTCGGGATTTTAAATTGATTCTTTAAGTACGTGAGAATGTGATGGTAATTCCGAAGGCGAAAAAATCCGGATACGGTGAGAAGTAATCAACTTCGATGTGCGCAGCATGTTGGAAGGCATTTCTCATGGAATTATTGCACAGTTCGTCGACGTAAGTGCTGAGGCCCCTGACGACACTCGCCGCGCCAATCATGTACTCCAGGATTAGGGTCCAACCGATTAGGAATGCGATGAACTCGCCCATCGTGACGTAACTGTAGACGTAGGCGGAACCGGCTTTCGGCACTCGGGCGCCAAATTCCGCGTAGCAAAGACCTAAAATCATCGAATTAATTGACATTTTTATTTGAATTCCGTCTTTAACGAGGTTATTTGACAATTAGTGAGACTTGGGGGATTTATTTGGAATTTTGGGGAATAGATTTTTTCGAGAAGAATTGGAAAACATGAAGTGAATGGAGATATAGAAAATTCGTTCTTCATTTGAAAGGAATTTTAAGATTAATTCAGAATTGTTTCAGGAACTCTTTTCAGAATTTTTTGCAATTAAGCATGACATTAATTCATTATTTTTATTTATTTATTATTTTACGAAGTCAAATAGTGAAAAATTCATTGAAAATTCACAAACAGATTTTTTTGGAAAGTTTGCGTCATATCGTCTTATTTAATCTCGTGAACTACTGCAGCCAGAAGAACTCTTAATGACCACAGCAACAAAAATAAATTAAGTAATCACTTTTTGATTATTGTTTAATTATCTCGAATGCTATTAGCTTTCGGCATGAATAACTTCCGTAATTCAATGAAATTCCTTCGAAAAAAATATTTTTTGATATCATTTTGTCATGTGAACAATTACCGAAATAATTAATCAATTATCAACACTAGCAAAAACTGAAAACGTAACTTTCAGATTAATCTGTAGTTATCTCGAAAACCGTGAGTTTTAGAGAAAAATCTCAGAAATAATTTTTTGTGGGAAATTTAATTTCCTATGGAAAAGATCTTGTCACATTTTTCGCTAAATCCGACAGTTTTCGAGATACTCACGAATTAATCCGCGACTTCATTAAAAAAAATTTTTTTTTAATGTAATTACCTGCGAACATCGACGCGATCGCTGCAATTGCAAATGAAATAACCACAGCTGGGCCTGCCACATCCCTAGCTACCGCCCCAGCGAGTACATAAACCCCAACTCCCAGAGTGGAGCCTATTCCAAGGGCAGTCAAGTCCAAAGTAGATAAACACCGAACTAGGCTAGATTCCCCCGAGCAATTCACGAGTTTTTTCCTCGTGAAGGTTTTTATCATCGTTTTCATCATATTTCCTATCCGCATCTTCTTGGTGGTACCTAGGGCCTTCACAGAAAAATTCAACAATCAGAAATATGAGTAATTAATCCCTTAATAATTCAATTAACACAATTTTTCATTCAATTTCGTCTGAATTCACTCACTGATCTAAATAATTTAAAGTCTATATCCATTTTCTCCTCGTTCTTACGGACTTTTCCTATTGTTTATTCTTCTATTTATTTATTCAGATCATTTGGATCGGTAGAGAATTTGTTGGGAATTTTTTAGATTATTTTCATTGACATTTCTACTTAAATTAATTTTGATTGTCCTATCGCACAGATTTAGGAATGAACTTCTCTCTTCCGAATGACTCGTGAAACTGAGAATTATCCGTTCGGTGTGAGACACTGTAGTCGATTCAATTGATAGACAGCAGATTCAACTGAATTGTCTCCTCCAATTACGAAAGATCAGTGGGACCTGATCTACGCTCCATATCCCGCAGACTATTACAACTAATTGGACCTTCGAAATTTTTTTTCACTCGTTTGGGTTCACAATTAAATTCCCCTCAATCAATCAAGTTAATTATTTCGCTTGAATAAATACTTTTCATCACGCTGTGACGAAAAGTGAGTGCTCAATGAATACCTCGGAATCTAAGGGAGATAGCAGAATTTTTGTTAGAACCTTTTTTGTGGAGCCAATTGAGAGCTACAACAAATGTAATTACGAAAAATTCGCTATCTCCCTTAGATTCGGAAATATTCCTCAAAAACTCAACTGGGAGGTGACTCGACTCGAACCGTTTTACCACTTTGTTGCTGAATTAATGCATGGCGAAGTGGGGAGTCAAACTACTTTACTAAATTAATGGAATCGATCAGTAACAGATTGATCTATCCGATAGATCCAACATTAGGCAATTTATCTGAAGATCTCGCTGTTTCATCACTTCCGCGTGGGGCTGATTCTGAAGGTCGCGCAATATGAAAATCTTTTGATGTGTTATCATATCATAGAATAATAGAATACGGTGGTCATGTGGCTGTGACAGGAATAGAATGAAGGTGAATGTTATATTTTAAAAGTTCGAGCGGTGGAATTAATGAGATAAGAAAAGGATCCGAACCACTTAAAATCTCAATATCTCGATATCAGGCGCAGGGATCGGCATCAATCGTTAGATTATTAATATTAAGAGAAGTTGCACGGTAAAATTATTGCAGTTTACTTATCTTCACTGACATTCGAAAATTAACAAAATAATTGAGAATAGGGAAATGTCAATTGACTATTGAATAAATAATTCTAAATTTCATAAAAGAATTATCGATTTACCAAGTAGTCAATATTCCGACCTCAATTATTTATTGATAAAATAATCCGGAATTTGAATGATTTGATTCATGATTAATTCAACTATTTAAAAATTTTTGGGTAATGTTAACTAATTGCCCAATTCAAAAATTAAATTTATTTCATTCAAAAATTAGATTTTATTTTATTAATTTTTATCAATATTCAATTTTTATTGAAGAAATGTAATATTGATGGACATCCCTGTTCACAAGTCGTAAAATTTCATCATTCGATTTTCTGGGTCATTAGAACCACTTTCCTCTTTCAATTAGTAAAGTTGAAAATTAATTACCTCATCCTAATGACAGTGTCAATCCCATAAAAATTATAGGAACCGAAACAATCAGTCTGAATAATTTGCAAATGATTTATGATGAATATGACAAAAATGAAATAAAAGAGTAACTAGTGTTCAGAAATAAATCACTGATTGTGAAAATTGTCCTAAATTCCATGAGAACGCACCGATTGCGTGAAAAAAAAATAAAATCGCGACATTTATTTGGTAAAAATTGTAGCACAGAGTTAAATCCAAGCGTCACAAGGCGTGGACAACTAGAATTTCATCATTTGATTTTCTGGGTCATTAGAACCACTTCCTTCCGTTAATTCGTGAAGCTAAAAATTAATTCTCTCATCCGAATGACAGCTTCACTCAAAAAAATTACAGGAACCGAAACAAGTTGTCTGAATAATTTTCAAATGATTTCTGACCGAAAAAAATGAAATAGAAGAGACACTAGTGTTCAGAATTTCAATCGAATACTCACGTGTGACAGTCCAAAAATATTATCTTTGAAGTACTGCAGTCCTCGCTGCTTACACCTCAACTGGGATAATATTGTTTCAACGAAGCTCGTTATCTGAACGAAAACTGATAATTCTAAGACTCTAATTGGACGTTGCAAGTACAGGGAGAGGCAGGGAGACATTCCTCTGTTGTCATTATAAATCGTTTTATTGTAGACAGAGATTCTATCGCATTACAATTCAATTGTGGGGGGAAAACCGGGTAATCCCTCGTGGAATGGGCTCTGATTCATCACTTCACTTTCTCCACTTTTCGAATTACCCCATCAATTAATTCAGTGCAACAAAAATTTCTTTAAATACCTTTATCAAATTTATTTATAAAAAAAATAGCGAATAATCTCGTTATCATTTAGTTATGGACGAACATTAAATACATTACATCGTGGACGGATTCAATTACTTAGATATTTTTGTTCATTACAGCTATTTTTTTTTTACAGTTAAAAAATTAAATTTAAAGGATCTACATTTTCAATAGAAAATGCTAAATTATGTTTTGGAAATTGGAGTTGATTTGTCACCCAAAAAATTGTACTTGGAGTTTACGTTTACAATTAAAAATAACGTCAGAAAAACTGTTGAAAATTATCTTAAAATGGTAAAAAATGTACTGCGAGCTCGGCAGTGGAGTTTTGTAATCAATTCTTGGAGAATTTGACAGAAGGCACTTTTGGACGATTTTTTATCTATTGTGGAACGAATTAATCTCACTTCAAGAGAAGAATGTGACGAGATCTTGTAGAAAGTTTAATTCTCGATGAAAATTTCTCTGGACGTTTTGATTTCTTTCGTTCAATTCTTCGTTTATCGATTCGTAATTGCTTAACTATATCGGTAATGAGTGATACTGGAGGCAATTCATTGGACATTTTCCTGGAGAATTCAATTCTCCATGAAAAAGTTCAGTGATTCTGGAGAAATTCTATTCTTCACCACTTCCCAATAAAATTACGCAGTTATCCAACTCCAGAACAGGGGGATGACTGCTATCGACGTCAGGACACTCCAAGATGTGTATTTACTAGCTCCAGACTGCAAAAAATCCAAATTGAAGATCAATTCTCTTAAAAATCAAGTTTACAATTTAATTCATAATTTTTTATTTCATAAAACTTGAATTATCTCGATAACGAGTGGTTCTGCGATAAAATCTCAATAAAACATTTTTGTAGTAAACAAAATTCTCTACACAAATTGTCTTTTGATATTTTCCTCTAAACCTACTTATCTCCGAGATAATTCCCCATAAACAAAGCATGAAAACCGTATTCTTGAATTTTTTTCCCACAAATAAGAGGGACGCGGTTTAGAAACCTTGAAAATAATACTCACAAATATGTAATAATTACACCGATCCCCCTGACAGCACTCCGAGCACTTCCAGTCCTGGTACCACAGGTACGTGCAGTCGGGCATATTCACCTTCCTGATTTTCTCGCACTCCCTCTTAGACATGCACTTCTTGGATATGTAGTGCTGCTTTTGAGCTGCTGGGGACCAGTAGGGAGTGCCTAAAAAAATTACAAAAAATCGTGAATTCATTGATAAGGTCCGTGTTTAAAAAACTTCCGCAAAAAAAACTCCGTCATAAAAACTTCGTCAAAACAACTTTGTGATTAAAAAAACTTGAAGGGAAAAAAATTGAACAATTTGAACTTCGAAAAACTTTCAAAAAATCCAGAAAAATAATGCAAAAAAACTAGGATAGAGGATTAATAAGACTTCAATGAATACTCACGAATGAAAATAACAAAATGAAAAAAAAATCGTCTTCAGAGTCTCAAACAACATTGGGTCACAATAACAAGTGATTTGACGCAAATTCATAAGCAGGAAATAAATAACACAACTATTTCTATCCACAACATAACAAAATCAAACAAATGATCAGCTATTTAAAGTCCGATAGAGAGGAAATAGTGAATGGATAATTTATCATGGTAACTAACGACGACCTAACAGCCATTATATACATCACATTATTAATCTGCAATTTCCTCCCAATTGAGTTTATTTCCCAATATTATTAAAAAACGTTCTTTGAAAATGTTCATTTTTTTCAACGTTTTTTGATTGCACAGTCATAATTTTTGGAGACTCCAGGGCCAATTGGAGATCACTCAGATTATCAAAATAAAAAAAAAACAACCAAGATCATTCGAAAGATTGTTCACCTGGGCCTTAACCAGGTTTTTAAAAATTTGTTTGACGAAGCTTTTTAGACGTGCTCTCCAGGTGTAACTTCCTAGACCCTGAAGAAATTTTTTGTCATTTTTTCTTGACACTCACTGCCCCAGTTGACCTCGGTGAAGCATGCGTCCTGATCGTATTCACAGGTGTTTATCGTTGAAAGGCATTTTCCAGTGTTGTCCTGTTGTCGATCACAGACGTAGCACTCTAGGGCGTTGCCTGGAGGTTAAACCAATGATTAAAGTGTTGATTCGTGATCCAGGGGATCAGGATCGATGAGGGATCAGGGGGGCATTGATTAATTACTCACCGATAACTGTGCAGCATGAGAGGAGCACTAGAATCCTGGGGAATCGAGACATTTTTTACTGATACTGGTCTTGATGCTCGTGGAGACGCACAGGGGACAGTTTGTTTTGTTGAATGATTCAGGATGACTGTTGGGGTGTGGGTGGGGACACAACATTGATTGGCGTGTGGCGGTGTCCGTTTTATCAATGATCTCCTCATTATCGTCTGTTGATAATTGAATTCGTTGTTGTTGTGGTTTTTTGAGAATATCTCCTGATCCCTTGGGTTTAGAGAAAAATGTCATGAGAGATTTTTTGTAGAGGATTAAATTCCCCACAAAAATGTCCTATGATGTTTTTTGATAGAGTCGATAGCTGAAGAGATAAATTGATGGACAATTGATTATGAACGAGTGGAAACTTTGGACATTATTTTTGTGAATATCTCTGGAACCGCTGGGTTTACACAAAAATATGATGAAACATTTTTTATTGGAAATTCAATTTTCTACAGAAAAGGTCTTGTGGTGTTTTTCTGTAAACCCATCGGTTTGCGAGTTATTTGCCAAATAACACGAACACGTGTGTGGAGACGTCAGTGTTCTCAAACATCTTTACTTTATCGTCTGTTGAAAATTAAACTTGTTGTTGTTGTGGTTTTTTGAGAATATCTTCTGAACCCTTGGGTTTAGAGTAAAATCTCACAAGAGATTTTTTGTAGAGGATTAAATTCCCCACAAAAATGTCTGATGATGTTTTTTGATAGAGTCGATAGTTGAAGAGATAATTTGATAGACAATTGATTATGAACAAGTGGAAACTTTGGACGTTATTATTGCGAATATCTCTGGAACCACTGGGGTTACAGAAAAACATGATAAAATATTTTTTATTGGAAATTCAATTTTCTATGAAAAAGGTATTATGAAATTTTTCCACAAACCGATCGGTTTGTGAGTTATTTGTGAAATTATTTGCATAAGTTTCGAAATCTTCGGTTTTCGTTACCTTGTGAGCCTCTTCAGGGGGCGCTCCAGCGTAAACACTGTCGCCATTTTATTTCTGAAGTGTCAATGCTGGATTAGAGCGTTTCCCAGCATTTCGGAGCTGTTTAATTATTCTGCTAGCGATTAGAATTTAATTAAGAGTGAAAACCTTGTGAATTTTGAGAGAAAAATGTCGACTGCTGCGAGACCCACGTTTGACGGGGCTAGGGGAGGACAAGGACGTGGGGAGAAGGATCTCAGTGCTATTTCCAAGCAGTACAGTAGCAGAGATCTACCTGGACACACGAAATTAAAATACAGGTAATTAATACATTCATTCATTCTCTCAATTGTCTTGTTATTTTTTAATCTCTACATATGCCTCTTCATTCTTAAAAAATGAGGATACTTTAGAGAAATTACAATCACACAAACTCTAAACATAACCTCGATTCATTCACTTTTCTTTTTTTTCTTATTCAAAACACAAAAATTGCGATTTTTTCATTTTTTATTGCTAAAATTCATTCTATGAGGTTCATTCATTCTTTGAGATTTGGCAGAAACTCAAAGAAATTTACACTATTATCTGATGACTTTTTTCTTGATTGATTGATTCAGAACTTTTTGTTTATGCCCTAGGGTGAAAGTCATCCCCTGAAGGCAATCCAAAAATTATGACATTTGTTATAAAAAATTGTAAATAAGTGTTAAACATATTTGAAATTTGACCAAGAAGATGTTTGGGCAATTCGGTGATTTAATAATTGTAATAATAATTATGATTTTTGGATTTCAGAGAGCATGGACAAGGAACGACTGAGGAACTTCGCACCAGAGACTTCAGAAAGGAATTGGAGGAGCGGGAAGTCGAGAAGACGAGCAAATCATCGAACAGGAGGATGGTAGAGCCCTCGAGGGAGCCAGTACAGCCTAGCAAACGTCAGAAGGCCGATCAAGTCCCAGCAGCGAGTCTCGATGCTGATGATCCTTTGGATGAAGATGATTCAGACTCTGACAGTGATGAGGATGACACTGCAGCACTTCTCGCTGAGCTGCAGCAGATTAAGAAGGAGAGAGCTGCCGATAACGCCAAGAAGGTACTGAAAACTCTTGAAAAATCATTCACTAATTATTATTTTTTATTTGAGCACAAAATCATATTTATTTGTGCGCAAAAACAAAGTCAAAAAAGTGGGGAAAAGGAAGTATTCACTAATTACGCAATCATCTCTGAAACTATTGAGTTTAGAGGAAAATATGAGAAAATCTTTTTTGTGGGAAATTTAATTCTCTGCAGAAAGTTCTTATGACATTTTTTCATGAAATTAATACCTGGGAGAAGGTTCACAAAATAGTGGATTGATTTTGGAGATTGAGCTTTGTTTATTCTATTTTTTAGGAACTGGAGAAGAGACAGGAGGAGGAGAGGATCAGAATGGAGAACATTTTATCAGGAAATCCATTGCTGAATTACTCGGCTCAAGCCACTCGCACAGACATGAAGGTGAGACGACGATGGGACGATGATGTCGTCTTCAAGAACTGTGCGAGGACAGAACCCAAGAAGAAACACGATGTCTTCATCAATGACTCCCTCAGGAGTGACTTCCACCGTAAATTCATGGAGAAATATGTTAAATAAGACTGATGGTTACTCTCTTCATTATTAATTTCAGTTTGTGGACGTCTAGAATTAAGAATTAATCGTCAATTTCGAGGCATTGTAAATAGAAGAATTGAAAGTCAATAAAGAAGAAACAACATTATTTAAATATTATTATTTAATATTTTCGTTTTTTTTTTCGTTGAATCCAATGAGATCAATTTTTGGGAATAAGAAATGAGTGAAAAAAATGAGGTTCAAAAATTTTGGAGACGCCCCTGATTCTGAATTCTTATCTCTATCTCTCTAATATGTTCATATTTCTATAGATTCATGTGGGAGTCATGCAGGGGTCACACTCTGTGAGGGTCAAATTCTTAAAAAATAATAATAAGAGTATGACGTTGGTTGGAGCCTTTTGCAAATAATAAAAGTCTCAATTTTTCAGAGGTAAATCATTCTATAAATTTTTATATATAATACAAACACCTAAATATACCGAATAAGATTGGAGGGGAGTGAGCAGGGGGTGGAGCCCCTAGTAAATCACTAAATTTCTAATTCATTACTAATTGCGTAATTATCTCGCTAATCAACGGTTTTTCAAAAAAATGGCAAAAGACATTTTCCCTCAACCAAACGTTTCCCAAGTTATTCCCCAAATACCGTCTCACATTTTCTCCAATAATAAAAATGCAAAATAATCAGTAGAGAATGAAAAAGTCAAGGAAAATTGAACGATAAAAATTCTCGGAGTAAGTCCTCAAATGAAGAAACAAAAATTCCCGTGAAATGTTGACGTAAGAGGAATTCGCCTTGAGGGCATCACCTCTCGGATCTCCACTATAGACCGAGTGGCACCTGACGTTCTCTCTCATTTATACATCATATCTCCCTCACACCATCGCGTTTTTTTTATCGTCCCTCTCTCCACCTCCTCAATTTTTTTGTACACTCGACTGTCCTTCATTTGAAACCGACGTTCCAGTCTCGTTCCAGTGAACGAAGATACTCGCGGACTCGTTCCACTGGGAATTCGCCCCAGGGGCTATTACCGCCCTCTTATCCCCCACAATGTGCCACCCGCTTTTCATTTATTTTACTCTTGCTCGATGGCTCAACAGGTTTATCTCCTTTCTGCATCTGAAACGAAAATATTTTATCACAACAGCAATTCCATTTAACAATCGAAGAATTGTTTTTTTTTTCATTCATTACTTCTTTCCATTAAATAACTAAATTCAACGCAATTAAATTTTTCTAATTAAAAAAATTATTGAAGAATGTCTGAGATGTCTGAGCAATCAATTATTAATGATGGATTGATTAAATTATTTTTTTTTCGTACGTTTTCCTCAAGTTTTCAATTATCTAATTATTAAAGAGACGAATGTTTTAATTTTTTAGATAAAAAAAACCCTTTAAAATTATTTTTAGTGTTTTCGAGTTCATAAAAATATGTTTAGGGGTTTTTTAATTGTCTTCGGAATGCAAATATATTTTTTAAAATTTTTATTGCCGCAGAATGTCTCGATTTAAAATTCGAATAAAAAAATTGCAAATTTTCACTTTTCACGGGGAACAAACCCTTTTAAAATTCTTCTGATTGCTCCTAACTCTCTAAAAATATATTCCGAGGTTTTAAAATTATCTAGGGGTCGAAAACATGTTTTGAAAAAATGTTTACTGCCTAAAGATGACGAATAAACCCCTGGAACAGTCGCCATCGCGGGATTTCTTGAATTAACATTTGAATCTTCGCTTTTTGTGCACGCCTACTCCATCTCCCTGGGCGTGTCCAATTTCTATTCCCCCAGGTGTGTGCAGTTGTCCCCAAAAAACACCTCACCCGAGTGATCCTCAACCCCTCGGCAATTCTCACCTCCGCAGGCCCCGAAGAGCCTCTCCATCCGCGCGATTTCACTCCCTCGAAAAAAAAGAGGAAAAAAAAATTCTGGAGCATTTCCCAGCCTCTAATGACACAAACTGATCTCTCGAGAGCACCTCCAGCCTCTCGTTACGCTCCTGGAGAAGGCGGTGGTGAGGCAAAAGGCGACGACACGTCCGGAGTGAGAGCCGAGTGGAGAGCGCGCGTTTAAAACTGTATGCGGGAATCTCTCGCAGTCACCGCGTTTCCCATTCGTTCTCCAGGCACCGGAGCACTCCGGAGGATACATCCGACCCGCAAGCCACCCCTGACCCTCAAAAACCCTCGGGAGAAAAATAAATCGAGAGTTCAAGTGAAAGAAAAACCCGAAAACCCCAATTTTCCCGCGATTTAATCAAAAAAATTAACTCCCCCGTCGCTAATTAATTAATTAATCAGCAAAATTGTTGATAAATCGCGGAGTGCGGTGAGGGGACACGAGGGGGTCTCCAGGAGCCGAGGAGGAAGAGTTTCTTCCTCCTTAACCCGCCCCAGAGTGAAAGTGAAAGAGTGAAAAAATTGGGAAAAAATGATTTTTCCAAATTTAAAAATGAATATCTGTGCTTTAATTGTTGTTCATGTCGTGAGTGAACTGTACGGGGTGCGGGCAACTCGCACCAGTGGACTTTACATCGACAATGGACAGGATCAGACAGTGGTACATCGTGTTGTGACGCAGCGGGAGAAGCGCGAAGTTGAGCATGAGATTCTCAATCTTCTTGGGCTACCGGACAGGCCCAGGAGTACCGTTGGCAAAGTACCCCAGGTTAAGAGGTCAGCGCCAAAGTTTTTACTTGATATTTATAAAAATGCACTCGGTGAGGATGAGAAACCGGTCGCACGTAGGGGCAAGAGCGACGGTGAGTTCGACCTCACGGGTCAGGATCTCAGGGCCATCGACCAGAGCGATGTCATCATGACTTTTCAAGCGCACAGTGAGTACTTTTATATTTCATTAATTTTTTATGACGATCCGGGGGAGGCTGGGCCCATTCTTTCATGAGTTTTTGATGAAATAGGGATTTTTCCTGATTTTTTGTTATGAAGCGATTCATTTCCTGAATTTAATTGTTTTCATGTTCGAAGTAAAACTTTGCAAATTTTTTTTTTTCGTTATGAGCAACAAATAAAACGCTCGGATGACCGTGAATGACGTCACAACTCCGGTCCGTCAACGCCATCTCTCGTCGATTTTGAATCGCTGATTTAATTTCTCGTCTTCAGAAATTAAATCGGGACTTTTGATGTATTTTGCCTCTGATGATAATCCAGGGAAGTTCAATCCGATTTATTCGTAGATTTTTGATGATTTTTTGGAAGGAGGAACAGTAAAAATTTTGTTTTCTTCTTTCATTCAATTATTTGAGTCAAATTAGGTTTAAATTCGAAGTAAAATATTGCAATTTTTTTTATTATAAAAAAATGACAGAAAACTGATAATTTCAAAACGTTCAGATGACCTTGAATGACGTCACAACTCCGGTCCGTCAGCGCCATCTCTCGTCGGATTTGCGTCTTAAGAAGAAATATCTCTCTTCGGTGTTTAGGGAAAAACGTGAATTTTTATTTGAGAGTCTAATTTCCCCGAGAAAAAATTCGAATTATGAGATGATGAGGTCCTTAAACATCCCAAAAACACTCCTAGACCCTATAAACTTAGGCCCTAAAAAATCAATCCAGAAAAAAAATTAAAATACAAAAGTGGAGAAAAAAAAAGCCAATTTTCCGTCATTTTCGTAATTAAAAAAAAAATCATCGAATAATTAATTAACTAATTGATTGATTAATTGATTATTTAATTTGCCAATTAATTGTCTGCTGGCATTGTTCCATAAGCTTGATCATTACCTAGATAATTTAGTAATTAATTAAATCGATTACTTTGGTTTTATTCGTTCTTTTTCCATTCGCATTTTTGCGATTTGGCATTTCAATTGACAATTCTCTTTATTTTTATGTAAATTCCTCGTGATGTACCCAACCGTCATTTGAATAATCACATCAGTGACATTTTCTCGCACATCTTCGCTTATTTGAAATTCAACTTTTAATTTGTTTTCTCAGTAGTAAAATAAGGTAAAAGACGTGCTTGATGACTTCATTCCCTTTAGCGGTATCACCGATAGATATCACCCTGAAATTGAGTTATTTCCAAACGCACACGCAAAGTGGATCCCCCAATTCCTCTGGTTCTCCCTCGTTGGGTCATAAATTACGGGGAGCCCCAGGAGGAAAAAGGAGTAATAAAATTTGCAAAAAAAATATCGGGTGTATTTATTTTCACGTTGAACAAGTCCCAAAAAACTTCAATTAATTTGAAAAAAACGTCTAAAATACTCCGAGGAAATTATTTCGTACGATTGACATTTTTTCAATTTTTTAAACCGTGAAAAAATGTTTAATCCGCCCCAATTGATTAATTAATTAATTTTTCCCTTGAAGTTAACACGAAAAATGTTCAATTACAACTCAAAAAAATGTCAACAGAACGTATTGGTGGATCCAAAGAACAATATTTCACTCAATGATTTTTTTCCCATTTTTTCAAACTTTAAAATACACCAATCCATTTTTATTAGTTAATTAACGAATTATTCTTTCGAAATTGTTGAGAAAAAAATTCCATTAACGGTTGATAAAAGATATGAATGAATTCAAAGACAATGTGTTCATCCAATTAATAATTTCTTCATTCTTCCAATCTTTAAAAACTCTAATTAACGAATTATTTCTTCAAAATTATTGAGAAAAATATTCTATTAATTGTCGAAAATGTTAAATATATTAATAAAAAGTATGAATGAGTTCAAAGAAAATATTTTCCTTCAATAAAAATATCTTTTCATCGAAATCGTAAAAAGCGCTCAAATCCATTCTAATTAATTAATTAATCAAAATTTCCTTGAAATGAATCAAGAAAATATGAAAAAATTGAGAAAATGTCCCGAAAAAAATTGCCGACTCCAAAGTCGAAAAATAATGAAATTTATCAATTTATAAATCAGACGATTCGAAACCGAAAAAAACGGGGAAAAAAATTTTTTAAACACAAAGAAAAGATATTGCGGAGGGTCCGTAAGTCCCCCGGGGGCCAAAGTATTCGAGACCACCCCGAGTGCGTTCCGGGGCCAGGGCAATCAGGTGCCTCTGGAAGAATGCGACCGTCCTGGGACCAAAGGAGAAACCAAAACGAGTGAAACAACGATGGTTTTAAAAAAAACGAAGAAATACCACCAACACATTTATAAGAGGTATTTTGTGCGCTTTATCCGAAGGTTGAAACATTAGGCATTACTTAAGGAACTTCTGGCACCCGAGGGAGCCCGGTCGCGGGGGAAGAGGGCGGTCTTTTTTCGAGGTGGATCGGAGAGAGAAAGAGAGGGAGAGAGAGAGAGAAAAAGGAATGGGAGAATGGCCTCCAACGATTTCACGCTGCGAATCCTCTACAGCTCGTTATGTGATTAGGGACTCTTAGAATTCACCTCGACGTTGTTTATTCTAGCTTTGACTTTTTAATTGAAGGATTTTTGATGGGATGCAGTGGGATGATATTATAAATCAATGTCTTGTTGAGAAGACAATTTTTTCATCGCAATTCGGGATTTTTTTTTAGTTGAGGGTCAAATGGTCTTGAGGGTGAAACGACCTTTGGTGACGGTTGGGGCTGAGGGTTAAATTGGTTTAAAGGGTCAAGTGACCCTTTCTGATCACCCTTCTTTAACCCGTTTGACCCGTAAACCTAAGGGTCTTAAGGGTTTTTTGACCCTGAAATTCAATCGTCCTTAAAAGTCGTTTTTGACCCTCAATCAAAAGCAAAAGAAAAGTTTCTAGTTGGGAAACGGTTTTAAGGGTTTTTTGACCCTCAAGACCATTTGCCCTTTTCTTGAGGGTCAAACGATTCTAAAAGACGTTTAGAATTGAGGGTCAAATTGCCTTAAAGAATCAAATGACCCTTTCTAATCACTGCTTTAAACCTTTTGGCCCTCTAACAGGGTAAGGGTCATTCGTCCCTTAAAACCATTTGACCCCCAAGACCATTTGCCCTTTTCTTGAGGGTCAAACGAATCTAAAAGACATTTGGAATTTTGGGTCAAATTGTCTTAAAGGGTAAAATGACCCTTTCCGATGGCTCTGCTTTAACCCGTTTGACCCTTAAGACCATTTGACCCTTGACTCTCAACTCCAAACGTCCGTAAGGGTCGCTTGACCCTTAATACCATTTGACCCTCAACTGAAACAAAAAAAAAATTCCTGAACTGTCTAAAATAGTTGTTTTACAAAAAATATCAAATAAAAATTAGAAAAAAAATGTAAATTTTATTCAGATCATCATGTACCCGGCGTACGTCACGAGCGTGGGAAAAGACTGTGGTTCGATGTGTCGGAAGTGCCACCGGAGGAGAAAATAATCGGTGGGGAACTGCGACTCTATCGAACTATGGAGGTAAAACACCGGAGAAACCGAGGGTCCTTCGTGATAACGGCCTATCGAGTGCTTCGAATAGCTGATGGGTAAGAAAAAAATCAACTGGACCCTCATTCCCACTAATTCTATCCAATCGGCGAATCCTGGAAACTCTCATTTGTCGGAGAAAATTCAATTCTCAATTCCTCTGTACCCGCGATACGCCACAATTTCAAACACGCAATATTCTCGATTTAGACGTTTCCGCTCCACTCGATTCATTGTGTGTTCAAGTGTCTATTCTTGGATGTAACGGCGGGTTTCAGTCATTCAATGGGATTTTGTAATCTTTCGGTTATTTCATTGATCAATTCCTTCAATTCAATTGATTTTTTGAAAAAGAAAATCAGAAAAATTGGACATGCGTTCAAAAATATTTTTTGACATTTCCGACTGGAGCCGATTGTTTTCGAGATAATTACATAATTAAAAAAAATTGGTTAATTATTTTTCTGATCTTTAAATGATCAAATGATCAATGATTGAAATGATTTTATTAATCAATTATTCTTCCAAATATTATGCGTTAAAGTTACGAGGAATAATCAGTCTTAAGTAATTAATAATGATAATTAATTTTTCGTTATTCATTGTTGCGTACATTAACTTTAAAAAATTCCCAACAAAAAGTGTCTCAGATATTTCCCTGGGCCATTTTGATTCACCACTTTTTCATTCAATTCTCAAAAAATCGTGTAACTACCAAAAAAACTAACTGCCAACAATTTATATGAGTTGATTTCATCCCGAAGTCAAAGGACAGGTGCACGTGTTGGTAAAACTAATTTCAAACGTCGCCAGTTTGTCTCGAGAGCAAGAAAATCGCAGCTACAGAGACAGAAAAAAAACTGAGGAATTAACTGATGAAGACAGTGATGCGTCATGTTTTGTTCTCAGTGTTAACTGCGTAGGCCAAATGTAATGCCTACCTCCAGAGAAACTGTCTACTCCTTCAATTCGTCTCAATTTACGGAATAGCGTTTCCTGCGTTGAAACAAGAGTCTTGAACTTCTTCTCGAGGAGCAAAAAAAAGATCGAGCCAAATGTTTTTCGTCGGTTTTCGTAACGAGAGGGATGACAGACAAACATTTTAGTCATGAAAAATAAATTCCGGGTGATTTTGGGGCCCAGGTAGACAGTTAAATATCTTTCTCAGGGGTTCAGGAGAGGAACGGCTAATTAGGGAGACCAGGAGGGTCGTTAAAATGACGGTTAATTCCTAGGAGTCGTGTGGGCAAGGGTCCACGCTCGAAAGTACCGTTTTAAAGTCCTTCAAAATTTCATTTTCATCATTTTTTTTTACCTCTGAAAAAGTTGCTTTCGACAATTTTAGGGACAAAAAAATTGAATGATCGTTTATGATTTTTTATCGATGATTAATATGAACATTAATGAGGTAATTATTAAAAAGTAAATTGAGGATAATGAGTTAGAAGTTGTTTTCAAGAAATCATTTTTTTATTGCTTGCGTTTTGTATAAACATTTTTAAAAAATCGTAATCATTAAAATATCGTAAATATTCAATAATTCATACTTTCTTGCAATAATTATCAAAATAAATTACAATAAAATTATTTTTAACAATTTTCGGGACAGAAAAATCGAATGATCGTTTATGCTTTTTTATTTTTGATTAATATGAACATTATTGAAATAATTATTAAAAACAAAATTGAGGATAAAGTGTCAAAAGTTGATTTTAATCAATTATTTAATTAATTAATTATTTACTTATCAAAGAATTATTTAATTAATTATTATTAAAAAATCATAATCCTTAAAATAACGTAAATAATCGATAATTCATACTTTTATTAAAAATGATTTCGAGTCTGCTGTTGCTGTTTCTTAAATAATTACTCTTCACATTAAAATATTGTTTGTTGAAGGACAAAAGAACTTCAATATGTGGATTCTGTTAACACGACGACAAACAAGGAAGGCTGGTTGACTCTAAACGTGACAGAGCCCCTAGTCCACTGGGTAAACAATTCAAAAGGCAATCGTGGATTTTATATCTCCGTACATCCAGCAGATCGTTCGGGTGAGTAAACAATATCACAGGAGAAAAACATCCCATTACCTCGTTATTCCGAGTGACACGTTTGTATTAAAGAATCATCGGTATTTCCTGCGGTCATGAGAAATATTATCAATCAATCTGCTGTCTCAGCCGATCATTAACTAGTCATACAGTGGCTGAGTTATTATTTTGCGGGTAAATTCATTGCAATTAGAATGATCATTAGTGCAAAGTTGTCTGAAGAAATCAATTCTCTGGGGAATCAAAACTATTTGATGAGGAAAAAGAAATGGGCCGTGATAATTCCTCCAGAAAAAATGACTGACAATTTTTTTTTATTTTCTGGACATTTTTGTCCTAAAAAAAATTGGGAAATCGTCCTGATGATTTTGTATTCGATGAAATGACACTTTTACTGGTGTTTTCTCATAAAAAAATTTATCAGATAATATTTGAAGTGAAATTCAAACTGTTAATAATTTATTTGGATTGTTATTGAAAAATAATAATTAATAATTTGATAAAATCACAAATAAAAAATGCTAAAATCACGAAAACTAGCGAAAAAAAATATTGATAATTTTTTAAACCTTCTCTGAACAATTTTGCCTGCAATAAAAAGTGGGGAACGGTTGAAGTAATTGTTAAATCACTATTTTTACTCGATTTTTCGCGTTAAAAAATTGTCGAACGAGTTTCTCTTGAAATTGAGACAATACCTCTCGTTAAAAATGAGAAATAAACGACTTTGGGGTCAATAAGACTAACAGATGACTCCGCCCAGATAAAATTCAGCGAGAGCCCCCGAATTGAATACCCCTGGGGTATTCCACAAGGTCCCAAGGTGGTGGAGGTGACTCGGTTTCACCGAAGATACGATCCTGCGATGCGATAAGAAAAGCGGGTACACCTGTTGAATTTACCTCTAGTAAAAAAAATACATCTTAAATTATTTATTGAAATTTAAAGTCCACAATAGAAGATTTCACTTCCCCTTGCCCCACCTCAAGTGAATTAATTCGTCTCGTCAAGTTAATTAATTAATTGTTTAATCATCTTGTCAATAATTGGATTAAGGAGAAAATGTTGAAGGGCTTTTTTGTAGAAAATCTTCTCCTTAAGCAAATGTTTCAGACATCGGCATAATCATAATTTTGAAGTCACGTTAAATTTTGAATAAGTCAATTGTTAATATTAGTCACCAATTTTTCGTTATTAAAATAACCATCAATTTAAATATTGAAATTCCGAACTATTTCATCAACCAATTGTTCAGAAATTAAATTGTCAATTATTATATTATTTTTTAAATGTCAATACAGATAAGTAAATCTTAATTATTACAAGTTGTGACTTCTCGTAATATTACTAAAGTAATGATTAATGTCGATCTATGAAATATTTACTGAAATTTTCGCTTACAACAACTCATTATTGAAACATCTTGACAATAGTAAACCCCAGTAATCAATCCAAACGTTAAACTCCAACAATTTGATCCTTAAAAATGCTTTAAAAAATTATTCATCGAGATAAGAATGTACGTGGGTGTCAGGAGAGGTGTGACCAGTAGTTTGAAAAACAGGATTGCTTTCGAAAGGCATTAAAACGGGAACTGCGGAAATTTACAAAGTCCCCAGCCCTGAAAAACAATAAAAATTCCCAGAATTTCGACATTAATTTTTTGAAAAATTGATTAATGAATTGATGATGAGTAAAATGCAGAGATCGCGAACGATCAGACACTCTGACTTGAGATGGCGAGGGGACAAGTCCATCTGCACCGATGATAATCGAGTGAAAATGATTATTACTCATTCGCATTTAATGTATTAGTAAACGTGTGTATGATATTTACATCGCTGGGTTATTCTATACTTCGATATCTCGTTATATTGAATGATCAAAGGTAAACCGGTTGACCGGGGGGATCTAGAGGGGCCTCTGAAGGAGAGGAGAGGCCTCGAGTCATGAGAAACTTGAGGGACAACTTTTTTTTTAATCATTTAAGCAATTATGAATGATTTTTCAATATTTTCGAAGCCAAATCGTCTCCACTTTCACAACTCCTGTTATTTGCATTCCAAAACCATAAAATACGATGTCCATTCCGTTTCTTCAATTAGAAAACATTGAAACCTCTATTATTATTCAGTTTCAGTGGAATATCGCAGTTAATGTCGATTAATTTCGCGATTATCTCCATAATGAGAGGTTTTACGAGAAAATGTCACTAAAACTTTTTTGTAGAGGAGAAAATTTGCTTCGGAAAAGATTTTCTCATATTTCGTGATAAAATTACTCATTCCGGAGATAATTGACGCTAAATAAAAACGTTTGAATGAGAAAAATCGAAGGAACAAAAATATTCCAATTGAAAAACGAAAATAACGTTGCGATTGATGAATGGACGGTTGTTGGGTGGAAAACAAGCCACAAGATGTACTCTCGAGTTTTATGGATGGGGAAATGGTGGGATACCATTGGTAACACAGCTATACACGTGTGTTGTATATTCAAATGACTCGAAGAGGCCACGAGGAGTCGAGTATAACGTGAAAGCTAGTAAATTGGCTGTTGAGGAATGCGCATTTACCGTGATTGCAAACACCTGACTACCTGTCCAGCTTGTGTATCAGGAGATAGAGCCTCCATTGAGGATCGATCAAAATCCATAGCCACTTTTGACAAAATGAAAAAAATTGTTAATTTCATTAATTTGGGATTTTTCCTTCTCATTAAATCATTTCTCAATTTTTTCTCATCAATTAGATATGAGAATTGAATTCTGAAATTATCCCAATTAAGAAATAAGCCCTTAATTGACGAAATCCTTATAAATTCAAAGATCAAACTCAATAAAAATTTTGAGAAAGAGAAAATTAAACCAAAACTTTGCGAATTATTTCGCAAATATCTCGACAAATAAGAGATGCAGCAGAAAATATGAAAAGAAACTTTTTGCGGAGAATTTAATTGCCTACAAAAAATGTTCTCTAAAATTTTTGCGCAAATTCCCTCGGTTTGGAGATATTAATGAAATAATCCGAACAAAATTTTTAACTCAAAATCAATTATCGATTGATTTGACGATTAGAAGTGAATGGCATAGTCCTTAAGAATGAATAATTCATGAAGGTTGTGCTATTAATACCCAAGCACGTGACGTTTTCTCATATTCATAAACTGTAATTCCACCTGGTGCCTATAATAATCACCAGACAGAAATCACTTCTCGTGTTGGAGGTGAAAAAATAATTATTCTATTCTCTAATTCGATATGATTGGTTAATTGCAGTGCACGAACTGAAACCGGAAGATGTTGGTATCGTTGGATTTCGTGGTGATGCCGACAAACAGCCCTTCATGGTTGGTTTCTTCAAGAGTTCTGGGGTACGTGAGAAAAAAGTCAGACAGAAGAGAGATGCGAGGAGGAGAAAGAAGAGTGATGCCTCGAGCTTGGAGTACAGAAATCCTTACACAGGTAAAATAGCCGATAAAAAACACACAAAAAACAATTATTCACATCCAAGACAATTTTTATTTATGAAATTCAATGGTAAACCAAAATAATAAAAAAATAAACATTTTTTCTCGAATTCTTTCGTGAATATCTGAAAAACGATTGGGTCTAGAGAAAAATGTCGCAAGAAATTTTTTGTGGGGAATTCAATTCTCCATAAAAAAGGTCCTATAATATTTTTCTCTAATTCCAATCATTTCCGAGATATTTCCGACCTATTAAAATATAACTTTCCAATCTAGTCTTATTTCGCTTCTCAAACAAATAAAAACAATTAAAATCCGATTATTCTAATCTTCTTTCCTTTCAATTACAGATCCAGCAATTCAATACAACTCCAGAACATGTAAAATTCAGACCCTGTACGTCAGCTTCAGAGATCTCCAGTGGCAGGTAAAGAATTTCCAATAATGTAATATTCATTATATTTCGCCATGTGCCTTTCACAATCTCAAATCCTCAGTTTCTCCCTCGATTTATTCATATTTACGTCCTCCTCATCACACTAAAAGCTCATAATCACCGAACCTACAATTAACATCAGTAAAACGCGTGTAAAAAAATTCATTAGACTAAAAATAACGAATCAATAAGCAGAAATAATAATAATGAAAAATCGATAACACGTGTCACATTATGAATATTCAATTTCTCAGGATTGGATTATAGCGCCGGATGGCTACGACGCTTATTACTGCAGTGGCGAGTGCAATTTCCCGTTGAATGCACACATGAATGCAACGAATCATGCTATTGTGCAGACACTTGTGCACTTGGTTAATCCGGGAAAGGTACCAAAGCCATGCTGCGCACCCACTAAACTGTCAGCCATATCTGTACTCTATTTTCTAGACGAGAGCAATGTTATTCTTAAGAAGTATAAGAACATGGTGGTGAAGAGCTGCGGGTGTCACTGACTTTGCCCTGGAGATTCCTCAATTTGATATTTCATTCGTATGAAATTATCCCCAGGAAAATTTGGCTCACGAGGAAATGTTAAAGACCATTTTTTGTTGGAAATTCAATGATCTACGAAAAATGTTCTATGACATTTTCGCCGAAATCCACTGAAAAAATGTCAAGCTCGACTTGACGTGAAAAACGTAAATGAATAAGAGGAAATAATAAAGATCGAGAGGAAAATAATTTTTCTCATAAGCATATCCGAGTGATTCCACTGCTCTGAGCAATAAAAATATTCATGAGACGATTATGAGATTCAGGGGAAGAGGGAGGAGCTGATGCACGTGATTTCCATGGCGCACGCCTCAATCAACAATAGAGGAATTGAAAATGGGAAAATTACTAGGTGTCAAGTGGGTGGGATGTATTGACAGTCTCTGATCACTGTATTTTCAATTGTGCAACACAAGTAATTTTTTATTCCTCAAGTTTACTCATGATTTTTGCAATAATTCGTCGAATGCATGAGTTTTCTGAGGATCTTTCACACCCACTTGCGACACCCTGTGCAGTGGAAATTTATTTTTCAAGTATCTTGATGTGTATAAATCTTAAGATTTCTCATTATTTTTTTACTATATTACTCTGTGACGACGGCGACTCAATGCAAATGTTTAGGGTAAGATTTTTAATTAATTAATTGTTTGATTTCATGTTTAATGATTATCACTGTACATATACTATGTAAATACGTTCGATGTATGACGTACAATATATCTCTTTTTCAACAAAAATGAAAAAAACAAACAAAAAAAAAAACAAATCGTCGAACTTGCGGAATTTTTTCTTGATTCAATTTTTTATTTCACTCTTGATGCAGGGGTAGCCATATTCATAAATCATAATTACCCTTAAATTTTGACTCTGTTATTTAGTCAACATCACTTTCCAATTTTTAATTAATTTAGTAATTATCAATTTAAATATTCAAATTCCGAACTATTTCATTATATAATATAATATTTATCATATAATATCTATAATTTAGGTGGGAAAAAATTTGAATTATTTACTTAACGGAAAATTCGCAGTTCCATATTATCAAATATTAAATTCATCATCAATCGCAAATTTAAATTATTAATATCATACCTTTAATAATATTTAAACCTTTATCAATGTAAATCGCAAATTCCTCTAATACTGATAAAATTTAATATTGATGGCCATCCCAGCTTGATACTCATCTCAAAAATATCAAAATGTGATAACTCACGACATCAGAACATTCAATTCACTCGAAATCGTCAATAAACCCTCAAAAAATTCGCAATCTCTCCCCGAACCTCCCATTTCAAACGAGACCCGCTCGCCGCGCGCGCACCTCACGCTGCGCGCGCAGCTTCTTTGTCCCAGTGCGTCCCGGATTCCCAAGATGGCGTCAGTGCCCGGTCGACCGCACGTGCGATCGCTCCCTTTCCGACTCGCCTGAAGTTCCCCACAATCCCTTCGATGAATCGATGCTCGACCTCGCCGATCCGTTCTCATCACTGATGGTCGGCGAACGTGCCGTGATCATGGAGTATCTCGCCTCGGAATATCCCGTCCTGACAATCTAAAAACCCTCGGAGCCCCGATTGAGTGGCCGAACACCCTCTAAACTCCTCCTGATCGCACCCCCGGACGATCTATTCCCCCAAAACACCGGTTGTCCCCCGTTTCAGTGCCAAGTGTTGGTGAAAACAGTGCAGTGTCTCCCGAAACTCGGGATAATTCAGTGGAAAACTGGGTAAAACGGAGTTGAAAGTAATCCCGAGGTGATTGTCAGTGATTTTGAGTGATTAGATATCAGTTTTCCGTGTTCTTGCGGTTGATGCTGTGCTGTCCAGGATTTTTGTCGGGATTCTCGGCCGATTGTCCCCAGAAATCGCTCGGAATAACAGGTACGCCCATTCGCGATTGCCATCGACGTCAATAAACCTTTTTCCCCGTTTATTTCCGGGTTTCTGGGGGGTTTTATTGTCCTCGGGGGGTGAATCACTCGTTTTTCGTCGGGGCTCGCGGGGCGGGGGGGACCCACCTTGATTTTCACTCCCAGCATCGCGGAATCATCGTGGAATCGTGCCACTTTCCGTTTGGGCGCAAAATCGATAGAGGTACACACACATTGCATCCCATTGTTTTCGGATTTATTGGAGATTTGGGGGTTTTCTTGAGGGCGAGATCGTTTTAGAGGGTTTTAGAGGGTCTGGGGGAGGGTGAGGGGTCTCCGGTGGTTCGACGAGGGGTCGTGAGGGTGGGGAGGACTTTTGAGGTTGGATTCGATGGCTCTGGGGGTGATGAAACTAGCGAGATGTTAGACAGTGGAAAATTTAATTGGGGGGTTTTTGAGGGTTTAGGGGTCAAGAAATTGGTCGAGCAATTGGGGGGGGGGAGGCCCATGAGGGTTGTTTTGTTTCAAAGCCTTTTTTTGAACATTTTTTTATGGAGTTGGGGTATTTTTTTTTTTGAGAATTTGAGTTTTTATTAAACTTGATTTGTTTATTTATTTTTTAATTTCAAATTGATTTTTCTGGGTATTTGAGGATTTTTTAGGTTTTCCATTCTTGAGAATTGTTAGAAATAGCGAGATTTCTGCTGTTGGAATTTTTTTTTAACTGTTCTCTGAGATTTTGACAATTTGTTTTGATTCACAGAACTTTTTGATTTTTTCTACTAATGTAATTGGGGTTTTTTGTCTGTTGAGAACTGAAAAAATAGCTTTTTGGATTTTTTGAATGTTTTTTCTGAACCCCAATTATTTTAAGAATAATTTTTAGCTATTGATTTTGGTTCAAAAAATTTTTCCTTTTTTTTTTGTAGATTTAACGTTTTTTTTCAATGTTTTCCACTCTTGGTAGTTGAAAAAAAAAACGAATATCAAGAAAAAATCTCATTTTTACTGTTGAACAATCACAGTATTTTTCGACTTTTCGAGAATTAAATTTTTTTTTATTCTGAGAATTTTTTAATTTTTTTTTGTGATTTAATCGTCGTTTCTTGTGGATTTTTTCATTGTTGCGGACTGAAAAGTTCCAAAACTTAGTTGTATATCACACTCTTGCTGTTGGAAAATCATCAAAATTATTCAAGTTTTCTGAACATTTATTTTGATTGATTGATATAATTTTTTCGAGACATTACTTGTTATTACTTGTTATTATTTTCGGTTTTCCATCGTTTCGGGTTGGATTCCCCGAAAAGCCATTTTGTTATTGTTTTATTTTGGCCGGTGATGTTTATCTCCATGGGGGGATCTCCACGGTCAAGTACATTAGAGAGTATTCAATGTTTGGGGTTTTCATCTGGGTTTTTGTTGTTGAATCCTTTCTGAAAAATGAGTTATGTTATTTGGGTTATTTAGAGCATTCATTTTTAGTTTTCGTGAGTCACCTCTTCCGGAGTGTCTTTCTCGCTGAAATAGCGGAGGAGAAAATAGCACAGGCATTTGGTAAATTACATTCAGCCCTCGACAAGGGCTGAAACCCGTTAACCTTTAATAAATCTTGAATAATTTCTGTGGCAAAGTGATTAACGCGAATCAGCTGAAATACTCCCCACATTCTGACGCGAAAATCTCCTTAATTTGCAGATTTATCGAAAAATGTCATAGAAAATTTTTTGTGGGGAATAAAATTTCCTGAAAAAAATCTTTTATGACTTTTTCTTCCAAACGCAACGGTTCCGGAGATATTCACTAGTAGAGAAAACGTGTTCCATGTTGTTGACTGTCTTGCAAGAAACAATTTCCCTTCAATTGCGAATATCTTGAAAACAAAGGGGCGTGGGAAAATTTCTCAGGAGACCTTTTTTGAAGAGAATTGAATTTTCTACCGAAAATGTCCTATGACTTTTCCTCCTAAACCTCTTCCTTCAGCGGATATTTTGATAAAACTTTACTTCCCCAGTTCTCAAGTGCTCGAAATCGCGTTTAAAAAAATCCCTCAATGAAATATTTCAGTAAAATGCATCCTATCATGGATTAACCTCCCATAAACCTGTCCCACCGATCTCGAGGGGTGATACAAGAAAGCATAAAACGTAATCGTTGAACATGAAATGACGGGATCAAGGACCATAAAGTGATAAAAGGAGAACAGTCTTGAAATAAGTGATTTGTTCGTTGAATGTGGAGTGCTATATCGCGTCTCTTCGTCGCGAAGCCAAGGTCGTCGACGAAGACACTGGAGCCGGGTGAAGAAGCCGGCCCAAGATCCTTCAACAGCAACGACTGGCAGAACGTTAATTGCGTGGCTGAGGCCGATACGGCTGTCCATGTTTTCGATTCGATGGACCGTAACATGGGAGATGATAGACGAAAGATCACTGGGGAACAGCAGTATGATTCTGAGTACTATGGGGAAACCAATGACACACGACAGGTGAGTTTTTATCATTTTTAAAAATATTTTGAATGATTTTTTAAAATTGGATTTTCAACGATATTTTGCAAAATGATATTTCGCGAATTATTTTAACAATTGGGGATTGTTCTTGGGACTTCTGAAAAGTTCAAGGCATTGATAATGATTTTTTTTCGATTTAGAAACGTATTTTGAAGAATTTTAGACGAATTTTACGACCTTTTGGACTTTTATTGCGTTGAAAAGTCAAATTGCGAAATGAAAATGACGATATTTTATGGCCGTGACTATTCGCACTATTCCGTGACTCACTCGCGTACACGCATGCGTGAAGTTTGTGTGTTCACGCAGCCGAATTTTCATACTGCCGTGTATTTCACGCAGTTGAAGTTTCATACTACTGTGTGTTTCACGCAGTTGTATTTTTATACACCTGTGTGTTTCACGCAATTGTATTTTGATACAGCCTGTGTGTTTCACGCAGTTGTATTTTTATACATCAGGATTGCGTTTTTCCACCTCCTAGGCCTTGTACAAGATGAATTGAATTAATTTTTTTTTGCATTTTCGTTTCTCGCGATTATCTCGGGAACTATGAGAGATAGAGCCTTAAAACCAAATTTGGGTCCCCTATAGGCAAGTGGATGGCTC